TGGAGGTGAACTTTGGGAATCACTGGTTTTTATTACTCAGGATGACATATGAATGCCAACCTTGGAAAACACCCGCATTAAGAGCCTCTTATGAAAAGGAGCCATCTGGTTGTAGAAAGCTAAAAAAATTAGGGGAAGAGAAAGCAGACCCTGCTGTCAGAATAGTTTTGTGGATGACTGAAATGGGAAACATTTTCTTTCAAGTGCATCACTGCCAGGCTGTGTAAATACACCTAGGAGAGGCAGTAATGGGTGACTCGTCCTGGCTAAGACCTGAAAGTCCCTGTTGTGTCCCTGGAAGTTCAGTGTGGTACCAATGCTTTCTCAGTGGGCCTCCAGTTTTTTGGGTGTTTTTAAAGAAGACTTGATTACCCTTTTTGAAATTCTCTGTGGGGTACATCCTGAGAGAAATCATTGCTAGTTGGACCTCAGGGGGAGAGATTGGTCAAATAGCAAAGCACTTTTGTGTGGATTCTCTTTCTCTGGTGACATTCAGGGGCATGGATGATTGGAAGCCTGTGCACAATGTACTAAGTGGAGGGTTATTCTAACCTGGAGGTAGGTGGGGAAATGAGTTGCAATGGGCACAGCAAGTTGGCGTAAAAAGCTTTTGGAGAAGTCAGTTCCAGCAGCTCTGTATGGCGCCATGGGAGGTGGTTGATGAAGTGAAAGTTCCCTTAGCTAAGCTGACTTTTCTGAAGAGCTACTCACATACCTTGTGTGTGTGTGAGGGTGTGTGGCTGCACCCTCCCTGCGGGATGATACTGGGAGCCTCCAATCTAATTGAGTCCCGTGTGCCAGGCACATGGCCCCCTCCCTCATCCCATATAATGCCCGCTTCTTTTACTTCTCTATCAAGTTCTCCTTTGCTGGGCTTGGGGTCTTGTGGGCAGTGCTTGAATGCTAAGCCAGGGTTAATATACTGGATAAGTTCGCCAGCCCTTTTTTTCCTTATCTGCTCTAAATTAAACACTTGTGTTTTTTTTATCTAACTCAGAGAGAGGCAGCAGCAACAGTGTTTCCTTGTGTGATAGCAAAACATGTACTCTGTAGAGCAGATTTGGTTTGTGTTTTGCTGCTATATATTTTTCTAATACACATTCCGAGGCATTCCTTTCCAATAAATTTTTCTTCCTGAAACACTGGGCTGTGATTCCCAGCATTCCTGTCTTGTGACTCTTAGCCATTTCTTTGCATTTAATTTTGTTCTTCAAAGTGTAGTCTTTTTAATTTTTTTATTTATTTTTTATTGGTACCGGAGATCAAACTCATGACCGCCTGCTTGCAAGGCCGGTGCTTATGCCGCTGAGCTAAATCCCCAGCCCCTTCAAAGTGTATTCTTAAGTGACCCCCACACTTTTTCATCGCTGAGAACTATTTTAAGTCCCTTTTACAGATTTAAGTGTCTTACTGTAGCTAGATTTATGCTTGAAAAACCAAACCAAACAAAGTGCAAAACATCCTCACTTTTGGAGTGTAGCAGATTCCCAGGAGTCAGGCTGCTCATGGAACCTCACAGGTCAAAGTGTAATGCAGTAAACCCTGATGGATAGGGGTGGGGTGGGAGTTAGATGCTGAGTCCAGAAGGAAAGACTCTCAGGGTGTCAGGAGATTCACAGATGGATCACATGAGGGAGTTCAAACTTTAAGAATCTGATGAAACCTTTTTTTAGTTTTTTCAGAAAAACACTCAGGCTCATAAGCTTCCACCCACATACTCATCCTAATTCTACCTGTGATTCCGGTACAGTAGCCAGAAGCCTTAGGCAGCACTGCAAAGGTAGAGGAATTAAAGGATGAAAAATGCAGTTCCTCAGGTGAACCAACCACATTTCAGGTGTTAAAAGCTTTTGCATTATCTGAGAGCTCTACATGATCCTCATGGGAGCTGTACTGTCTCAGTGCTGTAAGGAAATTTCCTTCCTTCGATTCAGTTTTTTTTTCCTTTATTGCTCTCTCCTTTTTTCCCCTTTCTGCTCCCCCCTCCCTCACACCTAACTAGGAAGTGCTTTTTTTTTTTTTTTTTTTTTTGGTCTTTTTGAGACAGGGTCTCAGTCTGAAGTTCAGGCTGGCCTTGAACTAATTTTGTAACCTAGGCTGGTCTCAAATTTGCAGGGATCCTCCTGCCTCAGCCTCCCATTGCTGGGATTATTACAGGCATGTGTTACCACACCTGGCTAAAATAATTCCTTCTTTTTCTTTTTTTGGTACCAGGGATCGAACTCATGACTTCATGCTTGCCAGGCAGGCACTTGCGCCACTGAGCTAAATCCTCAGACCTGGTACTTACTTTTATGAAAAATTTAGCATGTGTTTTTAAAAGTTAAATGATTCATCTTCAGAAAGGAGTGTTTGTTCCTACCATGCTTTTGTTCTTCTGTTTCCATTGGTTCTGTCTATTTTATCTTATTGGATTGTATTATATGTGATAGTATAAACAAATTTTATATGGAAAATGAGACAACAGAGTAGCTATTGTTTGTTTTCTGTTATTTGGTTCTGAATGCCCTGTAATACTCATTCTCTTGAATGGTTTTATACTATTTTGTTATCTTCGATACTATTATATATGAAGTTATGTTCAATTATTTCAAAGAAAGAGACATTATGGTAGTTACTATTTACGGGTGGTCTTGTGAAATACTGTGTTGCTTACATTGTTCTGTTCTGATCTGCTTTGTTATGTCCTGTTTTGTCTTAAATCTCTTTAAAATAGAAAAAAAACCTTTAAAAATTCCCTTCGCACTGAGGGTTACAGACAGATCAGAGTATGCATCTGCTTGTAGACTCATCTCAGCTTTAAGTTTGTTACTTTGTACAAACATGGATTTCAGTTCCTCTTATGACCAGGTGTGACACACTGCTTTTAAATAAAAGTCTTTGATGATATTAAAAAAAAAGAGTTACTTGAAGAGGGCATGTACTCAGTGAAAATGCAGTTTTCATTTTACAGGGATTTTTCCCTTTTCTAGCAGTGTCTGGCTGAGGCAATACTCATTGGTCAACTAGGTCATTTACTTCGTCTGGCAAGTCTTATCTACCTCCAAGTTGGTTTGTTCCTGTGGTACAGTCTTTTCCTTCTCCTTTTTCTCTCTGTGTGTAAGGGGGTACCTTCTCCTTGTAGAGCTGGCTCCCATTAGAGTTAATGACTTTCCTTGACTTGCTTTCATACACTGAAGCATGACAGCCGGGAACACTGAACAAATTAGATATATCTAAATAAAGACATGAGGAAATAAAAACAGCTCAAGTGTAAATAGAAATAATTATGAGATTCTGCTGTTGTTTCCGTGGTTAATTTCAGTAAGCAATATGCTCGTGAAGAGGACTTTTTTATGGAGAATGCAAATGGAACCTTTGAATTTGAAAAAAAAGAACTGTTCTTAAATTTAAACCAGAGTGATAAATTCAGTTTACATTTTTGGAAGTAAGAACTAGGCAAAGCATTATGGAGTAAGTGCTTCAAAATCTAAAGTTTTGGGAAAGCAGTTTACAAAGGAAGTCTGCCTTCTCCTTGGCAGCTTACTAGAAGAATGTAGCAGTTTTTCAGGGCTTGCCAGCTCCCTGTTGTGGCCCATCAATAGTACATACTTTAAAGTGGCTTTCTCATTAGACTTGCAAGTAAGAGTCAATTTTTGTTCCCACACATTTTAATAGGAGGTGAATTGATAAAGACACAAATACAAGTACAGAAAGTACAGATAGAATAATAATAGAATAACAGAATAAAGGGGGAAGTAACTTACTTTTTGGTCTCAGTATAGCATTTATTTGTACCTTACCACATGCAGAACATTGTACACGATGTGGCAGACTAAAAAAAGGGACAGATTGAACGGATGGCATTAGGTGTTGTATGGCACTGGGGGAGTTGACATTGTAATTTAGAAAACGTGATTAGAGCCTGGGCAGATAGAGGCTGTAAGGAGGTGAAAGTGTGAGCTCTGAGAGAAAAGACTTCTGCATTTGGTGATCTGAACTAGGCCTCAGATGACTAGAATTTTCATAGCCTTGGAGGTATGCAGGGTCACAATTCTAGAGAAGCGGGGATCAGTAAGTGCCAGACATAGGTGTAGGAATAATGTGTTGTAGGGAAATACAGTGATACCTCGGTTCATGAACTTAATTCTTTCCATGATTCTGGTTACAAACTGAGTTGGATGAAAACTGGATCAAATTCAGTAGTTAGGGTCAACATTGACTTTATGGGGAAATTTGATTTGGTTCTCATCCAATTTGGTTTTCGATCAGAATTAGGGAAAGAATTAAGTTCATGAACTGAGGTGCCACTGTAATTAGGATAAGCCGATGTTGAGGTTGGATAGCTCTTTGAATGCCTTGCTCAAAATGTTGCGTAATAAAAAATAAGAAAATGGATTTAATATAAGAATGGAGGCAATTAGATCCATGACCATCTAAAAATGTCTAGCTTTAATCCACATAAAGATTCATTTTAGGTAATTACAGTCTTAATGCTTAGATCTAAGTGCTTTATATTCTCTTCCCTGGTTTATTGTAATATATGGCTTTGTAAGCCAGAAAGAGAAAAGGGTACTATCGATAAACTACTGTATTCATAAATAGTGAGTGGGGCGAGATAAAAGTACAGAATAGCAAAGTTAAGGAAATAGTGTTGTAAGAAGAAAGGAGTTGAGCCAGGGATGGTGGTGCACACGTAATACTAGCTAATTTGGAGGGTGAGGCAGGAGGATCACAAATTCAGGACTAACCAGGACAACTGAATAAGATGATAACCCTGTCTCAGAGTAAAAGTTTTTAAAATAAGTAACCCTGTCTCAAAGTAAAAGTTTTTAAAAACTTGTTTCATTAGAAGTAATGATAATATGGGGCTGGGGATTTAGCTCAGCGGCATAAGCGCCTGCCTTGCAAGCAGGTGGTCGTGAGTTCGATCCCTGGTACCGATAAAAAATGGAAAAAAAAAAAAGAAGTAATGATAATATATACTAAAATTTTTCTGGACTTTAGTTTTTTTTTTTTACCTTTTTCATTTTTATCGGTACCGGGGATCGAACTCACGACTGCCTGCTTGCAAGGCAGGTGCTTATGCCGCTGAACTAAATCCCTAGCCCCTTTTTTGTTCTTTTTGAGACAGAGTTTCACTGTGCTGAGGCTGGACTTGAGCTCACAGCAGTTATCCTACCTCAGCCTCTAGTGCTGAGATTATAGGCATGAGCCCACCACACCTGGCCATTTTTTTGGATTTTGGAAAGATATCAAATATAAAGTGAAATTCTCGCTTCTGTCCACCAGCTTTTTCCTTCTACAAGTATCTCTTGAGAGAAAGTAGTGCCTCTCTACCTGTATATATAGCTATATAGATTTTCAAAGTAAAAATGTTTTGAAAGACCACAGGATGTAGCTCTGTGGTAGAGTGCTTGCCTAGCATGCGTGAGCCCCTGGGTTTGGTCCCTAGTACCACAAACAAAAAGAACAAAACAGAAAAAATTGGCATAAAAGGCTCTTTTTTGTCTTTGAGTTAGCTCTTGAAAACGTTGTTCATTTTTATTCTAGTGACCTGGTTGGCCAACTTTCCATTCAGATTAGCATGTGCCACAAACAGCATATGTTGGTACTAACACGTGGTATTGTGATCCAGAGGTACTCTCTGTTGTATGTGTAACTGATTGATTTAAAGGGACAAGATCACTTGCAGCTCCAGTCGTGTAAATCCAATTCTAGGATAGTATTTCTAGTTCTCAGAATGAGTTCACTCTGTTATATAGTTCAGTGGTTTTTAGCATACAGTATTCACAAAGTTGTGCAACCATCATTACCATCCAGAATATTTTCACTACCCCCCCCCCAAAAAAAAACCCAAACCTGTTACCAATCACTCCTTATTTCCCATCCTCGCCCAATCTTCTGGCAAGTACAGGTCTACCTTCCTGCCCATGTTGAAACATTTCAGATAAATAAAATCAAATATCATGCAGGCTTTTGTGTGTGGTTTCTTTCACTTAGCATAATGTGTTTGAAGTGCCCCCCACATTACAGCATTGTACTAGATATGCCATGTTTTATGTATTCATCAGTTGATGGATGTTAGGGTTGTTTCTACGTTTTGGCTATTATGACTAGTGTAACTGAACATTCATGTACCAACTTTTATGTTGGATATACGCCTAGAAGAGGAACTGTTTGGGAATTGCAAAACTTTTTTCTCACCGGTGTACCATTTTACAGTCCCACTAGTAGTGTATGAAGGTTCCATGTTTTCTTCATGTCCTTGTTATTATCTGCCTTTAATTTTAGCCACCAAAGGTGAAAAGTGCTATTTCATTGCAGTTTTGATTCGCATTTTCGCTACAGTATTGGCTAATGTCATTAGCATTTTTGCCCAGTTTTAAATTGAGTAATTTGGTCTTTTTTAACTGATTAATCGGAGGTGTTCAGATTATTTTTTCTTTTGTGCCTCTTGCTTTTGTTGTCATACTGAATTGGTACTTCATATATGGAAGCTACTGAAAAGTTCAGAAAGTGATATCCTTGATACCTGGTGGGTACTTGAAGAAAATTTTAATGAATGGTTTCCATTTCATTTTAATTGTAGTGTGCAGAGTTAGGCTTCGATTGAAAATGAAGCTTTAAAAAATACTTTTGGTATTTAAAAACTGTCACTTTGGAACCAAATTGGAACTTTGATGACTGAACTCAGTATTCTAGGTTCTCAATTATTCTTAGGTTTCTCAAATTATTCTAGGTTTTCTTATAGACTTTAATGTAAATCTGTATGCCTTACAGAGTGAGGCCCATAAGCATGCTGCTTGATTTCATCATGTTACTGGGTATAATCCTATGTCTCTGTGTCTCAGGTTGTTCAGAGCACTCCCTGAGCAGACATTTAAATCATTTCCATTTGCCCAGCTAGACATTTTTTATGGTTTTCTTTCTTTTGGTAGAAAGGTGATTTTAGAATAATATGTGCATTTTTAGGCATTGTCTGAAAAAGTGACAAGTGGTATGATATATATCTTTTTAGAGAGGCTGTTTCGTTTTTACTACACAAAATAGGTCAGTTACAGACTTATGTGTGGTAAACAGTAAAGGCATGTGTAGGTGTGAGCAGCACAAGGGAAGAGGGTTCAGTCAGAGATGCAGGTGTTTGGGAGGGGATGAAATCCAGCTGCGTATACAAGGGATGGGGCGGAGGAATTGGGGGGAGCCAGGTGCAGCTTGAAGTCACATGGTGAAAATGTTAGTGGGAGATCAGTACCACTGTTCTCATTTGCATTTCTAAACCCCACTGGCAGTGGCCCGGGGTCATGAGGACATGTATCCCAGCTCTACCTGGATGGATTCTTCGACCTCCTCCTCCTCCTCTCACCTGCAACTCATTGTCCCTTTGAAGAGTTACTCAGGATCTGATAGAGTCAGCCACTCCTGATGCTGCCTTGGAGGTTTTCCATTATCATAGGGCAGTGGCGAAATCTTCCTGTGGCTTCTGAAGCCCTGCCCACGCCAGGACCTGGTCCTCCAGCTCTGTCTACCTAGCATACTCCTCCTCTCCAGTTTCCAGGTGCTCAGGCCTTCCTGGGCTACTCCTAGTCCATGCCAGGGCCAGGCCTCCTTGGCAGGGCCTTGCATAAGTCCATCCCTTTACTGCTGAGCTTCGCTTGTGCTCAAACCTGGGTCAAATCAAATCCCCTCCCTTGGAGTCACATCGCTGAGAGCTGTGTCTCCAAGGACAATGCATGGCCAAAATGAACATCAAGACATGAAACACCCCCAATGGAAACCCATGTATGGTCTTTCATTAACACAGTGTAACACTACCCAGTTTCCTTCCTCTGTTGAAAGACAGTGCTTTTCTTTAACTGTTGCTCTGCAGGTGAAATACTTAGCTTAATGTTACAGGACTGTGTTATATGCACAGGAAGTCCTTCTGATGGCTAAAATCACACAGGCATGCAGGACCTGATTGAAGGGGTCTCATGTTTTGTCCCCTCCCCTACAGTTGTGCCTATCAAGGAGGGAGACGGTAGGCAGACTCCCCTGCACAATTTTTTAAGCATGCATTGATTGGTTGATAGGCTGTACTGGGGATTGAACCCTGGGCCTTCACCCTGAGCTACATTCTCAGCACCTATTTTTAAAATAGGGTCTCCCTAAAATGCTAAATTGCCCAGGTGGGAGTTGGAATTGTCTATCCTGCTTCAGCCTCCTGAAGTGCTGCCATTACAAACGTACACCACCGCCTCCACCTGCTCTTTTGAGTTTTGGCTGTCAGTAGTTCTAAGCTATCCCAAGTACCTCATTTCATAGGACTGCCACAGTTGTGACTTAAGGGACTTTGGGCATGGCCCAGTGTCTGGGCATCGTGGCACTCAACAAAAATATTTGTTGAAAAAGTATTTTCCTGTCTGTTCCATAAAGCGGCTTCAGAAGAGAGTCTGCAGGTGTGTGATTCACGTTTCACTTAAGTGATATTTTAAACCACTTAAACTCCAGTAAAACATAGGCACACTCAAATGTACTGTACACTAGTGATCCATCATCAGAGGGTAGTAGTTCTGTCCCTTTAACTTGTTCTCTTGCACATCCAGATAGCAGAACAGAGCAAGTTGAAAGGCTCTTACTGGGCACCTCAGGTATGACCGGGCTGCCACCCAGAGTGGGGTCATGGAGGGCGGGCCTTGAGTAAGTGGACCGAAGGGCAGAGCGGGGGAGGGGCACAGGTGCACACTGCGGCTGCGCACAACGGCGACGTCAGCGGCTTCCAACGGTCTCCGTTTGGCCTCCGTTTGGCTTGGCCTAGTCTGGCGACGGCGGTGACAAAGATTCGTTAGGCAGGTGTGCCGACGTGGAAGTCATGAAGCGAAAGCGTAAGGAGCAGCTTCAGTTGGCGGCGACCCAGTACTTGAAGGACCGACAGTATAAGGTCGAGGAGCAGCCATCCACGAGTCAAGGCTTACGCTTGCAGCAGAGCCCTGAGGAAATGGCGGCCCGCCTCTTCGTGCAGGCAGAGTCGGGCAGTGACAACCTTGTGGCCGCCGCCCCGTGCTACGGGGGTCCCCAGCAGGCTGAGGAACAGTTTGGCCGACTGTGGCAGTTCCTCCACGAGTCAGACACCCCGTCGCACTGCGACATTAAGCCGCTGCTCTACCCATTCTTTGTCTACCTCCTGCTTGGCCTGGTGGAGAGCGGCCCAAGGAGCGCAGTGGAAAGTTTCTACAACCGCTTCCACGGCCACTTCCTGCAGGACGAGAGCCAGAGGGACATTATCGAGCAGCTGGGGGCCACCCACATCGCCCAGGACATCCTGGCCTACCCTCGACTCTGCAACTTCCTAGAAAACAAGTATGTGGTGCGCCTCAAGGAAGATGGCTACCACTTCCTAATGCGTTACCTGCAGAGTGAGAACAACGCTGCCCTGTGCCAGGTCCTCACGGTGCACATCCAGCTGGACGTGCAGCCTGCGGGGGCAGCAGACACCCAGCGCAAGAGCGGCGCAGACACCCCGCAGGAGCTCAGCCCTGTACTGGTCAGCTTGCAGCACGATGAGGACGCCCTGGAGGCCTTGCAGGAGAGCATCAGGCGCGTCCGGGCCGGGCCGCCCTCCCTTATCGCACTACGCTTCTACACCTTTACCAACACGCAGCAGCAGCTAAACACGGCCGAGGTCGCCCGCAATGACAAGCTGCTCGCTGCCGGCTTTGACAACTCCAGCATAAAACTCTGGAGCCTGTGTTCTGTGAAGCTGAAGTCTGAGCCCCACATTGCGGATGTCTCGCAAGTTCACCTGGCTTGTGACCTCCTGGAGCAAGAGGAGGTTGAGGAGGGTAGCATAGGCACAGAGGTGAAGCTCCTTCGGGGGCACGCTGGGCCTGTGTACAGTGTGCGCTTCCTCCCTGACAGCACGGGGCTGCTCTCTTCTTCAGAGGATACGTCCATCCGGTTCTGGGACCTGAACACCTTCACCAACACTGTGCGGTACGAAGGACATGCCTACCCGGTGTGGGACCTGGACGTCAGCCCATACAATTTGTACTTCGCCAGCTGCTCTGTCGACCGCACTGCCAGGCTGTGGACCTTTGATCGCACGTACCCGCTGAGAATTTTGGCGGGACACTTGGCCGATGTGGACTGTATCAAGTTCCACCCGAATTCCAACTACCTCGCTACCGGCTCCACCGACCAGACCGTGCGGCTATGGGATGCCCAGCAGGGATCCTCTGTGCGGCTTTTCACCGGCCACCATGGCTCCGTGCTTGCTCTCGCCTTCTCTCCTAATGGAAAGTACTTGGCATCTGCTGGTGAAGATCAGGGGTTGAAGCTGTGGGACTTGGCTTCCGGGACTCTTTATAAAGACTTGAGAGGCCATGAGGATAATATCACCAGCCTCACCTTCAGCTCAGACAGTGCTCTAGTGGCCTCTGCCTCCATGGACAATTCGGTTCGTGTCTGGGACATCCAGAGCACACAAGGCACACCTCGCTTCCCAGGCGCCTCTAGCGAGCTCTTGGGGGTCTACACTGGGCAGGTGAGCAAGCTGCTGAGTGTGCAATTCATGGGCTCCAACCAGCTTCTGGTGACTGGAGTTGCGCAGGAGGATCAGCAACAGTAATGCTTACCTTGGCTGGAGCCCACCGGGTTGTGTCGGGAGGCCTTTGGCTGCACTGTGAACTGTGAAAGACCTTCCTTTCTTTCCTCCCAATTTTCCCTAGTGCCCCAGTGTTGCAGGGCTTGGATTACATATCAAGTTATGCCCTGAGAATAAAATTGTAATGTTTGAGAAAAGGATTAAATAGTTCTCCTTTTTGACAGTTACGTTTTGTTTTCTAATAAAGTGTATTTTCACGAACACTCTTGAGTGTTTATTTTCAGTATATCTGCAACAACAACAAAGCCTTCTGACAGATGCAAAAGCAGTTGCAATTGACATAAACTAGTGGGCTAAGTATCTGCTTCAGCTGCGTTTATCTTGATCCCACTTTTTACTATTTTATGCTGTTAAACCAGGTATATTAGTGTCTCTGAGTCAGTCTCCTCATCTGTAATATAGGAGTTTCTGAGGAGTAAATTCAGTGTTGGCGTATTGAAGGGTCCCATCAGCCTTAGCTGCTATTGTGGCTTTGCCCCTAAATATCAGCATTTTGAAGAATAACATATTTTTTTCCCTTGACTAAATTTATGAGTTAAGGACTGATACATGTAAGTCCCACAAAAGATTGTCTTTGCTTTTTATAAGGATGGGCAGGGGGTGGCAGGGTTGTCAAAACAGGTTTGGGCTGAGACACCTGGCACTTGAGCCTGGCTCCCTAGAGGCACCATTGAGAAACGTTCGGGTTGAATTGGATCCTTTGGCTCCCTTATGTAGGCCTGATTCCTTTTTCATTTGTCCTTCCTGTAGCTCTGAAATTTGAAATAGGATATGGCTGTAACAGGAACCTGTCTGTAAAACCACCAGTGAAGACTTTTTTTCTGTATTCATTCTGCAGAAATGTTATGCTAATCCAGGGAACCTGGCACTGTGATGAAATACTCATTTCATCTGAGTGACTTCCCAACGGTACCTAGGAGGTACTAGTGTTGCTAGCTGGCTGTTGTGTGGTACTAGAGATTGAACCCAGGGCTTCACGTATGCTAGGCAAGTACTCTGTCACTCAATTGCACCCCAGCCCTCCAATTGTTGCTCATGTTCCTGGAGGTTTCAGGATATCACATAACTCCAACTCTGGGCTGTGCTCTTTGGCTCTTGACACAGGATCTGACTTCTTTCTGGTTGTATGTGCCTACCTGCAAGGGCAGTTCCATTTTTACCTTGACCACCCATGAGTTTGACAGCCCTGTGGTGCCTTTAGCCTCAGCCTGGTGCTTCTTGTGTCATACTGTACTCCTCCCTTACACGGCTTTTGTTTGTGCTGTTTGTGTTATGCTATCTTGATTCTGTTCTCTGGAATACAACTTAATTCTTTCTCTCTCTTTTTTTTGGTAGCAAGGCTTGTACTTACAACCTGGTGCTTGCCAAGCAGGCACTTAGGCCACTGAGCTAAATCCCTAGCCCCCTACAACTTAATTCTCTGCTACCCAGTTTTGGACAAGTTTTAAAGAAAGAATGAAATATTATTCATTTTTTAATTTTACAGCTGTCTCTGAGTATGAAACTCAGAAAAGAAATGTGAACAGGTAAAAAAAACTCAAACTGATTAAATTGTAATACTTGGTGTAAGATTTTTTAGGCTTAGATCATGAACAAAATTTAGATATGATATTTCTTTTAGGTTAAGTATTGACTGCAAATAGAATTCAGATACTTAGAACATTTGAGTTCTGAAAACATTATTAATGTGAACTTTCTAATTTTTTTCTTTGCAGATAATGGTTTGAACTGAATTATAAAGGTAAGAGAGTTCTGACTTATGTAATAATGCTTTTGTGTATGTATGTGGTACTGAGGATTGAACCCAGGGCCTTTGCACTAAGCTTTCTCCTTAGCCCTTTTTGAAACAGGGTCTCACTAAGTCGTTCAGTTGCCCAGACTGGGATTGAACTTGCAATCGTCCTGCCTCAACCTCTCAGGGTGCTGGGGTGTGCCACCATGTCTGGCTGTAATATGCTTTTCTTACTCATATTTTTTTATTTGTAGAGTTTAGCTGAATTATTAAAGTGTGGGTTTTTTTTTTTTTTTTTTGTCTTTTTCCTTTTTATCGGTACCAGGGATTGAACTCATGACTGCCTGCTTGCAAGGCAGGTGCTTATGCCGCTGAGCTAAATCCCCAGCCCCAATGTGGGGTTTTTTTGTGTGTGTTTTTTTGGTACCGGGGATGGAACTCATGACCTCACACTTGCCAGGCAGGTGCTTGTGCTGCTGAGCTAAACCCCTGGGCCCAAAGTGTATTTTTTTGTTTTGTTTTGTTTTGTGGTCCTGGACATAGGACCCAAGGCTACATGTGTGCTAGGCAATTGTACCACTGAGCTGCACTGTCAGTCTTAAAGTAGTGTTTTAACCTTGAAGATTATTGCCTTTGGACAATTATCCCAAATATAAGAGACTTCACATTATATCTTTAGGTAAATTTTAAAATAATATAGTGTAGAGGGATACTTTTTTTTCTTTACCTTATGAAAGTAGTTTCAAAAGATTCTACTCTTTTTAGATAAAAACAAGGATTATTTTTAATGTCCATTAGCTGTTTATAATTATATTAATATATAGCTTAAATGTGAGGAGGAGGTGCCTAGGCAAACTTAAGGCTGGGTACCTTGTTCTCGAAGTTGACCTTAGTCCTCAGTCACTGCAGAATAAACTATTAAAGAATTGTAGTCATTTTAAGGGAGCATTACACATTATCCTGTGTTGAAATAACAGAGGTGACCAAAAACATAGTGCGTACTTAAAACCATTCAAAGCATTGCCAACAATGATGGGATGTGTCCAAAGCAAAGAGGAGCATTTTGAGAGAGATTAATGGTATTATATCTTTTACTGTAATACAATTTTAAACATTCATTGTATTTTTTGGTCACAGTTTGTGATCAAAGGTTTGTGGTGATTTCTGTCAAATAAAAACATCATGGTGTGTCCTCACCTGCCTTATTCACTGGCTCTGGCACCTTGCAATTTCTGGCTCTTCCCCAAAGTCAAAATGACCATGAAAGGTGAATGTTCTGAATGGATTCTGGATATCACGGCAGCCACAACAGTGTAACTAAATACACTCACGTGAGAGAACTTCCAGAACTGCTTCAGGAAGTGGCAAGAATGGTGAGATAAGTGTGTTCACAAGTAAAGAGTATTTTGAGAGATGTTAATGGCAATGTGTCTTTTACTGTCATTTTGAAAATTGAAACATTTGCTGTGTTTTTTTCAGTCACATCTCATACAATTGTTTAACAACAGGGTAAATTCTGAGAAACGAACGTCGTAGAGTGCTTTGACAAATCTAAGTGGTATAGGTAGAAACCTAAATGGTACAGGTCCATTACTAGACATGGCCTTGTGACATGCAGTGTGACATGGTATACTGTTTGACAGTACATTTTTTAATAAGTAGAAGTACATGCTAGCATAATGAAAAAATATAGTAAGTACATCAATTGATGCCAGTCATTTATTACCAGATATTATGTGCATGGTATCCTTCTTATATTACCAGCAGCGTGGTAGGTTGATTTCCACTAGAATCACCATAAACAGGTGGGGAGTTGGTTGTATGAGGCCAGCTGCATCACCAGGTGATAAGTTTTTCTGCGTCATTATAATCTGTGTGACCACCATGTTATATGTGATCTGCTATTGACTAAAATGTCATGTGGCACATGGCTGTAGTTGTTTTGTTTTGTTTTAGGGGTATTGGTAATCTTTTTTAAAAAGTTGTAGTTGCTAAAGCAAGATTCAAAATAAAGGAACTGATTTAGTGAATTTGTTTCCTGCAGTAAGAGATTAAGGAGCTTGAGGTTGTTTTACAGGTTAAAAAAAATTTATTATTGTTATTTTCAGCATTAGGGATTGAATCCTGGGTCTTCACACTGAGCTGCATCCTTAGCCCTTTTTAATTTTTTTTTTTTAACTTTGAGATAGGGTCCTGCTAAGTTGCCTGGGCTAGATTTAAACTTGAGATCCTCCTGCCTTAGCCTCTGAGAGTGATGGGCTTACATGCATGCTTCAGCATTCCTGGCTTTGAGGTTGTTTTGTTTTTCTCTAACATTAATGTATGTAGTCAAGGCATTAAGCAGAGCAACATTTTGATAATCTTTGCACTTTTGTTGGATAGTTTACATTTTATAAATCACCATGGTCATCGTGGGAGTGGTAATCTGAAAGAGGGTAAGGAATCTGTCTTGTTGTTGTTACTGGGGATCGAACTCAACGACCGCATGCTTGCAAGACAGACGCTTATGCTGCTGAGCTAAATTCCCGCCCCTGTCATTTTTAATCATGTTTCCATTCATTAGTTTTTCATTATGTAAAATACAGCAGAAATGTACTTTTGTTGGATAGTTTAATTTTTATAAATTATAGTGGTCCTTACAGGAATGGTAATTTGAAAGAGATAGGGTAAGGAATCTGTCTTTTTAAGTCATGTTTCCACTCATTTGCTTTTCATTATGCAAAATACAGCAGAAATGCAGAATTCTTACATGTTCAGTTACATTATACTAATTCACATTTGCATATGACAAGTTAGTCAGATAATGTTTACTGTAGTGGTTTTGCAAATTTATCCTAGTCAATAAAACAATCATTGTTCATGTCTTTATTACCTTCCCACTCAGCAAGTCACAATATCTACTTTTTTTCTTTTAATACCAAGTACATTTATTAGAAAAAGGAAAGTAATGAAATACCCTCATATCTTTCCTTGAGAAATTAAAAATAGAATAAAACTAGAAACGAATAGAAGAAAATAATAAAGATCAGAACACAATTCCTTATCAAACTGCCAACATCATTTTTCATATGGATTAACATTTTGATTCTTAAATTTCTGTAAAAATAGAAGACTCAGAATAATCTAAGCAACTTTGATAAAGAAACAAAAAGTCACAAAATAGATACCCATATAACAGACAGTTGATTTCTGGCAAAGATGCAAAAACAATTAAGTGGAGAAAGGATCGTACCTTCAATAAATATACTGGAACAACTGGACATCCATATGCAAATAACCCAAACCTTATGGCACAGCAAAAATTTCTTAAGACATCCAAAAGTCAACTCAAAATGGCTCACAGTGCATTAAAATAAAGGCAGGTGTAACCTGAGTCGTTGCTTGGCTTAAGTTATTCTCTCTTGGACAAAATACGTGTTTTTTCCTTATCATACTAATGAAACAATACAATGTTTATATGTGTGACATTTATTTCACTAATAAGTATGTTCTCAAGATGTATCCGTTTACCTATAAAAAGTGTCCAGTTTTTCATTCTTTATGGCCGAATAGTGTTCCATTATATAGAAATGCCACATCTTTTTTTATCCATTACTCAGTCAATGGGCATTTAGGTTGTTTCCAAGATCTGGATATTATAATCTGCTTTGATATTGAGGTTAAGAACCATTTTTGCTTCAGAGCTAAGCCAGTAGTTATTGGCGCTGTCAGTGTGGCCATTTAAATTAGTTAAAATTAATTAATTGGTGCTGGAGGTATAGCTTTAGTGTGGTCAGATGCGTACTTAGCATGTGCAAGGCCCTGAGTTCAATCTCTGGCAGCAAAATAATAATAAAATTGCACATTCACTTTCTCACTCTCATTGACCACATACATACCTAACGGCCGTGTATGGCCAGTGACTGGCTGTTAAACGTTGCCATCACTATGTAAAATTCTTTGCACACTGAGGCACTGAAGTTTTCCTTCACAGATTGTAATATATTTAGAAACTATTTACTACTGAAATATCTAGAGCTTACATAATCTGATTTAATATAACAGGACAAAGAAGGGCCTGGTGTAATGAATAGGAAACAGGATTTGCCAGATGTTGATAACTGAGAAAGCTGGGATTAGGGTTCATAAGAGTTTGTTGTTTTGTTCTCTTTATTCAGAAGTTTTATACATTTGAAATTGTCTATAGTAAAAATACTGAAACCGGCATTCAGTGTGAAGTGTTCCCTCCAGCACTTAGAAGTAACTCTCAGCAGACCTCAGAAATCTCACCCAACGAGAGCCACAGTATAGTGGCACATTGTTTTGGATTTTCACTCCAGTTGAAGACACATAAACAGCAAGTAGCACAGGTGGTGTTTGTTAGAGTTTGAATGGCCCAAATGTGTTGTGAGTGTAGCATGCTAAGCTATTAAAAATTCCATTGCTGCTCGCATGGTATTACTAATGAAAATAAACTGCATTAACTCAGTGGTTTGTTCATTTTATTTCACGGCCAGATCAGTGGCTTCTAGAAGTCTCTGGCTTTGCCTTGTCTTCAGAGCAATAGAGCAAATCCCTGGCAGAAGGAGTATTGAAAGGCTGTATGAAGTTGCTAAAGAAATCTGTGGACTTTGGTCTCTTAGCACTTCTTTAATAAATGTTGGGAGGGCTTACTGTGATCCTGAAGGGGCTGATCATAACATGATGTCAGAGCAAGGTCTTCAGAGCAGACTTGGCTTAAGCACCAACTTCACAACCAGCTGACCCAGGAAAGGGGAAGAGTGAGCCCTTTATAGTTACTGTCTGGAACAATGGTAGGATCAAGGGTGGAACCTGGCTGAGAGTTCAGTATATGAAACTTCTTGCAAGAAAGGAATAGCGGCTGTGTGCTTTGTTTTAAGCATTGATATTCCTAAAATTACGTAGATGACTGTACATGTGTAAAGGAATATAATGGTTCACTTTTATTTTACAGGGTTCTGAAGTCAAAGCTCATTAAATTAATAATGGCAGGAAAATCATCACTTTTAAAAGTAATTCTCCTTGGAGATGGTGGAGTTGGGAAGAGTTCTCTTATGAACAGATATGTAACTAATAAGTTTGATGCCCAGCTCTTCCATACAATAGGTGTGGAATTTCTAAATAAAGATTTGGAGGTGGATGGACATTTTGTCACCATGCAGATTTGGGACACAGCTGGTCAAGAACGATTCCGAAGCCTGAGGACGCCTTTTTACAGAGGCTCTGACTGTTGCCTGCTTACTTTTAGTGTTGATGATTCACAGAGTTTCCAGAACTTGAGTAACTGGAAGAAAGAATTCATATATTATGCAGATGTAAAAGAGCCTGAAAGCTTTCCTTTTGTAATTTTGGGCAACAAGGTCGATATAAGCGAACGGCAAGTGTCTACAGAAGAAGCTCAAGCTTGGTGCAGGGACAACGGCGACTATCCTTACTTTGAGACAAGTGCAAAAGATGCCACCAATGTTGCAGCAGCCTTTGAGGAAGCAGTTCGAAGAGTTCTTGCAACTGAGGATAGGTCTGATCACTTGATTCAGACAGACACCGTCAATCTTCATCGAAAGCCCAAGCCTAGCTCATCCTGCTGTTGATCGTTAGATAGATGGTCAGTGCATTCTAACCAACTCACACATACACACATGGTGGACAAGGGTGGATAAGAGAATTAGGATTTGCAGCAGTGTGTCATGTACTAATAAAATTAATGTATGTCGCTGCTTCATTAGTTGGTGGGAGAAGGGACGCATCCACTCTGGAAGAATCAATTTACTCAGTAATGGCACCTTGCCTTTCTAAATTGTAACTGTTGTCTAATGTTTCTTTGAATATGTAAGTTAGAGCTAATAAGAAATGACCAAGACTTTAATTATAATTAAACAAAAATTGACTATTCTAGAAGATACACTTGGATTGTTTTTTCCCAGGAAAAGGGAAAACTACTTTTCTATGTGTATATTTTTATGTAATTAGCATTCTATTCTTGGTTCAAGGGAAAAATCTAAAGCAATAATGTTATAATATTAAAGATCAAAGTCTAATGCATTTATATTGGATTGCTTTTTGAGTATGTTTTCATCTCTTTAAGATGATTTGAAACAAGAAAGGTCCTATTCATTCACAGGTTCATTAGAATTGATCTCACAGCTGCTCCCCACTTGTGTGCTGTGCAGGCACCCAACACCTCCCCCTCATGCTGAAGCTTTGCTGTATTACTCTTGGAGGAAGCAGTTGGAATTGTACTTTGTGAGAGGGTACAGGATAATAGGGTGTCTTGGTTTACTCAGCTACTTAATAAAGCGAGCACACTTGGTGTCTTCTCTCTTGCTCCGCATTGTAGTGGTTTGCACTCAAGGTTTTTCCTTCTAAAATGAGGACTTGCTGTAGTGACCAGACTTGATGAAGCAGATTGTGGTCTTTTGTGAGTCAAGTTCATGTTTCCTGCTGATGAGAGGCCTATGAAAGCAAATCAAAGCACACACTACAATTTACATGGATGGGATCCTCAGTTATAGGGCGGTGGGCTTATTAAAGGTCATATTGACATGGGATAAGAAGATGTCACACAAGGAGAGTAGAATTTGAAAACTAGATTGACTTGACCCCCACCTATTGGGAACTACTTGAAAAAACATTGCAGTAAGATAAACTTCTAAAGTCGAATTTCCTAAACAAAAGGGAATTTTGTCATATGAGAACATTTTAAATTTGGGGCAACACCCTCATTTTCTCAGGTCAGAGTGAGCTGTGGTTTTGATTATAACTGACCCCATCCCCAGCTATAATCCTCTGTATAAAAATAATCCCATAAAAAATTGTTAATATGTTATTGTTCCTTGTTTTTCTTTATAGACTTATCTATACTTTTTGCAAGTCAGAATTACACCCGATGTCTGGTAATTTGCTTTTTCTCAACATATCAACATTTCTATGTATCCTTTATTAGCTGAGTCAATGTGTGAACAATTTGTTAAATATTCTTAGTTGATATTGACCTAGTAGTAAGAAAGTAGTACATAAGGATAAAGAACCTCAAAGAATAAATTGCTTGCCCTTCATCCAAGTTAACTTCAATGGAAAAGCTTTTCAGCAGCAAAAGCAGCTGCAAATTTTGATTTTCTTTGGGTTGAAAGGACAATGATGGGTGGAATTATCTGTGTAAAGGTGAGCAATATGGAAAAAATAAAAAAGCAGATGAGGCACAAAGCAGGTGGTGACTCTGGTGGCAGAAGTGATGAGTAGTGCCCAGTATCCCAGAGAGACAGGCGATGGGCAGGAAGAACTGAAGGTCATGCTTCACACCTTGGGAGAGGGAGGCTCTAAGATACTGAAGGCACCATCGGGTGTGTCTGTCAGTTAAGTTCAAGCTGTGCATGAATGCAGTCTTTGAAGACAGTTGAGTTTTAAAAATGCAATGTACTGGACTCAGAACAGATACATATGCATTTGTTGACTTGTGTAGTGATTATAGCGTGGCCTGTGGAAGATGGAAACAATCCCATCAAAGGATTACTTCTGTTCATCCCACTTGCTTTACCCTTTGAAAAATTTCCTAGTTAGAAGCGTCCCAGCTGTTCCTTGCATTAAAAAGGATACCTTACTATATTTCTATACAGATTTAAGTTTTCACTTTAATATTACATCACGATGCAAGTTCTCTCACAGTATCTGTCTTATCAGGTGCCACAGTGTTATGTAGAAAAACAGACCAGGGTAGGTACCCAGTGAAAGGCAGAAGTGGACAGTCAGTGGCTTCTGGGATCCTACAGATTGTCAATTGGGAAGTGCTGAATGACTGAGAAACAGCATGGGGTAGCAGCAGGAAAGCAGAGAAGGCTGCTGCCTACACACAGAAACATTAATGCTGAACGAAGCAGCCAAAGACAATTCCAGCTATAAAGGGGACTTTTGTGCACTTTACGTGGATCAGGGGGCTAATGTGTATTATAAATCTAGTGCTGACATGTATGTACTTAGTATAGCCTGATTTTACCCCTTGGTCTTACACTCCGGGATGTTCAGGAACATCACCTACCAGAGCCAAGCTTTGCCAACTTTGTTTTCCTAATGCTTCGGCCCTGTTTCCATCCTGTCAGCCTCTGTGCATTCTCCGTGTTTCTGGAATGCTGCTTCCCTGGGTGGCCCCACCTCTGAGGTCCCATTCCTTGCTGGACTTTCCCCTGAGCTCCTTCAATGATGTAGTCACATGTGAAAATTGGCATTCAGCTACTCACAGAGCATGTGTGTTCCAAGCTCCCATCTCACCCTCACAAACCTAGAGAAAATGAAGACTATTTGCAATGTACTACTGTCATGCAGCTGAGCTGGGGCCTGAACCCAAGGCTCCTCACCCATACGGCTTCCTGCTGTAATGTGCTACTGCTCCTGGCTGGCTCCCATGACCGCCTTTGGATTATATGCTCATTGAAGGTGGGGCAAATTGTATACCATACATACATGTTTGGATACCTCATTTTATCATGGCTGAAATTACTCCTAGATTTCTACATGAGTATCTGTTTTCCCTGTTCCTAAAACTGGCACATAGTGGGAGGTGAAATGAAATGTCTAATGGGTTAAGGTTTTGGAGTTTGCAGACTTTTCATGGGCAAAATAGGACTGAAACTGGTGGTGGCGTGTAGTACTTTCAAAATGGATATCAAACTACCACAAACTTGGATAAATATCTTTATTTAAGAAATCAAATAAGAGTAAATCTGATGGTAGCAACTTCACACAAGGATATAGGATCAAGCTTAAAATTACTTGCTCAAAATTTTTGTCATTCAGAACAGAATTCTTCAAGTGCTCATAAGCACAGAAAATATCTGGTCTTGCTTTTCCATGGACATTCATTATTTTACATTGAAAACACACAGTATAGTACAGAAGAGACAACTATTAGCCTCCAGTGTACAACCTAAAAAGCTAAGTGCAAATGTTAATATAATCCAAACTTTAATGACAGTTCTTCAACTGTATTACAATTTTTACAAGCACAGATACCAGTCAGTTTATTCAAGTTCCATTTTACTTTCAGAAAAAATACAAAAACATAGGGTAACAGAGGCAACACATTTCACTATGGTCTGTAAACTTGGTCCATTATACACATACAGGTAAAGGATTCCAAAGTTATAGCAGTGATGATCACTAGTCCTAGTCTCTGACAGAGGCAGGCATACAACAAATAGCCACGGCAAAAGCGTTTTGATTCAGCTTAGGTAGTGCTGTGTACTATAAATGTTTATAGTATATCTCCAAGTGTACAAATAAATCACTGTATGTGCTATCAATTTCATTTCCTTCTGCACAATCTTAGTTTTAAATCTGTCTACCAAAGCTTGACTATGACATTTGGTAGTTTGACACTAAGGTCAAACTATCTGGATAAGGAAAGTCAAAAGCTTTTCAATTTTTTAAAAAAAATTTATTTAAAGGAGAAAAAAACAAAACTAAACAGTAAGCTTCCCAACTTTTAAAATACAAATATTTCAAAATTATCGACAAGGAACTCTATAAATAACACTTGACAAGCAAATACTGTTGATATCCAAGATGAAACAATGTACTATTTTTAAATTATAAAAGAAATTCTACTAAATTTAGATAAACTGAGAAAAGTAAAAGTTTATAGGCTAATCAAGTTACTTACAATGTACACATTCCTGAGTATATCCCATTGTGACACTGTTTATTTTGAAAATTTTTCTGTATTCAGCTTAAAAGATGTTTCTTCCCAAGAAACTGAACTTTTCTGTCAAATGCGCTTGATCGAATAGGAGAGTTGGGTTCATAAAATGGATTCATTGCAAACTAGAAAAGAAGAAGGTATTAGTGAGCTTGTCAAAGCAAAAGACTGAAAAAATCATAGGCCTTAAAAGGAAATTATTTGGAACTTTTAAATTAAGTCATAAAAAACATTCAAAACAAAAATCACATTTTTAAGTTTCATTCTATATCCTCAATTGTTAAACACTATCTCCTTAAGGAAAGTTTTGTCTTTGTTTTAGTTTTGAGAAGTATCTAGCAAAACTAACGGTAATAGGATAGGTATTATTCTCTGAGTAAATTAATTTTCTAGATCCACCCTGTGTGTGAAATACAGTACTAATTTACTAGTAGTCTTTAGAACAAATAGACTGAGCAGTAAGGCACTTTGCATAAACAAATGAAAATCTGCCATGTATTCAGAGTTAAGAAAAAGTTACTCTTGGGTATTTTTTAATCAGGTTTTTAAATATATTTTAACAGAAAGCTAAATAATCAGTTCCTTATCTAAAGCAGTTAAGTGCATCGTAACAGATGTGAGGAAATTAACATTAAATGGAATTACTGAGGAAAGGAATTGCTGATTTTTACATCTTAATCACTTGATACTTATCCGTCTTTTTTTTTTTCTTTTTGAGACATGGTCCGCTATGCAGTTCAGGTGGGACTTGAGCTCACTTTGTAGCCCAGGCTGGTCTTTTTTTTGGGGGGGGGGGGCAGTACTGGGGATTGAACTCACAACCTCACGCTTGCCAGGCAGGTGCTTATGCCATTGAGCTAAATCCCCGGCCCTCAGGCTAGTCTTGAACTTGCAAAGTTCCTTCAGCCTCAGCCTCCTCAATGTTGGGATTACAGGCGTGCGCCAACACACCCAACTAGCTTATCCATCTTTGTAAGAGTTAAACATGCCTAGTTGGTACCTCTGACTAGAAATAGTGATTTTTCAACTTTATTGTGGTGCAGATATGTAAGAAATCCTGGCTAGATATAAAACATATTTAAGAACAAACTGTTATTAGCACTGTATGCTAACCATGACATCATATTACTATTTTCTCATTTCAGTATCAAATGTAGGTGCACCGTTATCCTTTTTCATGACGTAAGAATTAACACTTCTGGGGCTGGGGATTTAGCTCAGCGGCATAAGCACCTGCCTTGCAAGCAGGTAGTCCGGAGTTCGATCCCTGGTACCAATAAAAACGAAAAATACAAAAAAAAAAAAAAAAAAAAAAAAGAATTAACACTTCTTGCCAGTTTAGGATCTATATCCACGGCATTGTAGATATAAATTATAAAGCAGATTTCCTTTATGTAGGCCATTTCCTTGCTCTCCTAAGGGTTCCCTAACTCAATAATATGCCTCAGTAGAGGAAGAATGGCACTGATTTACCTTCATAAACATTTAAAAATACCTACCACGGGTTATTTTCCTGACTACATATTAACTTAGCAGCAAAGACCTGCTTGCTGAGAAAGTTGCCAGAGCTAGTTCTGATTTGGCAAAAGCTAATCTGAAACGAAAACTAGCTAGCCTTAGGGAGTTAAACAGGTTAGTTTCATGTCAAAGCTAGATTAGATTTAGAAAATTGTAGGACATGCCATACCTTTATATACAAATCATAAACATCAGTAAAGAAGTTCTTTATTCCATCTTCTTGCCTTATATCGTGAAGCATAATAAATCTCATATGTGGAATAATTAAGGTATCATTTATTAAAAATGAAAAGCTATCAGTTGACACTTTAAGTCGCCTGCACTGTATTTTGCAATGGAAAAGTTGAAGACAAAAACTGGGTTTAAAGTCAGCTTTATCATACAGAGAATGTAACCTTTTAAGGTTAGGAGACAGATATAAAAATAGCTCTATAAATGGAAATTTTACCATTTTTACCAACTCCTTGACATCTACAGATTCTGAACCTGGTCATCAATGTTCCATATTCTTGTAAGTCTGTTCACCCAACCTTTAGTCAAATATCTTTTTTTTTTTTTACTTTTTTATGACTAATAAGGTAAGGATATGGCCGGCAGTGACAAATGCTGACACAAACCACTCATTAAATTTGTCCACAGTTTTCAAGTACATGTTGTTTGAGAGCCACATATTTTCATCCACAAGGTCAAGAGCAGCATGAGCTATGAATTGGTTCAGATGACGATGATCATCCTAGATGACAGAGAGCAGCAACAGATTAACGTTTCCATGTAGCATCAGGAATGCCAACCCTTCATTCTGCAGATTCCACATGTGGTTTTTTCATGAGGGAAAAACAGTACTTGTTTTTACTTCATCTATCATCATGAGACATAAAAGCCTCTGGTTCCCTATATTCTTACATTTTAATCTGATATCTAAAACTTGACAAGGAAATAGGGAGCCAGCTAATAAATAAAATGTGTTTAAGAAGCTACACAGAAAACATTTTTAGTGTTACAAGAAGATAGTTATCAAATTCTGTAACCATTTAAGGATATGAAAACAATACTGCATTTAAGAGGGAACACACACACACACACACATACTCGTGGTAGATCCTGCTTTTCAGAAGCTTGTATCTTAATCAGAGGAGAAAGACATGAACCTGTCAGTGGATGTGGGTTTAGGGGAGCACCCTAGGAAGCCCAAGCCCAAGGAGGTGGTGAAGGAAGGCTACAGAGGAGTGGGCTGCACTGGCCAGAGGCAGCAGGGAAGGTCGGGTTCCTGAGGAATGACACCAGGGATGCAAGCAGCAGTGACAACTGAGAGGTAGTACACATGATGGCTGCCCAGAGGCCTCTTTTAGATGAACAGAGCTCATACTATATATGGGGATCCGGGGTTGGTGCGAGGCCACGCTCAGCTCTAGCTTGTGAGCAGTCATCTATGTCAGCAGGGGACAATCCTGCCAGAACTGGGAATGTCCTTGTGCTGGGCTTATATTGCCTAATTGGAAGGTGGGACAGATCCACCCTAATATAGAGAACAAATTCAGAACCTAAGATGCAGTTTTACCCCTGAGGAGTTTTCTCTCCGTCTCTCTCTTTGGTAGTGCTGGAGAGTGAAACCATAGCCTCGGCAGTGCTAGGCAAGTGCTCTACCACTTGATCTATATCCCCAGCCTAGAATTCTTAGTTTCAAAATGTACTTGCAGTGAGTATCTGTTATGGATTAAACTGTGTCTTCCCCAAAATTCATAGGCTGAAGTCCCAAGCCCTAGTGTTTCTGAATGTGGCCCTAAAGAGGGTTGCTGCAGATGTGGTTCATGTATGCTGGGCCTCTGGTACACTCAACAAACACAGGAATGCCCTGTGAACACTGGTGTTATAATTGCTACAAACCACTAACTACCAGAAGCTAGAAGAGAAGCCTTGGAATGAACCCTTTCTTGGAGACTTCAGAGGGAACATGGCCTTGCTGACACCTGCTCTTCAAACTTCTACCAGTTATGGGTTCATTCTAGATGTCCCCCCAAAGCCTTATGCAGGAATAGGTGGGGCTTTTCAGAGGTGGTAGGATCTGGAGTGTGTGATGCTGGGATTAAGGGTGTGTGATTACTAAATCAGTCCATTGATTGATTTGGCAGTTCTGGGCAGGTTAAGGCTACCCCATCCTGCGTGTGAGTGCTCTCTGCCCTAAGGATGGGTAGGCTTGATAAGATTAAGAGACAGAAATAGATTTTTGGGTCCTTTGTTGCTTATTGCTTGCTGCCTTCTGCCCTGCTTTGCACTGGACTATTTCTCTCCTCTGCCATGTGCCACTCTGCCTTGGAGCCAGCTGACTATGGACTGAAACCTCTACATACTGGGGGCTAAACCTTTCCTCCTTTAACTTTGGGTTCCAGGTATTTTGTCTCAGCACTGAGAAAAAAATAACTAAGCCCCCTTGGTCTATAGGAATAAATTTGTTGTTCCAAGCCACTTGAGTTTTAACACAGGAAACCAATACTACCTTTTTCCTGGGAAGTCTGTTCCCATGATTAGGCTATAGGAAGGCTGCCAGTTGCCCTGGAATCCCTCATATTGCTAAGTATGTTTACTTCACTCACATTATCATGGCAAAACTAACTGAACCCTTAGAGAAAAGGGATGTATTTTGTCTCTAGCTCACAGCAGTACTTTCGATGACTTTACCGTGATGATCACTCCTGAAAGGGAAGCAAGGGGATATGAAAAGAATTGAGATGCGTTATGTTCATGTACCAACCCCCACAGTCAGTATGTTGAGCAAACATAGTAACAAAAATTCTTTTAAAGACTAAAAAACGATCACTTTTGAAAGATTGGAACAAACAGTAAAAATAGTTTAAGAAGGTGGGCAGTACCAGGAAAGAGAACTAAGACCAAGTCAAGTGATTAAGTGTTTTAATTATTCTTTTTTTGGTAATGGCAATTGAACTCAGGGCTTTGCGCTTGTCAGGCAGGTGCAGTACCACTGAGCTATATCCCCGGCTCTGATTAAGTGTTTTTGTATGTGCTATTTTTTTTATATTGGGGATCAAACTCATGACCTTGCACTTGCCAGGCAGGCACTTGTGCTGCTGAGCTAAATCTCTGGCGCTGTATGTGCCATTTTGTCCACCATCAGCCCACTGTGCTGCACAGAAACTGAATGCAAGTAACAATGTCCCATGAAGCAACTAGTGCTACAAAAGTACCTCAAAACAGAGTTTTAATGAGTAATAGAACTCTCATAAGAATACAGGGAAAATTATGTTGCAATAGCTCCTGGTACATAATACCTTAAACAAGTCTTTTTGTGATAAGTGAACATTTTAAAAGCATCTTACACTTAACATTGTGCACTATGACTAAGTTACAAAACCAACTCCTTGTCTTAAAGGACACTGAAGCCTATTTGTGGAGGCTGGGAGAAACACAGCATACTTGGCGGCAATTCATTAGGCACATGGATGAGTACAAACAGATGGAAGGGACTGAATCTTTGACTGTTTACTTTGAATGGTAGGTAATGTTACCGAAGCAAGCTCATTTCTCTGAAACCATTCCTGGCAATCAGATGGTTGGGGCTTCGCCTCTGGTGCTGCTTTCAAAGTTTCTTGAGCACAGACAGGGTGTCACTACGGAGAAGGCCATGCAGGTACCACCCAGCGAGGCAGTGCTACAGAAGTCACTGGAAACACAGGCCCGCAGACCTAGCAGCATCAGGACAGTATGAGAGTCTCTTTGAATCCTCTCAGATATAAAGTGATCCACTACATCCATACCCATGAAAAGTGTGAATCACCAAAATAGAATGGACATCTAATCCTTTTCAAGGCAGCAAGGATTGTTCTTCCAGACTCACTAAGGTAGATGATGTTTCCATGCATGTAAGAAAGAGCATTTCCTAGGGGTGACAGTGAACCAAACATCATGGGAAAGAGACCTGGGCATCTTGCTAGTCTAAATATGTGCTGAATAAAGGTTGCCTAAGCAACCCCAAAGACATTCCTCTGGCTAGCTTCTACTGTCTCGAGACTCCAGAGTGCCTCATTTAATGGTGGTGAATTTCGGTTACCTCATCTGACCAGATCTTCCAGGTCTAAAATCATACCACATCATTATACCAGTTTAAAAATTCTTATGTAATTTAAGATTTCATACGTACTTTGGATTCTGCTTTCCCAGCTGGCAAAAATTCCATTTCAAAAACTGGATTATCATGGTGACCAACGATTACAAAGTAGAAGCTTCCAGACATTGTCTTTAATATATGGCTCCTAATAAATGAAAAATACTTAATTTTGGTATTCAGAAATGAACTCCAAACATAGTTAACACAACATCCAGAATTATTTTCTTAGCTTACAATTGGCTTGTTTTCCAGTATAAGTATGATAGATATACAACTTTTGGACTATTAATGTTAGATATCTGGAATGCATCCTATATAATCCAATGTACTATGTTGTCAGAGAAAATGGAAAACCTCTAATATAAAATAAAAAAGGAAACATTTTTGTGACCTGAAAATTCAGGACATTCAGCTCGAGTCCCTGTATGTCTCATGGAGTAATCCAGGCTTAATTTGGTTTGGACTGGCTAGTGTTCACATTAACATCTAGGCAGATGAATTGTGAGTAGTTAAGTGCAATTGAAAGTGAAAACACAAAGGAAATAATGAGCTTGTCTCAGAAACTTCTAAGAAACATCCTTTAGAGAAAGCTAAAAACAGCTGCACCATATATCATTTACACAGGAGACACTGTAGCATTAATCTACAGATTGTGTACTCCAGTCCTCTTTTTCCCAACTGAAGGATATGTGCTGGAATTTAAGTCCCTACACATTCAAGAGCCTACAATATGCCCCTTAATATACCTGAAAGCAAGGAGTTTTATGTTCTACAAAAAATGGATGAAATAATACAAAAAGGAAGATATTCTGAGGTACTGAAAGGTCTTAGAAGTAAGGGTCATCAGGTTGACCGGGGCGGGGGGGGGGGCGACTAAGAAACTGGGAGAAAACGTTAGTGATCCCATGGCTTTTAATACAGATCAACCAAAAGCTGCACTGGTAGATGGATGTGTGGACAGACAGGCAAGTAAACAGAAAGACAGATGATGGCTGGACAGAGGGGATAAATAGATTTACCTATGTGTATATTTTTATCATAGGGCTCTGGAGCCAGATGTTAAGTTCAGTATAGCTCTGTTTCTTACCACCAATTGCGACCATCTTAATCTCCCAGGGTCTGCTTCCTCAGCTGCACAACAGAGATAATGCTGTAGCTACTTTGATGATATAATCATGAGAATTACAATCTAATGCCTGAGAAGCATGAAACTCTAATGCATGGTGCTTAGTTCACTGTGTGTGTTCAATAACTATTATTTAGAACAACATGGAAGAGCTCATGCACACTAGGCACCTGGTAACTCCTCAACATGTGGTGGGAAACTAGTTAACTGGGGGGATCTAGTCAGCCTCCCAAACATCTGATGTGGGGCGGGCCCAGGATTCACCAAGCCTCATTAGACCTTCTGCTGATTTACTCAGAACTCCCGACACAATCAGAAGACATCTTCTTCTTTTTTTTTTTTTTTTTTGTCTTTTTCCTTTTTATCGGTACCAGGGATCGAACTCACGACTGCCTGCTTGCAAGGCAGGCGCTTATACCACCGAGCTAAATCCCCAGCCCCAAGACATCCGTTTCTTTTTTTTTTTTCCTGTGTACAGTGCAAAGACATCTGTTTCTTAAAGAATGAAACATTTTGTAACATGAAATCAGGCCACATCTGGCACTTTTGACTCAAATTAGAAGGCTATGACTGGAAGAAAATGCAGCTAGGAGACTTGGCATGATGAAATAGGATTTATATGGAGCAGAGGTCAGCACCCTACAGACTGCAGGCTAAATTGAGCCTCATGCATATCCTTACTATCTAAAGGCTGCTTTCACTCTTCAATGGAAGAGCTAAGCAGCTGCAACAGAGGCCATCTGGCCCCCAAAGCCAAGAATATTTACTCTCTGGGCCTACACAGAACTTTGCCTTTGCTTTAGGGGAAAGATAAGTAAGACTGGATGACAAAGACAAGCAGAATGATACAAAATTATACAAAACCAGGAGAAGTTGCAATAATTCTTCAGAGAAAGTGAGATAAAGAGGAAAGGGAACTTGAAATGTGAACCAAGTAAACAATAATATCACTTTTTTATTTTAAAGGGATTAAGACAAAAGAGTGTCAACATAACAAAGCAGATCAGAACAGAACAATGTAAGCAACACAGTATTTACCACAAGAAAACCCGTAATTAACAGTCACTACCATGATGTCACTTTCTTTGAAATAGTTGAACATAATGTCATATACGATAGTATCAAACATAACAAAATAGTATAAAACCATTCAAGAGAATGAAAGTATTTCAGGGCATTCAGAACCAAATAACAAGAGAATGAACAATGGCTACTATATTATCTCATTTGCCATATAAATTTTTTTATACTATTACACATGATAAAATCCAATAAGATACAATATGATTGAACCAATGGAAACAGAAGAACAAAAGCATGGTAGGACTTCAAAGGAAGATGATATTAAATCAGCACTGGCTATTACAATGTCTTGTTTTCTTCAAAATAGCTGTTCATACTATCACAGATAATAAAATCAAACAAACCAGGATAAAACCATTCCAACCAATGAATGCCTAGACCCATGCCTATCACCATGTACTAAACTAAAATCTAAATGGATCAAAGATCTGAATATTAAAACAGAAACACTAAATCTGTTGGAAGACAAATTAGGTAAAAACCTTGAAGACATAGGGGTAGGTAGAGAATTCATGAACAGGAATCAAACTGCACGGGTAATACTTTCCAGAATCAATAACTGGGATCACGTCTTATTAAAAAGTTTCTGCATGTCAAAAGAAATCTCCAGCATAGTGAAAAGAAAACCCACAAACTGGGAAAAAAACTTAGTGAACTGTCCCTCAGACAAAGGACTTCTGTCTAAAACATATAAAGAATTTAAAAAACCCCAACAATATCATGAGTACTCTACAGCTGCAGTTGGCCAAGGGAAGGGCTTATTCTTCTTCACATTTAAGCAGTAGCAGAAGAGAAAAAATAAAAACCCAAGCAGCAGAATACAAACACACACACACACACACACACACACACACACACACTCTATATTTACATCCCTCCCTGCATACTTGCTCCTTTATGGAATCCACAAATGGGAAAGAAGCACAGTGTTTAAGTACAGCATGATGAAGAGGAACAGAAAGGGGTCTGAAAGGTTCTGTTACAAACTACCCAGCTGGCCAGATGAGACAGAATCTTCTTTATATGCATTCTGTCCTTGATTCGAGCTGCCAATAATTTGATTTGTAAACAGCTCTAGAAGCTAGAAGGCCTATAACTCTCCATTCTATTCTGCGAAGGGAAATCTGACAGGTAAAGTGGAAGAACTTAAAACCCTGTGACAAAAGAATGCCAACGCCTCAGGAGGATAATGTGTGCAGTCATTTAGCACCTGCGTGTAGGCTTACCGCCATGGATACTGAGCAAAGGTAAGACACACCTCTGCCAGCCAACACAATGAACTTTGTGCAGCCATGGAAGCGTCCTGTAACTGCTGTCTACAGTGAGAGCCAGTAAACCTTTAACATGTGGCAAGTGTGAATGCAAAATGGAATCTTTAATTTTGGTTAATTTTACTTTAAACATAAATAGCTGTATTTGGATACTAGGTACAATATAGGACAGTACAACTCTAGATAAATGATTCCCAATTCCTTACAAACCATAGAATTCCAATAAATAAAACAATACAAATAAAGGAACTGCTGTGATTGAGCATCAGTGTTTGTATAGGTATATGTATTTTTTTTTGTCTTTTTGCTTTTTATCGGTACTGGGGATCGAACTCATGACTGCCCGCTTGCAAGGCAAGTGCTTATGTCGCTGAGCTAAATCCCCAGCCCCGAAGTATACATATTTTTGTCTGCTCAATTTTTCTACTACTTTAAATAGAGGGTCTGAAGCATCCCATGGGAAGTCTGGCCTGAGAGTGTTGAGGAGACAGCTACACAGAATTTAGAAAAGAGTTAACCAAGGAATTGAGAAACAGATGAATCTAGGATGGTTTCCAAATGCCTAGTTTAGGTAACCATGCTGAACAGTGTCTCCTTTCGAGATGTCTGTGTCCTAATCTCTGGAACCTGTGAACATGTTTGGGTTCCTGGCAGAGAGAAATTGAGGTTGCAGATGGAATAAAAATGATCTTAAAATAGAGAAATTAAGCTGGATGTAGCAGTACATGCCCGTAGTCCCAGCACTGTGGGAGGCTGAGGCAGGAAGACTGAGTTGGAGCCCAGCCTGAGTCATATGGTTAATATAATGCTGGCCTGAGTTAAATGGCAAGCTCAAAGCAGCCTGTCTCAAAAAAAGGGTAGGGGGGGATTATACTGGATCATGCAGTTGGGTTCAATGGAACTTGCAAGCACCCTTTGAATGGAAGAGGGAGGCAAAGGAACAAAGTGAGAGGGAAAAGTGGGCAGGGAAGGATGGTCACAGGGACGCAATGCTGATGGCTCTGAAATCAAACGGGTCACACCCAAGGAATGCACGTGGCCTCTCGAAGCAGGAAAATACAAGGAAATATTCTTCCCAAAGCTTTTGATAAAAGCATACCCTGCTGACACCTTCATTTAAGTCCAGGGAGATCCATGTCAGATTTCTATCTGCAGAACACTGAAGTATTTGTGCTCCACTGAGCTACTAAAATTGTAGCAATTTATTAAGGCAGCAGTAGGAATCTTGCACATATGACAAAGCTGAAAAACCTGTAGGCCTGAGAAGGAAGGAAGGAAGGAAATGCTCAAGTCAGTATCAGCACATTCTACAAAGAGAATGGGAACAAAAGGGAGTTTCCTTGCCAGGGTCAAGGGTTTCAAAGCACAGGGCAAAGATGTCAGGGGGAGGCCACAGGTGCCTTAATGTGAGGACTGCCACAATGTGTGGGTGTCAGTGTGGAGAACAGGGGCATGCAGTGCTCACACAATGAACTGCAGACAGGACTGTAGCTTAGACAGTGATGCCTGTCAGCTGCTGCTGTGATGCAGGAATGAGAGTCAGGAAAGGATTTTAGGAGCCTCCACACTAAAAGGAGCTTTTCACAGCTCCAGTGCTGAGGCCACAGGGGTCTCAGGTGACCAAGGAAGATGTCTGTGTTCAGATAATCCACAGCACCTGGGTGAGAAGTTGCTCAAGTCTGTTGGTGCCTATGAAAAAGTCCCCCATGACAAGGGCCTGGATTAGGTGGCTGATGAGACGGAAGCCAGGACTCTGACTTGTGGTGGAGACAACACTTGTCTCAGGTGATTTCCATAGCTTGAGCTTCTATTGAGAGGGAGACACCTTTAGAAAACAACTTGGTGATACGAGGTGTTAGACTGACAAACAATGTAGGAAGTCATTAATTGGTAAGGAACATAAAAATGGGATCAGAAATCTCTGAGGTCAGCATCAGAGGGACAAAAGCCCACAAGGAACTGAAGTATATGAAATATCTTTTTTTTTTTTTTTGTCTTTTTCCTTTTTATTGGTACCGGGAATCGAACTCACGACCGCCTGCTTGCAAGGCAGGTGCTTATGCCGCTGAGCTAAATCTCCAGCCCCATATGAAGTATCTTAAGAAAAAAAAAGGTCTTTTTAGCTAACAATCAGGTAAAAGCAGGAGAAAGGTCAACGTCATTTACCACTTGGTACACAATGAAATGTTCATGTTGAAAGAGAATAGCTTTCAAATAGTAAGCACCCAAAAAACCAGGTTAGGCAGGATGCAAACATCACAATGGGTCTGTTAAAAAAATATCTGGGTATTTCAACAGCCTCCAGTGTTTAGGTCCTGGCAAATTATATACAGTAGCTTGGACTAACAAATGTGATTATAGGTCTACTGTTGATTGACATTTGAGAAATCACAGGCAGGAAAGTGCCATACCCTCTGTCTTGGTTACTTTTCTCTCATTGCTGGGACAAAATACTGGACACCCAAAATGAAGGAAGGAAAGGCTTATTTAGCTTACCATTTGTGGAGTCCATGATCGACTGGCTCCAAGGCAGGATGATGGCATGGCACTGGGGCAACAATTCAAGGCAGCAGCCAGCAAAAGAAGCCAGGACAAGAGGAGGGAGGAGCAAGCCTCATTTCCTCCTTGTATTGTACACAGGCTACCACCCCCCTCCAGGTGGGTGTAGCACTCAACAAAATCTTTTTGCCCTCCTCTAGCACAGGATGGGGATGTTTACAAAGAAGAATCCTGGCTCCCTGCTTAGTCTCTTAGTTAAACTTCTAAACTTCCCAAGTTGACACAATGTATCAACCATAACAGCTTTGAGATAGCTTAAGTGGTATTCCTATTTTCAGAGACAGAAAAAAGGGGTTCCCCTTTGTAACTGAATACAAACAGACCAAAACAACAGAAATATGTATTAAATGCCTGTTTTTCTGGGTGGTGGTGGTGGTGCTCAGAAATGCCAGGTGCTTTTATTATACATTAGTTCATTTAATGGGAATCCCTGCAAAAAACAGTAAGTTATTATGTATTCACATACCCAGGACAAGCCAAGCCAAACTTGCATCTTTTGTTTAGGAAGAACAGTATGATAGGTAGGCAATAAATCATTTTTGGAAGTATTTTGGTTATCTACCTAAGAACAAACTGCAGGTCTGCAGCTAGCCTGGGTGATAATACAGTTTTGCTTGACTGGTGCCCTTTATAAGGACACACATGCTGATTGTCTTGTTCACATTGGTATCCCCAGAACTATAACAATGTCAGGGTCCAGTAGGCACTCATTATTTGCTGGAGAAGGGACCACTCATAGCTGACTTGTGTGTTCATACTTAAAGAACTGGAATTTTCTATGTCAGTTTATGGCCCAGGGTCTCTAGGGGAGGCTCTGAGGTTGACTTTAACCTATTCCAGGTCAACATTTGAATGTGTAACTTGGATGAAGATAACTCACCACATTCAAAGATAATGCTAACGGTAGCTAACTTATTAGAAGGCGTAAGTTAGGATTCAAAAACATCTCCATGACTAGGAGAGTTAGATGAATTTTTTTTTTTTTGAGTTAGATGAAATTAACAAAATGTAATTTAAGAGGATGAGCTTAAAAGAAATCAACAGGAAGACAGAAACCTACATTAAGAGCAGTTCATCTGCACAAAGCCCCAAGTTTTAATTTACTGCAAGCTTATTAAGAGGCAGCAGTGTAATGTGGTGGTCAAAAAAGCTAAAGTAATTGTAGGCTGCATTAGGAGAAAGAGATGGCCAAGCCAGGCTGAGAAGGTGCTGACGCGCTCTTTACTAATAATACCACCTGTGAGGAAGTACTCAGATCCGGGAACAGCATTTTCAAAGGATTGATAACTAAAAAAATGTGTTAGGGCCAACGGTGGGATCTAGGTTAGGGAATGCTCTAGAGAGAAAAATGAGAGGTGACCAAACTTTAAGAGAGAAAAAGACTGTTTTGGTCGGGAGATACAGCACAGTACTATTTTTAAACATGCTGTTTAAGAAAGGGATTTGACTAGGGATGGCAAAAGGTTTCTTTTCCTTTGCCATCTCAAATCACTTCATAGTGATTGCCAGGAACTGGTGATGAATAAGAGTCTGTAGTCAGTGAGTCAGCAGGAAATCACTGTGATCGATTCTGGTTTGGGGAGTGCAGGGCCTATAGGAGAGTCAATGCTGTATTTGTTAGTTTTGCTAACTCTGCATGGCACAGATTTGCTCTACTTTTCTGCACAAGCCAAGCTCAGGGTTGTTCATCTGAAGTTACCAGGAAGCTAAAAATGAGTAATGGCAGATAGAGTAAGAGTACCAGGAGCACCAGAGTGGGAGGATGAACTCAAAGAACTTAGGAGTTGTTCCCAACCCATCTTAAGTTGCAGACAAAACTCATGAACTGCAGCTCCAAAACCATTTATTTTTTTATAGCAAAACTCTTTACAGCCTCTACAAAAGGATTTCTAGAAAACTGCCCTGTGCTCTGGATAGCAGTGGTTTCTTTCAGTAATTCCACAAGTCTGGGCTGCAAGACTGAAGTGGGGTGGCAAAACACATGTCTATTTAAATGAGGAGCAGTATGAATATTACTAACAGGTCTCTAATGGGAAATTTTCCTATTAATATTATAAGCAGTTCTCCCTATGGCCAAGTTTATTCTGGCTTTTGGTGAACATTTCATCTAATTCTATTCAACTTTTGGACCAAACATAGGGGTGGGTAGCAAGAGTGTCTTCGGGAACTGATGCTTCTTAAAAATCTAGTGTACTTTTTAACGGTATTTACAACACTGCGATATCACACTGAGCTATACTCCCTGTTCTCCCCTTTTGACAGGGTCTCCCTAAGTCTCTAAGTTGATCAGGCTGGGCTTGAACTTGAGATCCTCCTGCCTTAGCCACCCAGAGTGCTGGAATTACACTACTACACTCTGCTTCATGTTATCTTTCTAGAACACTGTTTTCAACATTTTACTATTGTGCTCAAAAGCCTTACTGCTTCCCAGCTACAGGTCATGTACTAGTACTCAAAACAGATTCTCAAGTTGCTCCTTCAATCTTATTGTTCACTTTTGCTAGAGGTGACAGGTCTACTTACTGTTTCTCCCAAATTTACTTTCATTGTATCAATGTTATACTTTAGAGTTACTTTCCTTATTTCTCTTTTTATATTTCAATGGCTCTTCCTGAGTGTCCAAACCTTACCTATCCAACAAAGTCCTTCTTCCACAATGATTTATAATAAAAACTTATAGGCTCTTCCACAGTCAGTATTGGTGGGAATCCAACCTAGTACAACTACTATGGAAAATAGTATGGAGATTCCTCCAAAAACTACGAAGAGAAATTCCATTTGACCCAGGTATTCCCCTTTTAGGTATCTTTCCAAAGGTATTAAAGGCATCATATTACAGTGATCCATGCATACCTATACTGACAGCAGTAACGAGTGTAATAGATACATCTTAGAAGTGGCATACATGTCCATCAGCAAATGAACGGATAAAAAGAATGGATAAAGTAAATGCAGTATCCATACACAGTGGATGATGACTCTGGCATAAATAAGGATAAATTTGAGTCATCTGTAGGAAAATGGATACACTTTGAGTCATAATGTTCAGTGAATTAAATCAGAAACACAAGCTTAAATAGCAAATAACTTCTCATATGAGAAATCCAAAGTATTAATAAGTTAAAGAGCAAAAAGAAAAGACATAATAGAAAACGGAGATACACGTTTTGCAAAAGGTAAGGGTACTCAGGGATAGAGGGAGATGAAAAAAGGATTAAGATATGTTATGTATATAAGTCAACTTCCCATAATGAACGTAACCCTTATGCACTGCAAACATGAACAACAACAACAACCCCCTACAGCATGTCCACCTCCTAAGTGTTACCCTTGCTGCCTCCGCGAAATACTATAAACTTTTCATAGCCAGAGATCAAAACTTGTACTCTTTAGTGCTGTGCACAAAGCTGACACTGACCCAATTTTGTCCTCATTGGTAGGACTTCCCCATACTCTGTATCCCCAAAAGTCAAGCCAGAATTTCTACTGCCTCCACAAACGTCCTTTTTTATATTCCCTTGTTCATTTGCCCTTCTGCGATATTCTGTTTGTCCACTATCTAAATCTTACTAATCAAGGCACTGATGAGTAATGCTTTTTCAGAGAGCCGACACTGCCCTCTTTCATCTTCAACTGCCTCTTTCCAAACTCTACCCTACTTACAAAAGCATCTTAGTTCTTGTTCTATTTTTAGGCTGTAACGTTTTCATTATTGCTTCTGAGATTTAGTTCCTTTGCTTTCCAATTAAGTTTAAGTACCCTGGGGCCCGGACTTAACTTTCTCAAAGTACACAGAAGTGAGTATTATAAAGTTTGGTTCCGTAGTTCTTAAATAGGAGCAATTCCGCCTCCCTGAGGACATGTGACAAATGTCCGCAGGCAGTTTCAGTTTTCAAAACCACGTGCCTGGAAGCGGTGGGCATTAATAGTTACACATCACGGATATGGTTAACATGTTACAATCACAGAACTAGACTAAGTCCTACAACAAGGAATTTTCAGGTTCCAAAAGGCAACAGTATCACGGGTAAAGAAACAATGAGTTAGCTGAAGGACTTAGGGAAAACCAAGCGTCCTAAAAACGAACATCAGCAGGTCGAAACGGGGTGTGGCTCGCTCAGATGAAGCTGGCCGCGATTTATATACAAGGTCAACGTCCGCCTCACGCCGGACCTAGGACGTCCCCTAGGGAATCAGAGAGCCCGTCCTTTCCCCTCGCTACAACCCCTACCTGTAGTGAGACGCAGGCAAAGGAAACGCCCAGCTAATTCTTGAAGCTGAGACCCGCGCTGTAAACCCTTAGCCGGGACTCCGGAAGCAATCCTCGCGAGATACCTCCGTTACTGAGCTCTCGCGAGATGTGGATGAGTTTATGGTTCGGCGCATGCGCTGAGGCATTCTGGACGTAAGTGGCCAAAATGGTAGGCTCGCGGGAGGGCACGCATAGAGTCTCAGCGGCAAAAACTTGCGGTCCTCCATCCCTGCTAGGCTTCTTTCTCTAGTTCTCCGCCCACCAGCTTCTGTCTTTGAGAGTCCCATCAAAATCAAGGCCTCCTGTACTGTTCAGAACCGCAGAGAGAGGGAGTTAGTGTCTTTGACAGAGTTCTAGTTCGAAGTGCTAGGCTGAGCGTTCTCCCTTGTTCTCCGGTCCCCCCAGATACGGGACTCTGAAATCAGGGATTCCCTCTGGTCTAGGGCCGGCAGCCTGGGTTGGGCCTTGAATCGGGTCACAGCGGTTCAGGCTCGGGAGGAAGTAGTTACCGGGTGATGGCTAGGTAGCTACAACTGCCGCTTTGCGGAACCGACGCGACAGAATCCTCTCATTGTGTCTGTCGGAGTTCTTTTACACTATAGGCATCTTAGAGCTTCCCGGGCGGCCACTGGCCTGTTTTCAGAAATTCACTTCCCCTCTGCCCTCCCGGTAACTTGAAACCATTTTCTCTTCCAGTCCATCATGCCCCACAAGTGTGATGTGTTGAGTCAAGATGAACTGCGCAAAAAGCTATACCAGACGTTTAAGGATCGGGGCGTACTGGACAAGTTAAAGGTATCAGATTTAGAGAAATCTGTGTCGTAGCTTTTGCAAGTGTAACCTAAAACAAATAGTCCACATTTAAATTTATCCAGAGCTTGAGTTTTAAAAGCAGGATGACGTATGCGTTGTAGTGACGAGTTATACGTTTATATGGAAAATGTTGAGTTTGAGTTGTATTTTTTTTTTTTTTTTGGTCTTTTTCCTTTTTATCGGTACCGGGGATCGAGCTCACGACTGCCTGCTTGCAATGCAGGCGTTTATGCCGCTGAGCTAAATCCCCAGCCCCCAAGTTTGAGTTGTCTTAAAAGAGCCTGTTTAAATAATAGATTTATGGAACTGACATTAAGATAGAAGCAGTAACATGTACTGAACACATTTGAGTAAGATTAGACTTGATCTATAAATCTGGCATACCAGTTCCTGAATTAATTGGTGATTTTGTAATACATTTGATGAAGGCCGTCGACTCCATACAGAAAATATTAAGTGTACTACTTACTGTAGAACAATTTGATACTTTTTTTTTAAAGACAGGGTCTTGCTGTGTAGTCCAGGCTGGCTTTGAAGTCGCTCTGTAGCCCACGCTGGCCTCCACTTGCAGCGATCTTCCTGCCTCAGCCTCCTGTGCTGGGATTACAGGCATGCATCACCACACTTGGCAACAGAACAGTTTGAGGAGTGACATTTTTCCCTTAAAAAACATTGGGTCATACCCTTTAAGCTTTGAGAATAAAATATGCAACAAAATGGTGACTTGGAGATGGAAGCCCACTACCTGGGTTCCTCATTCTGTTTGCATGCAAGTACACAGTTTTTATGCTGAGGATTCATGTCCAAAAGTCTTGTAAACTTAGATATTTCACCTATGTAGAGCAGATGTCAGTGTGGCTTAGCATGTAAATTCGTGCTTTAAGCTGTAATTTAATGTAAACGTGCATCATAGTATTTGTTGTGTTTGACCTAATATAACCCTTGTAATAAAATTTTGTATAGATTTTACTGTTTTTTTCGGGCTAAACCTTTGGGAAAAGGGCTAGCTAGCAAAGGTAGTTTTGAAATAGATGTGTATATGATTTCTTTTGAGCGTTTTCTTTCTTTTTTTTGGTCTTTTTCGTTTTTATCGATACCAGGGATCGAACTCACGACTGCCTGCTTGCAAGGCAGGAGCTTATGCCGCTGAGCTAAATCCCCAGCCCCTGAGCGTTTTCTTTATAGTGCATTTAAATTTAGTTTGACTCAGTACATTTTTTCAGTTATTTAATTAGTAATTTAAAGTGTGTGGTAAATCATTGGGAAGTTCAGATTCATTATGGAGAATCAGTGTGCAGAAAGCATAATGTTTAACAATTTTAACATCAAAAATGTTACTCCTGCATAAACATATTTTAATAATTAATAGGTGTTTCTGTATATATAGAATGCATAGAGTACCTTAGTAAATCTTTGAATCATAAAAAATAAATGTAGGTTAGAACATAGAATTTAATATAGACAGTAGATATATATAAGTACATTTTATATTTTAACAGGAGTAGTATTAGCTCTGTTTTCATTTCAAAAGCATGAAGTAGGAAATAAAGAAAAGTAACCCTGATTAGTCTCACCCTCTTGCTCATTATTTTGTAACCTCATAAAAACAGATTCATCTAGAAAATACAGAAATGCAGAAAGGGGGAAATGATGTCTAATTCAGCCTAAGTTGATATAATGTGTATATATCTTGTTTTAAATTGTATGGTAAACATTTCCTTGTTGCCTTAAATTTCTTTTTTTTCTTTTTTTTCTTTTTTTTTTTTTTTTTTTTTGTCTTTTCCCCTTTTATCGGTACCAGGGATCGAACTCACGACTGCCTGCTTGCAAGGCAGGCGCTTATGCCGCTGAGTTAAATCCCCAGCACCTTAAATTTCTTGAAATCCTCATTTCAGTAGCAGCAGGCTCATCTTTGGATGTATGAGTAATTTATGTTGCAGTCCCCTATTGAATGTTTAGTTTATATCCAAGTCTACACATAACTTCAGTTGCACCTTTCATATTTTTGCTTGGCATAGATAAAATCACATTACTGAGTCGACAGAAGTATTTTTAAAGTTATTGAACTTGTTCTAGAAAGATTATATTAGTTTATGTTCCATCAGCAGTTTAGGAATGTTTGTTTCCCTGCAATATTACTAACATTACACTTTTTAGCAATCTAAAATTGCGAACAAAACCTGTTGTTTCAGTATTTAATATTTCATTCCTTTGCTTATTGATGAGGTTCATATCTTTTCTGTCATTTGTATTTTCCATTGATGACAATTCATGTTCCTTTTGTGTTTTTCCTGTAGTGTTAGTGTTCTGTTGCCAATGTTTTTAGTTTCTTTTAGTAGAAACTATTAATCTTTTCCCTATTTGTATTGCAATACATTATCTCTGTGTTCAAATTTAATTTGATCTGTAACATTTTTATATGGTTAAATCTTTTTGAATTTTTACTTTTATTCTTGGTACTTGCAAAGAGAATGACTATTCATTTTTAAACTTTATTTTTCTGGATTTTTTGAAATAGCATCTCACTACATTGTTCAGTTTGGCCTTGAGCTCACCATGTTGCCCAGGCTGGACTCAAACTTGGAGTGATCCTCCTGCCTCAGCTTCCTGAGTGCTGGGATTTCAGGTGTGCACTACCATGCCCAGCTTCACTTTTAAAATTTTAGTAAGACTTTTTTACATTTATTTCCTTAACCCATCTGTAATTAGCTGTAGTATATGAATCTACCTGGAATCATTTGTACTTCATTAATGTACTTTCTGATATTAACAATCCTCACGTTCCTGGGCATGTCCTATTCTGGGTTAGATTTGATAGTGTTTTACTTCATATCTGGAGTCATGACTGATATTGGCCTATCATTATCCTCCTTGAGCTCTCCTTTGCTTTGGTGCAGGGTAATACTGGCATTATTCACTCTGTAGCTACAGTGTAGCCTCCTGAGAATTACTGCTTCCTGTTCATTTTGCTGCTGGATATTCACTTTCTGATATTCCATCTTGATCACTGTTGATCTTTACTTGGTCAGACGAACTAATTGTTACTTTTTGATGACTAGTATAGGTGAATTCTGATTTCTTTTTTCTTTTTCTTTCTTTCTTTCTTTGTTGTTTTTTTGATACCAGGGATTGAACTCATGACCACGCACTTGCAATGCAGGCACTTATGCCACTGTGCTAAATCCCCAGCCCAAATTCTGATTTTTAAAATTAGACTAATATATGTTTTGTTTGGGTATTTGAGAAGAATTTCTGTTTACAGTGAAATACACAGTCAGTTTAGGTGCCATTAAATGAAGCTTGTGAGATCTTCTGTTCCCTTATTCTGTCCTAATTAATCAATTTCTGAGGACTTAGAAGTCTCTTCTCTCCCACTTCTCTTCTCCCCATGGTCACTGTTCTTTTTTCTCCTCCTCCTCCTTTTTCTTCTTCTTCTTTTTTTTTTTTTTTAAAAAACAGAGTCTCGCTGTGTGGTTCAAGCTGTCTTTGAACTCACCATGTAACCCAGGCTGGCTTCAGACTCACAGGGATCCTCCTGCCTCAGCTTATTGAGTGCAGGAATTTCAGGCATGCAGCACCATGCTCAGCTCAAGCTAGTTTTTTCATTCATTTTAGGAAGTACTAGATGACATGATTTTTATGTTTTTTGAGCTAGAAATACATCTATGTTGTTTCATTTTTTCCTATTTTTCATTTCATTAGTTTATATCATTCATTTTTTTACTTTATTCTGTTTCATTACTTGTATGCAAAAAGACTCACTAAATCCTTTTATTAATTAAGATCCATCTGAACATATCAGTGTGTTACAGATGTACTGTAATTAAACTCCTTATAAATTTTAATGATGGACATTATAGTTACTTTTTCTTTGCTTTATTTTAGGTAATGAATTGTTTTAGGTGAGACTGAGCATGCATATTTTGTTCAGTATAATGTCTTTTTAAATACAGAATTTTATATGTATAATAAGTCCTGCTCTGTCTTGGTAATTATATATCATTCTTTTATAATTAAAAGACATAGAAAGGTAAAATAAGAACTCCATTTGTTGCTTGCATGAATTGTGTTAATATGAATTATGAGATATTATTTCCCACAAATCTAGGCAGTTTGTTCTTGAGATCTGCCCAGTTACATATTTCCAAGTTATATATAAAATAGATTAAACAGTCAGTAGTCCATTTAATTTAGGGGTTTTTCTTAAGATCCAAATGGTTAATAATACCAGTGCTATCACCTTGAGAAAATCGCCTATTCCAAACCTAAATTTCATGATTTATAAATTATGAAAAGATTATTATACTTAATAATGGCTCCAGATGCTAATATTCTCTATATAACTACATCCTCCCTCTCTCTCTTTTTTTCGCCTCTCTCTCTCTTCCCTCCCTCCCTTTCTCTTTCTCCCTCTCCTTTCTCCCTCCCTCTCCCTCTCTTTGTGTCTCTCTGTCTCTCTCTGTCTCTCTCTCTGTCTCTCTCTCTGTCTCTCTGTCTCTCTGTCTCTCTGTCTCTCTCTCTCTCTCTCTCTCTCTCTCTCTCTCTTGAAGATTGAATCCAGGGCTGCCTTTGGGCTTACTAATTTTCCTTTTTTAATTTTTTGGCTACCTGGGATTTAACTCAGGTCTTGCATTTGCTAGGCAGGCACTTGTGCCATTGAGCTAAACCCCTAGCCTAATTTTTTTCCTTTTGGGAACCCAGTTTTACTTTGACCAGGCTGCCCAATAAACTGACCTAACAGTAGTTTCACAGCCTTGAGCATTCCACAGCAGTGTGAAGTCATCAGATGTTCTACTTTACTTGATACCAGTCACAGTCATTTGTACTTTTAGGGAAGCTAAGTGAAGAGTCTACAAGTGGTCTGAGTTCACCTGGATCTGGGAAGAGAAAGCTTTTGCCTGAAACCTTTGGGGCTACTTTTCTCATTAGGTCAGACAAATTATACAGGGCTTAGTTCTTAACTTGTGGCCATGCATCTAGAACCATTCTGGAAAAAAAAAAAGATTCCAATGGAGACAAATCTGTTTGTATTGCTAGTGAAGCAATCTTGCAAAATTTTTTCTTGTGTTTTATTCCCTCCCCTCTTTTGTATTTTGCTTTTTTTTTTGCTTTGCTTAGACACAACTCAGAAACCAGCTAATCCATGAACTGATGCACCCTGTACTGAGCGGAGAGCTGCAGCCTCAGTCCATCTCAGTTGAAGGGAGCACCCTCCTTATAGGCGCCTCGAACTCTATAGTGGCTGATCACTTACAAAGATGTGGCTATGAATATTCCCTTTCTGTTTTCTTTCCAGAAAGTGGTTTGGCAAAAGAGAAGGTAAAGTCTGTTTTTGAATTTTCTCCTAAGACTTTCTCCCTCTGATAATTGTAAAGTGCTGCATAACAACTAAGTTCGCTTTTTGTGTGTGAACTGTGGATTGGCCCCAAGGAGCTATATCCCTGGTCTGCTAAGTGTTTCTTGACTAGCTTCTTCATCTGTGAATTCACGTTGTGTCTGCCGGTAATACACAATTTAGTAGCTTGTGTATTGTTACATAACAAATGAGTACTGACTGTGATTATTATTCTTTGGTATCTCAGTGTTTTAGAGCCGGAGCTGATCTTACATTCCATGTAGTCTAACTAGTTTTTATCTGCCATTTCTGTTGAGCATCACCTGTGAACTTGACATGATGCTATGTACAGTGTAGGTGTCATATGTTGTAGATGACTAACCAGACCCTGGACAGGTGATTTACCCAAGGTCACATTACTAGGAGGTGATGTAATTTGTAACTATAGATCACTAAAATGTGCTCTTTTTACTGTACTACAGTGTCTTCAGATTTCTCTGCTTTGTAATTGCATAAGAGAAGTGAAAGATGCATAATTTAAGAAAAGCTATAAAATTCTCAAGTAGTAAAACACTTTTTATGTTTTATCGCTTTTATGATGATTTTAACTGTATTTTCATAATATATTAGGTAGACTTTACTATTTGAAAAGTATATGTAGCAAACATCTTTGTGGATTTGTTTTTTAAAGATGGTGTATTTTTTTCAGAGCAGTTTTAGGCTCACAGCAGAATTGAGTGGAAAATCCTGAGAATTTCCATGTACCCCAACCCCACACATGCACAGACCTCCCTACTGTCACTATTTCAACTCTGGATGGTATATTTGCTGTCGCTGGTGAACCTACAATGACACATTTTTATCACTCGAAATTTACAGTTTATATCAAGGTTCTTGCTTGGTGTCAGCCCTGACTTTTTACTCTCTATTTCATTTATAATTATCCAAAAGTATCATTCCACAGCATTAGGGAAATAAGATCATTAGTATTTGAATGAATGAAATCTTAAAATTTAAATCTGCTGTGTTTCTTCATTAAGAACTAAATTCTGTTTATCAAAATTAGGAATTGGTTTTTAGTCCATCATTCTCTAACTTTCTAATGATGCTTTATACTTTTGCTTAATGTGTGATGATTAATTACGTAATTATTATGGCAGCAATTAATCCAGTTCATGCATTTAATGGTTTGTACTCATAAAATACTATGCAGAATATTTTCTTTATAGGAAAACCATTTGAAAATAAATTACTACATCTCAGTGTTCTCAGGGTAGATATAGTAAATGATATATACTGTAGTAGAAATCCATATTAAAAGTAGCTATTCAAAATGTTGGTTTAAAACTATTTTGGGTGCTTTGTAGTCATTCATAGTTGAAAGGACAGTGAAAATTTAGTTTCTTTACATTTTTAAGTAGTAATTGCAATATGAAGACCTGTAATTCACTCATCTATTCATTGATTCATTAGATACTATATTTGATTGTCATCTAAAAGGCATTAACTATTTCTGTCATTTCTGTTGGGCATATCATCTTTGATATTAAGTATTTGGGAATTATTTTAAAAATGTATCCTTTTACCCTCAATATATTTATTGTAACTTATTTAGCAATATAAGAAAAAGCTCCAATTTTGCATTAGCAACATAGTTGTAATCTTCATTTAATCTGACATATAATTCCTAGTATAGTCAGAAACATACCCTAATTGAACATTTAAATATTGATGTAAAAACATAACTACTGTTTTTTCCCCTTAAGGTATTTACTCTACAAGATCTATTACAGCTCATTAAAATCAACCCCACATCCAGTCTCTACAAATCACTGGTAAGATTTAGTTTTTATAATCTGTGCTTTGATTTGTTCATTATAACTGAATAGTTGAGTAAATATGAAATATTATCTTTTAACAGATTTCAGGATTTGAAAAAGAAAACCAGAAAGGTAAGAACCTTCATCTTAGTGGAAATAAGGAACATTTTTGTATGTACTTTTTGCTATGAAAGTATGAAGCTATTAATTTTTAAAGGAAGGCATGGGAAATTTAATTTGAACTAAATAATTTGATTTTCCTTGTTGACTATACCTCACCTTTAATAACATTTCAAATGTTCTGACAAATGTAGATCACTTCTCATCTTCCCTTCTTTTTACTAACTCTTAGATATCAAGAGTGCTACTTACAGATTGAAAATGTTTTTTGTAAAAGTACTCATTGGGATGTGTCCACATACACACACACACACACACAAATTTACTAACATTTGGCCAGATATCTTTGTATCCTAGGTGTCCCCCTCAAATACAATTTATAGAGTGTGAAATGTATTAATATTGTTTTAAAGAATATCTTTTCAGCAATGTTTTAAAAAAAATTTTAGTGTTTATATACACCTAATAAATTGCTTTAAAATTGACCTTGATAATCTTTCATAGAATCCATAGCTATTGCAGTTGCCTTACTATACGTTAGATTTTTCTCTCTCTCTCTTTTTTTTTTTTTTGTCTTTTTCCTTTTTATCGGTACCAGGGATCGAACTCATGACTGCCTACTTACAAGGCAGGCGCTTATGCTGCTGAGCTAAATCCCCAGCCCCTATACATTAGATTTGATGATGGGCTTTGTACCTTGAACATAAGCTGGCAACTTGCCTTTGATGCATAATTAATCTTTGGTCTTTTAAAATAATTGATGATCTTGTGTCATGGTCCTTCTGTGTTAGTTTGCTTTTGGATTTTTTTCTGTTGCCAACACTGCTGCCATCCCTACTAGGACATTGTTTTCTTTGGAACTCATTCAGCAAACCTTTAAATACCAACTTTCTCTTTCTTTCTTTCTTTTTTTCTTTTTCTTTCTTTCTTTCTTTCTTATCTTTCTCTTTGTTTGTTTGTTTGTTTGTTTGTTTGTTTTGACAGGGTCTTGCCTGGTAGTTCAGGCTGACCTTGAACTCACTGTGTAGCCCAAGGTGGACTTGAACTCATGGCAGTTCTCCTGCCTTGGCCTCCTAAGTGCTGGGATTATACACATACACCACCACGCCTGACTTGAGTACCAACTTTTGGTACCAGGGATTGAACTCATGACCTCACACTTGCCAGGCAGGTACTTATACTATTGAGCTAAACCTCCAGCTGAGTACCAGCTTTGAATCACCCGTTAGTCTGTTGTTTAATTGCCAGGTCTCTTAGAGATAATTTTTGATTGGCTCACTAAACGTACTAGAATACCTGCAAAATAGATCATTCCTACTGAAGTCTGGTAAGCATTGTATATTCTGGACCCAAAGGCAGTGCCATCCAGATTAACTCTCTGTTATGATGGCAATATTTATATATATATATTTTTTTGTCTTTTTCCTTTTTATCGGTACTGGGAATCAAACTCACGACTGCCTGCTTGCAAGGCAGGCGCTTATGCCGCTGAGCTAAATCTCTAGCCCAGCGATATTTATATTTGTTCTGTCTCATGTGGGGACCACTAAATGTGGCTAGTGTGACTAACCAACTGTGTTGGCTACTTTTTTCTTGTTGCCGAGACAAAATACCTGACACCCAATTAAGAAAGGAAAGGTTGATTTAGCTCACAGTTTGTAGAGAATTCAATCCATACTCCACTGACTCCAAAGGCTACCCACCTGAGGGTGGGTGTGGTACTCACATCCATAATGCCAGCATTGGACCACGAATGAATCACAAACTCTAGAACCCTGCTCGATGACCACAGGAGGCTTTGCGGGGACATCCAGATACTATAAAAACAACTGAATTTTTAATTTAGTTTAATTTAAATTTAACCACATTGGACAGCACAGTCCAAAGGTATGTAGCTAATATCTGTTGACATATTATTTGAGAAGGACATTCGGGGCTTGAAGGGATGCTGAGAAAAATCTTATTATGGGCATTTATATTATCCTTAAAAGGTTTTTCCCCTTTATACAGTCTCCTTAAATGCTTCTAGTTCAGAAAGATATCTGACTAACAATCCTTACCACCTTCACCCAGCATCTGAGTAAAATTTTTGGAAGTCAGAAAAACTATGCCAACATTTGTATAGATCTCTTTGGTAACCATAAAACAGCTACTGTTAAAATGATACTAAAAATTGGTAGCTTCCAATTAAGAGACTGAGACCATCAAAAAATAAGTAGGAGTTAGGCATGCTGGCACATGTCTAACTCCAGCACTCAGGAGGCTGAGACAGGAGGATCATGAGCTCCAGACCATCTAAGCTGAATAGCAAGCTCAAGGCCAGAATGGTCAGCTTAGATCTGGCCCTGTCTCAAAATAAAATTGAAAAGAGCTGGTGATGTACCTTAGCATTCCACACACTGAGAGAGGGGGGATGTACAGATAGATAATATGCACATGAAAAGATGCTCAAGATCATTAGTCATTAGGGAAATGAAAATTAAGGAGATACTACCACATACCTTTTAGAATGACATTCAAAACAGTGAAGCAAATGCTGATAAATGTGTGGAGCAAAAACAGCTTTCATTTGCTGCTGATGGAAGTTCAGAATCACTTGAAAGAGACTGGTAGTTTCTTACAAAGCTAAATGTAGTCATAGCATAAACCCCACAATTACAGTACTGCTACTAGGTGTTTACACGACTGACTTGAAAACTCATGTCCTCACAGAACCTGCATTTGAGTGTATTTGGCAGCTGTATTTGGAACTGCCGTAAACTAAGAGCACCAAGAATCCTTTAATAGGTGAATGAACAATGGAGCTGTGGCCCAGCCATACAAGATAGCGTTACTTATGTTACTTATCTCTCAGGAGTGCCTTATTAGGCCATGTAAAAATGTAAATGAATCCAGGGATTAGGAGGAAAGGGGTGGGGATGTTGAATAGGTGACAGCATGGGATTTTTAGGATAGTGAAAGTGTCCATATTGTATGATACTGCAGTGGTGGCTACTGGACACAAAATCCAGGGAACTTCACAACATAAAGCAAATCTGAATGCAAATGTAGTAGGCCTGGGGATCCCAGGGTGGATTGCAAACTGTGACAAGATAATGGAGCAATAATGTCCTCAGGTTGAGAGTGGTGGGGGAAGGGGGAGTGCCAGGCCAATAGAGACTACCAGTCTTAAAGCCATTGTACACGGATACTGGCACTGAAAATTCAGTCAGCTGGTAGTAGATGGTTAAGCTTCTTATTGTTTGAATGAGAATTTACAGATATGCAAGGAAGGAGGCTAGAATGATCCATGTGGTGAAAGACATCAGTATGAATTCATGTTTAGCCTAATTTACAGATGCTATATATAGAAGTAGCTATAGATAGAGTGGCACCTTGGTTTGTGAACTTAATTTGTTTTATGGTTTTGGGGAAGATGGTTATGGTTTTGTCTGTCACTTGATGCAGTTTGCAAATGGAAGCAGAATTTTGCCCAAGGCTTTTCTTTGCAAACCAAATTGTTTGCAAACAGAAGTGTTCATGAACCGAGGTATTGTATGTGTATACACACAAGTTAGTACTGTATATGTACATTTGTTTGCTTGTTCTGTCACCTGAGAGAGCCCTAAAACAGATACTTCAATAGCAGTGAGTGCATTAGTGTCCAATTTGGGCAAGTTTGGGTCTCTGTTACCATTCTGTAATAAAAGAAACTAGGACTCCTTGGAGAAATGCCTGATCTTAGAAACAGGCAGAGAATATACAAGATGATCTTGTAGCATCTCTAATGCCACAGCATAAGAAAGTCCTTTAAAAAATTCCACAAAGATCTGCCAGAGGCCAAAGCTGGAACAAATTGGTGCACCAAAATAAAATAATTGGCTGATGTAAATAAAAGGATGCATTATATCCCCAAATATGAAATAAACAAGGATGAGTCCATGCTGATAGTAGTAAATTACTGGAGGAGTAAATGGAGGCGGATAGGTGAATCCTTCACAGAGGTGGGTGTGGGTGTGGGCGTAGGCATGGGTGTGTGTGGGAGGGGACACAGGGACTCCTCAGGGGCTGGGAAAAGTACAGATCCCAGAACTGAGGACAGGGAACAGCCTTAGGAACACTTTAGTGGAGGAGCATGTCTCTGATGATCAGTCAGTACTTTTATAGTGGAACAAAACTTTCCCAAAATAAAGATACTTTGGGGTTAGAAGGGTTTAGGTTTAGGTAGGATTTAGGTTAGGTTAGGGTTTAGATTTAGATTAGGATTTAGAATTTAGAAGGTTATGTTAGGGTTTAGGTTAGGGTTTAGAAGTCCTTGGGTTTAAGGAAAAAAAACCAGCATAGATTTAGTCTTAGATTTCTGTGTCAGAAAATTTAAAAATCTTGTACGTCCTATGGAAAGAAAAATAGATATCTCCAAAGAAACAACTGAGCTGGGATTTCTGGGAGGAATGTTCTGACTGGCAATATCCTATTGGGGCAGCCCGCACTTTCCCTGCAGATGCTCCTGATCCCACTGTTGTGCAGCTCACATGCCGTGTGACACAGGGGACTGACATCTTCCCAGGCACAGGCGTGAGGTTGCTGTGTGATTCTGCCTGTAGAGGGGAAGCCGAAATTGCAGGAAAGAGTTTTGAAATCTTCAATGGAGAAGAAAAAAGACCTGTAACTTGCCTGATGCAGACATAGGAGTCTTTTCAATTCTTCCATTGGTGGCTGGGCAATTTTTTTATTGTTTTAAATTTAGAATTTTCATTAACACATATTTTGTAGTCACGGAGATGACACTCATTGTAAGGAGTTGGTCCATGTACTAAACACGTTAACACTTTTTGTGACCCTTCCCCTGCCCCCTCCCTCCATTTCCTGGTCCCCTGCCCATTTGCCAAAGACTATTTTTAAAGAATGTTTTTAACCCCTATTCATGGAGACTTAGTTGTTTTATTTGCTTTTTGCTATTAGAGGTGATCACTATGCACCCTTATGAAAGTGAGTGCAGCTATGTAAATTCATAAAAATAGAATGACTGGGGTAAAGGACGTACACATTTTGAATATATATATAAAACACTGATAAGTGTCCTGTCTAAGTAGTGACTATATCTATATCCCTCTCCCATGCCAAAACTTAGTATTATCAAGGTTTTATTTTTGTAGTGGTATAGGGAACATATAGTCTGTGTATTTAGTATTAATTTGCATTTATTTTTTTCATGTTTACCCAACATTTAAAAATGTTTTTCATCTTTATTTAACATTTAAATTTTTTCCTGTGAACTATTTGTATGGTTAGGTTGATAAATCATCTTATTCCTTCTAGGTTTTGTATCGTGCTTAGAAAGACTTTTCCTCAGAAATTATTTTTAAATAATGTAAAAAATGATAGTTTTATAAATACAAGATTATATGAATAGTAACTGAGGAAGGATTCAATAAAAGTTCTGAAGCAAAACTATGCACATTGTGTTTTTTAGGTTTCCTTATGAATTTCTTAACAGAATTGGTAGAATATCATCAAGCTAAAGAGAACTGTGATGTGGAAACTCAGACAAGTTCACCATTTCCTAGCAAGGACTCTCTTGGTAATTAAAGCTCTAGCTTTTTTTCTACTGGTTTCTTTTTGAATGGAGGAAAAGGCCTCATTTATCATGGTTCTTAGTCAAACTGGAGAGAAGTAACCTTTAAGGGATAAGGACATTCACTCATCCTGGAATTGTGTTACTGGAATTTGGAACCAGGAATTGTTCTCCAGTGTTATTCCCTATCCTCGCCAGGGCTACAGTGGCCAAATGGTGCAGGAATCCCAAGGCCCAAATTCTTCTTAGCTTGCCAAGTGTAACTTCTCTTAACTGAAGCATTCCCCCTCATGTCTCAGCAAACTTTATTTTATAGCCATTAAGGTAGAATAGCATAGACTTATTTGCTCTGCAAAAAGCAAGAGAAGTCTTTGGCCCATCAGCCCATCACTTCAGTTTATAGTTGAGGAAACTGAGGTTCAGAGGAAGAACAACGTGGAAATGTCCAGTCTCGCTCAGAATTAATATTAGAACCTAAGTTTTCTGGCCCATGAGGCAGAGTTTTTTTTTTTTTAAACTATGCAAGATTTCTATAACACCATGCATTTTGTGCTCATTAGACATGGGAAAAGAGCATTTTAAATTGATGTGCCTAATCAGCTTATTGGCCTGTCTTTATTTGTAAATAATAATAGTGCCTTTAACTTGTAAGAAGAGAAGCAATTCATCATTTGTAAAAGACTTGTATGATTAGGCCTTTGAGTAGTGGTTGAATTCCATTAGAAATATTTTCCATGTTGCTGGGTATGGTGGTGCATGCCTGTAATCCCAGCACTTGGAGGGCTAAGACAGGAGGATCGCTGTGAGTTCAAGGCCAGCCTGGGCTACATAATGAGACCGTCTTTTTTTTTTTAAAGAGATCTATGTATGTATGTATATTCCACTTTTATTATAAATCAGTGCTCTCCCATAATGCTAGCCACATAAGTAATTTTAAATCTATAGGAGCTGCAAAAACGTAAAAAGAAAACAGGTAAAGTTCTTTTAAATGTTTTGCTTACCCCAACATATCCAGAATATTTCAACATGTACTCAGCATAAAATATTACTGAGATATTTCATTTAGTTTTTGTACCAAAGTTGAAATTTAGTGTGATTTTTATACTTAGCACATCTCAGTTTGGAGTGGTCTTATTTCAAGTACTTGGAAGCCACATGAGTCTAGAAAGTCCTGTGTTAGACTGCACAGGTAGAGAGCATTTGGAAAACCTAGAAAAGTATCTGGAAACACATGTGTACAGTGCTACTTTACAGGAAAAAACCCGTTGCTGTGTTAGTCTGCTTCTGCCAGCCTGTTTTACCCTGCACATCTTTGCTAAATGTTGGTGCCATACGTGGTTGGGTTTATACCCAAGTTGAGTGTGTACTCTGGTCTGTGGCCAATTCTGTCCCACAGTTGGTTTGAAGGTGGCAGGCTTTGTGGAAAGATGCTGGCTTGAGGTGGAGCAGACTTTCCTTTAGTACCAGTTGTACTGTAGTTGCTTTACCCTCTGAAAGTCATTTTGTTCCTTATCTAGAAATGGAGGGTTTAAGATACGTGATTTTTGAGTTTTTCAAAATAATTGTTTTGAATCTGCTCATTAAATTTAAAGTGCTCTGTGCCTTGGCAGAGACTGGGAAGAGAATCTGGTCATTTATGATTTAAATCGTGTTCTTTTGATTCTCCCAACATTTTATTAAGAACATTCTCAAACACACAGAACAATTCTTACAATGAATGTGTGCATCCCTGAGGCTACCATAAAATTCATATTATATTGGTTTCATCCCTTATCTGCTCATTCATTAATCCATCTCAATTTTTTGATCAATTTCAAAATAAATAGCAGATATCCCTACAGTTTTCGCCAAGCATACTCTGCTTTTTTCGTCTTATATGCCTGACCAGATTTACATATCCTAATCTGATGTGTTATTTCTTAATAGCGGAGAAACTTCAGCTTATCGATGATCAATTTGCGGATGCTCGTCTTCAGCGTCCAAAGCTAGAGTCTTTTGAATTAAAGTTAAATGAATATAAGAGTGAGCTACAACAAGGACTTCAAGCAGAAATGTGTCAAAAGGTAAACTGTATCTCTTGTTGATGTTAACAAGAGTGATATTTTTGTTTCTTTTCTTGTGAAGTATCTTGATTTTAGGTGTATGGGAAGACATACAGAGATTGGGATAGTGTTGCATGTTATTTTAATTTCCAATTGATGTCATTTGTTTTTGACTTTTGGCTGAACCATAGAGGTCCAGAGAATGTAATAAAACTAAATTAAATGAAATGTGTTATATTTAGACAGAACATTCATATTAAATTTAACTATGAAGAGAAAATTTGTACTGTTTGTTCAGTGTAGTAACTATACTTTCAATTTTCAGTTAAAGCACTTCAAGGAGATTGAAATAGCAAAGATGAAAATGGAAGAGAAAAAAAAGCATGAGAAGGAATTAGCGAAGTTCCGGCATGAGTTTGAGAGAACTTACAAAACGAAAACCGAAGCCCTCATTTCTCAGGAAAAGAACGTTCTGGAAAGAATTCAACAGTATCGGGAGGTAATATTTGAAAAGAATGTAATGGGTGGTGCATTCCTGTAGCTGTTGGAAGGTTGGTTTAAGGTCCGGGTGAGGGAAGGGACGGTTGATGGAACAGGGTCCTGGAGGAGCAATCAGGACGGGGCCAGGCTGTAGGTGGAGAGAACTGCGGAGTGACCATGCAGGCCAACACACACACTGAGTGAAAGCCGTCTTCTCAGGCACTGGGGGCGTCAGTGAGGGGTGTGGGGAGCCTGAGAGGTGTAGAGCTGCGCCTGTGTGCAAGGGGTGAGCAGTTCATTTGTGGAGAGAGGACTGGTTGGCAGGATTGCAGGCCAAGTGAGAGGCCAAACCATGTGCTTGGAGGCAGGTTCTCTCCTCGCTCTGAGGGCTGGTAGTTCATGAGTGCTTCATCTTTCAGCCCTGTCAGCAAGGTGGATCGGTAGAGGTGCTTCGGGAGCGGACCTAGGCACAGCTTAATGTCCTCGACTGAAGAAAGGCGGCTATTGAACTGGGGCCTTGGTGCTCTGCTAGGTGGTACACGGAAGGCTGGAAACAGAGGGGAAGGTGTGGGCTCCCGACCTGAGGGGATAGAGATAAGGGAAGGCCACAGGGCCGTCTTGAAGTGACCAAGAATAGGCCCCGAGGGACTGGCAGGTGGAAGAGTGAAGCTAGGCCAAGGGCCAGACACTCGGGTGAGGTTTCAGGTAGTGACTGTAAACGGTGCAGCGAGCAGTGGCTGGGTGGAGCTGCAGAGGAGAACAAAGCTGAGGGTCCCCGGGATAGTAGAGTCCAGGGCTACGAGGGTTGTCCATGTGGCCCTTCAGTCTCATCACTGGGGAGTGACTACTTGGGCAGTGGAGAGGCTGAGAAGTGGCCAGACCGTGTGTCTGCAGGTAAGGTTTGTCCAGCTCTGCAGCACTGTTTCCCTGTGTGCACCCAGAGCTGCCGCCGCCAGGAGATATGAAAGGAGGAAGCTTCCCCTACCGTCCCATGCCCACGGCTTCTCAGGACCTCCATATTTCATGGCAGACAGATCCCTCCTTCAGTTAAGCTATAGAAATAAGTGTTGGAAACACAAATCTTCGAGATAACTGGATTGTGGATAGAACAATAGCTTCATTTCTGTTGAATGGTTGACTACATCCCCATCCACGTAACATTTTCTGAAGGCGTTAAAGAGGATTGGCATTCTCCTGGAATGCCCGTCTACTCCTGTACCCCTCTGAGAACACTATTCTGGCCTTGAGGGATTCAACTTGGCTGTCACTCTGGAGATGTCTTCCCTGACTCCCACTGAGCGATTCATTCAGACCTTGTTCCTGTGTACAGTCTTTGTGTACTTGCTTATGGAATCCCTATATCTTAGCATAATTATTCGTCTCTCTTTTCTTGACCAAATGGTGAGCCTGAAGGATGGGGATTATACGCTTACCTTTTTATATCTAGCTCCTGGTATGCTGTATAATGTGATAAGTAGCTAGTAAATCCATGCTTCACGCACTTCTCAGTAGGCCTCTTCATTCAGGAGTTCATAGGAGCTTGCTTGAACTGAATCAGAATTACCTACAAACTGAAATATCCATCCATCACCACCACAAGGAAATCACTACCGTGGGGATTCTTTTGGAGTTTTGTTGCTGAAAAAATGCACATTTTAATTTTTTCTTGCTGACAGACTTACCAGAATTTTAAGTAAAGGACTGAGAGATGTTAAAGAATTAAATAGAGTAATTAGATGAGCTGTTAAGATATAGGGTAATAACATTAGTAGACATTGGAAAAATAATTTTTTGTACAAGGGAGTAACTTTTTGTGCAAATAAAATAGACCAAAGCATGCCTTGAATCGAAATCTCTTGCAGGTGAAAGTATTACCCTAAATGTCTATATTTCCATTTTTTTCTGGAATTTAAGAAGCCACGTATGAGTTCCAATCCGTTTTATTTTCTTTTGCTTGCTAAAAATCAATGTTGTCCTATACAGGCTGAAACAAAAGAAATCTATGGTCAAAGGCAGCTTCTACTGAAAGATATAGATTTGCTAAGAGGCAGAGAAGCAGAGCTGAAGCAAAGAGTTGAAGATTTTGAATTGTAAGTAATACATGTTTGTTTTGGATACTCAGAACGAGGTGAAAAAGGCTTGCTAAATATGTCTAGAGATCCTAAGGTCAGTTGCCAAGTAAAGTTCTTGGTTGTAAACGTGCTATTACCTAGCTTTAGAAAGGTCTAAATTAAGCGAAACAAAGACTAGGATTTTGCTTGTGAAAAATTAGAAATTAAGGCAAAAACCAAAATGAAACATCATCACTAGGCACTGTAAGACCAGATAGATAATCGAGAGAAGCTTGAACAAATCATCTGTTGTGCAGTTTCCCTCAGTCATTCAGACCCATTCGTTTCACTTCCGTAACTGGATTCCACGCATCCAGGCTGCTGCATTTACACCTGCCGTGTGCTCTCCGAATGAAATGTGGCGACGCTTGGACTTACCTTGTGATGGGTGAAAGCATTTCTCACAGGGTGCTGTTCACTTTTTCCTAGTGTTCACAGTGTTTTTTCCTTCAAATCTTAGCTGAGTGCGATAGCAAGCTAACCCATCTATAATTTGTGCTAGGCCTTCTTTCTCATTGAGAATTCACTATTAATTTATACTCACAGATACTTTTAGGAACCTTAGTACACTGAAGACATTGTTTCTGTCTTTATCAATGTTTTCTCATTTCTGTAGGCTACATTCGTTTGATCTTTTTCTGTGTCTACATTACTCTTTTTGACAGCATGAAGAGGCAATTTGATCGAGCACAAGAAAGGAGCACATTTTTTGGCTATATGGTACTGCTCCCACTTCCTCTGCTGCTCTTGCCCCCTGAGCATATAGATGGCATGAATGTGCCTTTCCAGATCAGCCAGCAGAGGGCGTTCTCCTGTTCTCTCAGGATGGCTTCATCTAAGTAGCATCTGTGAACCCAGCCTCTGCTCGAGGCTTGGCTTTACTGTTGATTAGATAGCAAACAGGGCCATAGATCTTTTGTAAATGAAGAGATGGAGGGAGGAGGAGGGAAAAAGGCAGTAAAAGAATTAAGACATCTTATGTATCAACTCCGCATGGTGAATGTAGTCTTTACATGGTACAAACCTGGGCTAATAAAAATTTAAACAATTTTAGAAAACTATGAAGACATGTTGAGGACTGATATGGAAATGAGATGACTCATTGGCAACTGAAAGCCCTGATCAGTCTTCTAACTTTTGATGTGTCATTTCACACTTCTATCTATATTAACCAATAGACCATTAAATAATAAAAAGCATCCTTATTATCCATGCACTGATGGCTTAGATCTCCCAGTTAGAAGCAGTATTACAGAGAAGACAAGCACTGAGGACCCTAACTTTTGTGACTTTGTAACTAACAATATCATTCTCCCATCTTCAAACTGATTAAAGAAACTACTTAGTTTTTCCTCCCCTAGCTGCCTTCTATACAGTTCCCTCTGATGTTTTGGGTACACTGTATCTAGGCCATTTTCTAAAACAGAGGACTTCTGGCTTGCTCTTTTATTTTCCAGTAGGTGATGATCACAAAACAGTATTAGCCTATTGAGCCACAAATATGTCTTATTTTTCCCTTCAGTTCCTTACCTCACTTATCATAGTTTACTTTGTGTGTTTTTGTTAATTTCAGGAACCAAAAGCTCCAAGAACAAAAAAATAAAAGCATGGCTGAAGAACTTAGGAGACGGGAGCAAGATATAGAGAGCGCGCAGGAGACCTTTGAGCAAAAGCTTAAGAATGAAGTTCTAAAGTAATTGTTTGGCTTTTAAATTTTTTTCTTTGTATATGATTGCAATACATAGTGGTTACATTCACTGTAGGAAGTTGGTCAGTGTTCCTAGGGCATTTTGTTCTTTTTCCATCCCTTTCCCGCCCCCTCCACGCCCTCCATCTCTTGGTTCCCTAAGGAAGTAATACATTTGAATTAAGTTGGTGAAAATGTGCCAAAGGCTGGTGGAATAAATAACAGTAACACTTTATGGCAAAATTTAGTGTTTAAAAAAAATACCTACTCGATAGTTCTTTCCCATGAGAATTTGAGTTAGGATACTTGTAAAATACACGATGTAGAATTATACCTTTCACCCTTTCTTTTTTTATTTTTTTAAATTTATTTTATTACAATGATTATGTCTTTCACCCTTTCTTATAGCATCTCCAGTAGTTACCGAGAACCTGCAGTTTGCTTTACTTTTGAGGACACTGTATGACTTTCTTGCTCAGCTTGTATAGCTCGTGAGCTATAGAATTAGAATTGCAGTCACTTTTAGTCATCTTTTCCTCTACTGCGCTCAGACTGCCACTTAAAATGCTGATCTCTAACAGTTTACAGAGGTTGGAGTATTTGGCCCTCAATGTGTGCTTTGTATTCGAGAGTCTGCAAAGCCAAAATCAGAAGAAATGAACTAAAATTAACTGTATAAAGCAAAGGCGATATATGGAAAGGAAAATATGGACAGCTATGATTACTTGTACTTTTTTATAGTCTGAGTTTTGTGTATCAAGGGAATAATATCTCAGCACAAGGACATTACACCCATATGGGTAGCTTTTCTTGGTGGCAGCATTGCATATTGCAGTAAATAACTGTTCAGTTAATATTTCTTAAATAAATGTGTAATGAAGAGATGACTCAACCCAGCTGCCCCAGGCATTTCATAATCATTGGTCTTTTCTGCTGTCTTGCCTATAATTTGTCATTGATTATCCATTATATAGTACTTCAGAGGACTTCTTGAGGTTATTAAGTGAATTGTATTAAAAAAGGGAACAGCAGCTTTCCACCTATCAATTTTAAAATGATACATTTTCTCCACATATTTTCTGTCTACTCTTTTACTAAAGTAGGAAACACTGAAGCTCCTGTAGGTGTTAACCCTTTAGGAATGGGTATGCAAAAGTACATATTTCATTTTGTGTAGTTTTGAAGCCTGTGAACTGTTTGGATCATTTTGACATTTCCATGACCTGGGAGACCTTTTATGACTTTGGCAGGCATGAGCATTTGAACAGCAGCCATCCAAGGGTTTGTCTTTCTCTTGTCCCATCTCTGAACTAGGAGACTGACTGGTGATATCTGGTGAAAATAAGGGCAGCTTCATGCAAACGTGCTTGTGGCGTGGTCGAGCAGGATAGGATGCTGTTGCAAGCTGGCCGTCAAGATGCTTACAGCTTAAGGGCAAAAATTCTCCTGGTTGGGGCTGGGGAGATGGGGCCAGTGGATGGAAAGTGACAGCCTCATTGGTCTTGGGGTTTAGAGCCCATCCTGTGCTGGGTTAAGTTTACCTTAGTTTACTACTTTGTTCTCTGAGCCAGCTGAGTGTTGCTAAAGCAGCATTGCTTTCAGTGACCTCAGGAGAACACTCCTCATTTTGTGCAGTTGATTTCGGAGTCCCAGTTTACAGGATCAAGGCAGGGAAAGAGTTTTCTCTAACATTTTACGTTGAGAATTGAGGTCCCCAGCCTTAGTACTGAAAGACTTTCTAGTTTGTGCATTGTTGTGTTCAGGCCTTCTGTTCTATTGCCCTAGATCAACTCCTGCAATGATAGAAGTCGTTCCAACAAGATGACAAGGAACTCATTTTTAGTCATTTTGATTCTCAGGTATCAACTTGCACTAAAGGAAGAATACCTCACAAAAGCCAATAAACTGGTTGAAGAAGAAAGGAAGAATAAAGGTGATGGGGGTGGGGAGCTGTAGTTTTCAGTTCTGAAGTAACTTACTGGCTTCCTAAGTTGGATCAGTTCTCTATTTTAGAAAATGTATAGCCCTTACACTTCAGTTTTACTCTAGGATTACATTTTTTATGATTTTAATTTTACAAAATTGGAAAAAAATTATCTTTAAGGGAAACCTTCATGTTTACCATCTTGTATATTAATAAAGGCCAGTGATTTATCAGTAGTTTATCCAACTTCATTTCATTATATTTTGATAGAGACATCTGTAATTATTAAGAAGTTAGTAGCAAATTATTGCTGTATGGTACATACTACTCTTAACTACAAGAGATTTTAGTTTTGGTTTGTTTTGTTTTGTTGGGTTTTTTTGAGACAGGTCTCACTATGCAGTTCAGGCTGGCCTTGAGCTGTGTAACCCATGCTGGCCTTGAACTCATGGTATTCCTCCTGCCTCAGCTTCCTGAGTGTGGGATTACAAGTGTGCGCTACCACACTTGGTGAGACTTTAATTTTTACTTATGGGAAATTACATTTTAATTTCTCTGTCCTCTGTGCCTGAGGTTACTTATTTTGCTTTAATATATTTTTACGCTTCATGGTATTTTTACTTCACATGTAAACTCCTACACTCTCATACACACTGACCTGAGTCTATGGAGGTTGAGAAATTTTTTACTCTTTAGATACTCTACATTTTATCATTTCTCAGCCTTTTAGCTAAGATCAGGTATAGATATTTTACATTCAGTATATTTCTAGGAAATTGCCTGTAACAAGAAATTGAACTTCTGGTGGAAATTTTAGACAGATGCTTAGGAGCAAATTATATTCCCAAAGTGTAGCAGTACCTTTACCACTGTCTTACAGAAACCAGTATTCCTTTTGTGGATTAGTAGCATCACATACTCCAAAAATTATCTTTTAATGGCAGCTCTACATAGACTTGTGTTAGAGGGAGTGAAAACTACAAAATACTAACAGACCTTTGTCTTGGACAAAATTTAGACTGTTGGCCTTAGGACCATGTGCTGGAACTGGTTACAGTGTGGCACACTGGACAGTACTAACTTCATCTCACCACTGGATAGTAAGGTTTATTTCTCTTTTTTTTTGTCTTATCTCTTTTTATCGGTACCCGGGATTGAACTCATGACCACATGCTTGCAAGGCAGGCGCTTATGCCGCTGAGCTAAATCCCCAGCCCCAAGGTTTATTTCTTAACTTGCCTGCTGAATATTTGACTCAGAAAACATTTAATTGGTGAGTTCTTTGTTTCAGAAAAAGCCATACATTTGCAAGAGGAGCTCACAGCTTTTAATTCCAAAAAGGAAGAACTCAGTCAGTCTGCAAATCGTATAAAAGAACTGGAGGTAATTGTTAAGCCTATTTTTAAATAGAATTTAAGCAATACATGAAGTTGTAGTAAGTGAAAGTTCAGCACAAACTGTTAAACACAGTTTTTCTGAAGTCATCCCTTTGATCTGTTTGGATCCATTATTCTATGGCTAAGAGGTCGATGATTGAAGTTAATTCAGTAGTTCTTAATTTCAGTGGAGGAAGAGCTTTGAGTCCTAGAGTCCCATCTTTCTCCTTTTCTGCTTGTGTGCTTCTGGGTGGATTCTGTGAGCTGGGATTCTGATTTGTAGACTTGGGATATTTCCTACCATCATATGGTGGTTCAGGGAAGTGAGTGAGCTAACTTAACGTGTCTAGCTTATAGCAGATGATCAGTAAATACAAGCTTCAACACCAGCCTCTTCTCCTGTACCATTAGCAGTGGGGAAAACCTGGTATCATCGCATCACTATCTTACAACTTAAAACAAAATGAGACGTGCTTTTCACATGCTGTTATTACTTTTATTTATTAGTGTGATTGCTTTCTGAAGAATAGAGCCAAAACTTTTAAGTACTGAAAATGTATATTTGTAAGTAAAATTTACATTTTCAACCATGATGGCTTATTTAAGAACTTTGCAGGCTTCTGTATCCAAATATAAGGTATATTATACTAAGAAAAAGAAAGCACTTCACAGCGAGTTTATGGATAATATCTGTCTCACCTTTTCCTACTTTAAAAATGTATTGCCACAGTGTATGATTGTTATTGGGTCCTGCTTGCGTTTGGAAAATGGAGTGATGACTTTCATCAGAAGTACTAACTTGATAGGCATGGGTCTATAGATGCAGGTTATGAGTGTCCCTTGCCCACTTCAGCACAGATGACTTTCCTTATGGTACAGTAGTTAGGATCTGTGGTTGCAAAGAACCCGACCCCTGTCCAGTGACCATAGGAAGTTGCTGCTCAGCTTAAGGCAGCCCCCCAGCTTTCATGTTTCCAGTACCGTGATTCACATGGAAGTTTTCCTGTCTCATTTTCAGCTCGAGTTAGAGTCCATCAAAGCACAGTTGACAACAACAACCGAACAAAACCACTTGCTGAATGAGAAGCTTAAAGACATGAGTGATTATTCACAATTGAAGCAAGAGAGACTGGAGCTTCAGGCACAAAATAAATTGCTTAAACAACAACTGGAAGACAATAAAAATGAAAACTTGCGTCTCCTAAACCGTATGTCTTTTTTTTTTTTCTAATGTGAATATTTCCTTAACCTATATGAAGTCATCATTATGAAACTGCTTTGTACTTGTAAGCGAGGCCTCAGTTTCTTGCACTGGAAATGCTTGTTTTGCATAAGTAACAGTATCACCTGAAGAAGGCCCACCTTTAAGGTGCGCTGCTCTGCGGGTAGTAGCCATGCTCACCTTGCCCTCGGACCTCTGCTGGGGTTTGGCCACTAGGGAGTCCCAAGCACTTGGAGAGAGGCAGTTGAGATGGTTATCACCTCATTGTCACCCCATTTCCATATCCAGCAGCCCTGGAGCATTGTACCTGTCAGCCAACTGAGGCCGTAGTACCTGCTGGTGGCCTGTCACCAGTGCTCTCTGTACTGTGCTCACTCAGGCTCTCTACTTCTGAGAATTTCTTCTTCCTTTCACCTGCCAGGCCCAAGTGCTGCTAACAGTCTGGCTTCCTTTCTGGCCCAGGAAGTGATACACTCCTTTGTAGTTACCTTGCACATGGTACCATTCATTAAAGGGTCTTTGGGTGACCCAAATTGAGGACACCACAACACTGCCTGTTACTATCGTCGCTCAGATCGGATGAGACCTCAGGGAAGTCATCCACAGGCAGATGGCAAGAGAGTTCCTTCTAGGCCTTCTGTGAATAGTAGAGGAGAAAGGCAGGCTTGGAGGTCATTTGTGGATTTGCAAGAATTCTTTTACTTGGAGTAGGACTGAAACAGTAGCAAGCAGTGCATCAGTATGCATTAAATTCTTTTATTCTGAAACTTGTGAATCAGGATTGCTTTTAGTCCAGTTAGAAGAATTGATAGAATATTAATTGCAGGAGTACAAAGAAAGGAAATGGTTAAATTCTTTAGTTGCTTTTGTTTAATAATATAAGCAAAGTTAAGGTTGGTAATAACCAGGATTTTTCTTCTGCCTTTTTAGGCATTGCTCAGCCGGCTCCTGAACTTCTAGTTTTACAGAAGGAATTACAGAAAGCAGAAGATACTATCGCACTTAAGCATAAGGAGTTTGAAACTCATAGGCAAGCTATGCAAAAAGAGCTGCAAAATGAAGTGAGTATTTTCTGTACTCGTGCCTGTAATGTGCCAGGCCACCGAAGCTACGTAAACTTGGCACAGGTCACACCGCACAAATTATGTCTATGTTATCATCAGAAGTGACTTCCCTAAATGTGCTAAAGGATCTTTTTTGATCTGAGAAAAATTTTTCATGACTGTTTGACTTTATATTCCTAATAGTAGTAAAATTCAAAGAAAAACAAACACCTCTAAACACCCAATTTTGTGAGTGTCCAATAGTACCCACGTTAGCTTTTGTTTCTCCTTCTGAGACTTATAAATATTCACTGTCTCTTTCTGATTTCTGCCTGCCTGCCCAGAAGTAGCTATTGTTTGCTATGGAGAAGGTGGTGAAAAGCTTGTCTGTGTGTTCTGTTTCGTCTTGTTGTTTTAAGTAGAGGTCCATTGATGACTGGTGTAAAGCTTCTCAGAACTGGCAAGATGGAAAAAGAGGATAAGCACAATGAGACAGTTTCACCTTTGATGCAAGCTATGATTTGTTTTACATGGATTTGTTTTTTTCTGTATCTTTTCAGATTGAGCATTCCGCACAGCTAACGGCGCAGCTATTAGATTATGATTCTTCTGTAAAGAGGTTAAATCATCAGATTGCTGATTTAAAATTGCAACTGAAACAAACTCAGAGAGGTGTGTGACATTTTTAACCTGTAAATATCTGTATGTGTAAAGCTTCTGACACTTGTGGAAATGTAATGGCTATAATCTATTGGGCATTTAGTAACTCTTATATTAGGAGGAAAGCCATAGACATATGTATCATCCTAGAAGTAAAACTTCCTTTCTAGCTCAGAAATGCCACCTGGTCATCAGCCACATCAGTTGCCTCACAGGTGTCCCAAATAAGAGGGGTGTCGTGGTAACACAGATGTTCTCCATTTTATCCTCACATTTCCTTTTTCTTTAATTACCCTGATGACTAGACATTGGCTATGTAATAGTTTTTCTTATTCCTTAGCAGACAGATATATAAATCTGAGAGAAGCAGGTGGCTTAGCAAAAAGAACATTGCTATCCAAGTCAGAGAACCATTATTTGTCCATTTATTTGTTTTTGAGATAGGGTCTTGCTATGTAGTTCAGCAGCTGGTCTCAATCTGGCTGTGATCCTGCTGCCTCAGCTTCCTGAGTGCTGGGGTTATGGGCCTGTGCCATCACTCACACCTAGCCAAGAGAACTGTTTTTGTTTGCACCCTGATTTTGAAGTTAATTGTTTTGCCTCGGGTAGAATACTTCAACTGCCCTGGGGCTCCATTTCCTTGCTTGCAACAGGGATCCCAGTACCGACTGGGTCATACTGAACAGAGATAGATGGGTCCCAGTCTTGCTCCTGGGCTATGACAGGCACTCAGGAAACGGTTACTGCCGCTGTTTCATTACCCAGTGAAGGTGGGTGCACATCTGCCCCTTCCTGCCTTGTAAGAAGGGTATGTATACTTAGATGCTTTATTTTTCAGTTGCTTTAAAACCCAAGCAGGTACATGTTACCAGTTGTACACATCCTGGACCTCAGCCTATCTTGGTTCCGACTTGTATTCTCCTCCTCAGACCCTTGTTCCTTTGCCCTGCACTTGTTTTATTCTTTTTTCTCCTCACTTTTGCTCTTTTTTATTCCTCATTTTCTCTCAGTTGTCCTGTTAGCTTTCCCACAGCTGAAAATCACAGCGCCCCCATATGATGGCAGTAATTCCCTGTGGCTTTTGCTTCTGTGGTATAGCAGCACAGATGGGGAGCTGACCGGACACTGCCTTTGCAGAGGAGGTCCCAGCAGCTGTAGGACCTGTTGGCTGGGTGGCTTTGCCTCAGTATACCGCTGTCATCTGTAAGATGCAACAAGTGACAGAGAGTCCTGTCCTCAATGTTGCTTTCCCTTATCGGAATCATGGGCCATAGGCTGTGGACTTGGCAACAGCCCTAGGAATCCTGAAGCTGCATCGTGTAGTGAAGGAAGCCGATCACTTTGCAGTCAAATGTATGAATAGTCATGCTGGTTGGGCTAAATAAACAGATCATAAATGGCTTTAGATCAGTTCAGGTCAAGCTTTTCGACCAAATGAATTTAAATCTGGTTGGACTTTGCCACTGCTTAGTAAGTAAATGTTCAGTTACTTAGCTTACAGCTTTCGGAATTTTAAAATCACACACAGTGGATTGTGAAGTTGTATTATATAAAGGAGGGCATGTCTGAAACTGTAGCTAATGCAGACAGGTTCTCAGTAAATCTTAATAGTAGTGATTATGACTTCAGAACCTATTTACTGTGGAAGTTTTTCCTCTTTTCTTTCATTAAAAAAAAAACTGTTCTTGAGTTTTAAGTTTTATTCACCACCTTCTCTCCTTATTTGTCAAATTGTCTTTTTGTAACTTGCAGCCCTGGAGAATGAAGTGTACCGCAACACCAAGCAGTCTGTGAGTCATCAATGTGTGAATAGTTTAATGAGTGACCCGGTGGTGCCTCACTATGGGAATGGACTCAGGGGGATCCTGATCCACCCCCCGGGACAGGAGGCTATGCCAGATATCACAGGTTTCCGGAATGCAGGGAGGGAGGGCAGCTCCCCGGATTCAGACCTTGAGTTTGTTGCCAGTACCAAGGTCAAGGTGAGAGAGCTAGAACAAGAGGCTGAACGCTTGGAAAAGGCTTTCAGAAATTACCATCAAAGACTCACTCAAAACCCTGCTAAAAGCCCACCCCTGGCCAAGAATCCACTACCTTTGCATTTGCTTGGAGCTTTCAAAAGCAGCAGTTCCACTTCCCTGGGAAGACGTGTTTTCCCAGAGGATGGAATTCTCTCTGAGCAACCTCAAGTGTGTACACGTAAGGAGGACAAGTGTGATGCTGCCGAAGAAGCCATGTCGGGTAGTTCGACCTCACGGCTGCACAGGAGCACCTCCTTGAGACGCCTGTCCTCCACACCACTTCCCAAAGCCAGAAGAAGCCTTGACAATGAGCTGTATCGGGAAGGTGAGCCACTGCCTTGAAGGTCATGGGACACTGGCGGCAAGCAGATCATGTCCTCGTACTTCTGACTTGAATGCGAGTGCAGCCCGAGACAACAGAAGGGACGCACGCAGCCAAAGCCCTGGCCCCAGCAGCCCCGGCGCTCTGTCCTGCCATCTCTTGGCTGGCAGTAGTGTTGCTCCACCACACAGGGCTGCCCTGGGGTCAGTAGCCTAAAGGCTGTCAAGGGCTCGTGTTTGCTCAGCAGGTAGAGGTGCTGAGGAGCCCCAGTGGCTTTGCTCGTGCTGCTGCTTAGTGCTGCACAGCTTAGCGTTACCTCTGGAGTTTAATTCTCTCTGTGACTTCCGGGTGTCACATTTGGCTATTAGCAAGGATAGCAAAATGTATTTTAAGGCTTATAGAGCTCTTTCACAATCATATTAGTATCTTCTCTATGTCGTTCATAATATCCTTACCCTTGTTTCTTCTGTCACTTAGGTCTGAACAGGTCATGTGTTGTGTCCCCCAGCCCTTGTCCTGATGAAACGCCCCAGTTATCACCTGATGAGTCAAAGCACAGCCTCTCTGTTCATTCATTCTCCAGCCCGCCAGTGCAGAAGGCTGCGTGAGTATTGTTTTCTGATTGACTTCAGTTGTGTCTTGTCACCCACTGTCTCAGACTTTACTCCTTTGAATTTTTGAGGTGTAGTAAAGATCATGTGGCTGTATAGAATTAATAATCAGACTGTGAAATCATGTGTAATCTTTGTGTATCATCTGCATCCCCGGGGAATGTGAAATGATACTAATAACCCCTTTCCTATATCTGTGAATAGGCTCAGATTCTGAGATAAACAAATGTATAAAATTTGTCAAAAGCAAGTAAATTGAGCTTATTTTTAAAAGTTGGAACAATCTCATAAGTCATGAAAAGTCATTTTAAAAAGTGTTTTGACATTTAAATATAAGCAGATATGGTTCCAATTTGTATGTTATTGAAACAAATTCTGAAGTGCTAGTGGGCTCTAGGGTATGGCTGCTGAAGCAGAAAGGAGTGGATGTCTTTAGAGACTAGGGCAGTGGTCACCTAGGCTGTGATTTATAGGCAGGACTTGTACCCATGCTTGGTCTCCATGACAGGAAATTCTGACTCTTCGCTCTGGGCTTATGCCTGGGTACGCAAGGTTTACATGGTTCTGTACAGGGCTGGAAACTGCCATGTACCTCTTGTGGTCCTAGGGCATTTACATTGTTTTTTTTTTTTTTTTTTTTTTTTTATATTGTACTTTCCTGTATGATGAACCAAAAGGTAAAATAAGACCCACACATACAACAGATTCATGCACTTCGATGTACACTCAGGCTTGTGATGGTGTATCCTCAGCTGGTTTGTGGCGATGGTGTGTGGAAATTCTTTTTCCAAAATGTTGTGTAGTTATTGGAAAGTTAAGTCTTGTCTTAGTTACTTTTTGCTCGTCACTGAGATAAAATTCCTGATGCCCAAATTTGGGAAAGGAAAGGTTTATTTCCTACAGTTTTTGGAGGTTTCAGTTTATATTCAGTTGGTTCCAAGGCAGGGTAGCATGGCGGGGCCACAGTTAATGGTGGCTGCGAACAGCAAGGCACAAACCAGCAAGAGAGAGAGACATACCTTCTTCCTGCCATTGCATTGTATGCTGGCTCCACCCCTAGATGGGTGTAGCACTGACACCACCATCAATCCAAGCACTAGACAATAAACCAATCACAAATACACAATGCAGATGCTTGAGGCCTGGGGCCACCGACATAAACCATGACAAGTCCTTAGGAATGGCATCTGGAGATAGTACGAACTTCTTGCTGACAGAGGGGGTGCCTGTGCAGGGTGGCAGTGGTGCAGGGCCAGCTGAGTCAGCGCCCAGTAATTGCTGACGCCTCTCTGTTCTTGGGTTTTACTTTTCTTAAGACTCCACACTCATGACTATTCTTGCAATCTAGTCTTTATCAGAGACAAACAGAAGAAGACAGAAGTGAATTTCCAAATCTGGAGAAGCCAGCTTTTAAAGATAATGAGGCATTTGAACCAGCTTTTACAAGTAAGTTGAAATATAAGTACTGATTTTTATAAGTTGAAAGCACGAAAAGCTTAGTTGTCGTGAAATGTGGTATAGCTATTAGTATAAGCAAAGCTGTTACAAATGGGAACATTTGCGATAAGACCACAAATAAGAGTACATTTCCTCATTTTTCTGTCACAAAGATTTTCAGGGGTGTATCTGAGAACCCTTTATAAAAATGTTAGGATGACTCATAATTTCGTAGTTATAGCTGGGTTCATAAGTGAATCCCTGATTTACCAAGTTTGTGATTACCTTGAATTTAAAATAAGTGATGTTTCTTTATTTTCCCTTTTTACAGAATATGAAGGTGTTATTTTACTTAAACTACACTCATTCTGTTGATTGCCCAGATTTATTTTATTTTTGATTGCCCAGATTTAGAAAATCCCATCCTCGGTGAGAAAATGGAGGTGGTGGAATCCAAAGCTCAAGAGTCCAGAAACTGTTGTTCTGCCTCTGGCCCTGCCCTGGACTGTCTCACCCTGTTGCCCACTTCATAAGTGTGAAATAAGGATGTGGGGCCTATCATCTGAGGCTCTTTCCAGCTTGAGAAATCTTTGTTTTATTTTGTTTTTATGGTGCTGGGAATTAAGCTCACGGAGCACTGAGCTATACTCTCAGCAGTTTTGTTTTTTTTTTTTTTTTTTTTTTGAGATAGGGTCCTGCCAAGTTCCCAGGCTGGCCTCAGGCTGATGATACTCCTGCCTCAACCTCCTGAATAGCTAGGGTTACAGACATGAGCCACTGTGCCTGGCTGAGCAATTTTTGAATGCAGTCCCTTAGCCTTATGAATTTAATTGTCAAATCTAAAAGTATCATTTATCATTTTGACAATTAAATGAGAGAGCTTATAAATTTTATAAATTTAACCCACCAGTTAAAAGGACTGTTGAATCATTGACATTTAAATTGAATTCAAATGATTTATCAGCAAGCTAAGTGAATTCTGCTGCTGTTGGATTGATTTTTCCTGGTGGGTAATAATCCAATTTGGTAAACAGATTTGGTCCTTAAACATACTCATGCCGGGGTCATAATTGCTGTGTCTCGCTGCCAAATGGCTCTGACTTGAACATGTCACATCCCCGCTGGTGTGAACCACTGTCCTGGGACCTGTTAAAGTATAAAAATGCTTTGACTTGGGTTCCAACTGCAGCGCTACCAGCAGCACTTGGAGAAGTGACCTTACTAGCAAGTGGTAGGAAGGTGCTTAGTATCACAGAGGAGAGGGCAGGGCACCTGGTGGCTTTAGCTGGGGTTCCCTTCCCCGCCCCACATACTGCCCAGCCTTCACCTGCTGTGTCGGGAGAGACTCATGGTTGTGTGTTGTTTGCACCTCAGCAGATGCAGAGGCTTGGCCAAGGCAGTTTGAAGTGGATAGGCTCCTCCCTGCTGGTGACATGCCTCACATGGACACTGCTGCAGCTGCCACCCCCACCCCCACCCCCCACTCGTATCACAACCAATGTAAGTGTGCATTTACTCCAGCAGCTGCCACAGCCAGGTACTGAATGCTGATTTTTGTGCTCTAGAAATTATTTCAGGATTGACAGGTTACTTATAAGCATAAATTATTAAAGGCTTGGGGTTGGAGTATTGTTGGAATTAATGACATTTCCGAAGTAACCGCACAGGTAAACACATAAAGATGGTACTTGGAAAATCTCACGAGGAAAGAATTCTGGTTTAGTGTTCCAGGAAAGCAGCTTTCTAAAGTTTTGTCTGTACCTATTCAGAGCCCGACAGCCTGCCTAAGACTTTGGCAGAAGCTGAAACCATTCCACAGGCAACTTATTATCTAGGCAAATTATGGTGAGAAACGTCATTAGCAGTCAGCTCCTCTTCCATGGCTTTGATGTGATGACAGCATTTTCGTATTCTCTCTGTTTGCTTCCTTTATGGCTTAAGAAATTAGGACTAAAATTTTATATTTCAGTCTTCCCAAAAGTTGACAACATTCCACCAACTTGTCGATGGAAGGAAACTGGTCACACTTTTCCTATGTGGCCCATAGGTTTTTCTTGGTTTCTCCATAGGGCACAGAGCTGAGTGGCCACATGGCCTCCACTGACAGCTGGGTCCTTTATTCTTTGGACCAAAGCCTTCATGTGAGGAAGCATCTCCCAGTACCCCTGACACATGAGGACAGCATCATGTACTATATATACTCAGAGGCTCTTCATAGCAGTTTGTTGGTTTAAGTCGCAGAGAACATGAGAAATTACTGAAAGAAGCCATAGATTCTGAGAGCATGGGGTTGCTTTTTCTGACTCCACAAGAAATCTGCTTTGGAAAGCACCCCCATCAGCCGGAATTGATAGAGAACTTTCTCCCTGTGGGCTGCTCTCCTAGGGCAGGCATTTAGCAGGAAGCCAAACCAAGCTGCTTCTTACAGTGTCTGGGGCAGGGAGGCAAAGCGGCGCCCAAACCCTCACCAAGCCCCAGGATGGAGCTGCTGCCCCATCTGTGGGGCAGCGGCCATGGACCCAGCCTGAGGGAGGCGACTCAGTTGCACAGTAGGAGGTGGATATCCGTGAACAGTAATGCAGATGATGGTGACGCCTGTTGAGATAATTAGTAAGCGGTACTGTTATGCTTTGGTCTTTGAGAATTCTCTGACTAATTCACCTCTTCCTGTGGACACAGAAGGACATTGCAAGGCCAGAACATGGTATCTTTGAGGTGCCAGTGGGCCTACTTACCTTGGCTCTTGTGTCTCAAGAAACTTCCGTATAGCAGCCCACAGGTGCAACATACTGCCCCCCAGAGCACAGGAGCAACTCCCCCCCCCTTTTTTTGGTGCCGGGAATCAAAATCTACCTCACATTTGCCAAGCAGGCACTTATACCGCTGAGCTTAACCCCTAGCCCCCAACCTCCTTTGTTTTAATCAGCCCCAAACAGCGTTCCTGTTTTGAGATTGCTATTCCTGTAAAAGCAGTGCTGTTTGGGAGGGACCCTTCTCCACCAGCAAGGAGGCCGCTCCAGTTCTGCCTGTGGAAGTGATTCTTGGCTTCCCCTGGATCCAACAGAGTTGGGGAGAGAAGAGACCGGGTCTTTTCTCCTAGTAGCAAAACTAACTCTTTCTCACCAAGATTCAGGAGAAGGCACAGCGGAAAGCAGTGGAAGTCCTCTAGTGAAGCTGTGGTATTTTCTGCTCATTGACATTGCTCAGGTTAAAAAAAAGAGTTATGGGGCAGAACTGAAAGAGAAAGGCCAGCTTAATCATCTTTGGTGAGGTTTAATTAAAGCTTGGAGTATAGGCCCTGTTGCCAAGAGTGAGAAAGAATAGTCAAGTAATTAAAACATGGGCCTTGCCCAGAAGAGATAGAGGTGAGACCAATAAGTACATGAGGTTGGTGACAAAGCAGGGACAAGTTAACCCTGCAGGTCAGGTGTCCGAGTGCTTGTCCTTCAGAGGACCGGCATGTGAGTCCAGTATCTAGTAGCATGGCCAGATTTGTGCCAGAGACAGGAGCACAAGGCCAAGGAGCAGAGTGGCCGTGAGCTATGGGCAGGGACCAGAGTGGGCTGGGGTATGCAGACTGGTTTTGGGGCAAAGGCGGGGCACTATGCGCTGTGGGTGATTGGTTTGGGAGGCGGCAGGCTGTCAGGTCCTAGACAGCTGTGGGTTTGGGCTATGCCCAAGCAGTCACTGGACTGCAAAACCATGTCTGCCTTGTAGGAAATGCTGAGGGCTGATGTCAGTGGGTACTGGAAAGCGGAGCCTTCTGTCAGGGAAGGCATTGGCTAAGTGCTCCAGGGAAAGCCTGAGAAGGCAGGGTGGCAAGGTTGAATCTGCAAGCCCTAGTGGCCTAATGAACAAAGGGGAGAATGGACAGAGGTTTGTATTATTTTGTTTTTTTGCCCAGGCTAACCTGGAATTCAGGGGCTCATGAGTACCCCCTACCTAGGTCTCCTGAGTAGCTGGGACTACATATGTGTGCCATGCCCAACCCAGGAAGCATATGATTAAAGGAATAGCGTAATTTTAGGAATGAAGCCAGTGGCATGGGATCTTCATGTGCTGATGGCAAGAACTCATTAGAAACATAGAAGTAAGGCTAGGGTGAGAGTTTGGGACCAGAGACATAGATGTGGGAATGGCTGGGGCCCAGGGATCACTAAAACCCCAGGAAGAGCCACCATCAGTAGGGAAGTAGCAGGTAATGAATACTGACATGGTTCGGGAGCTGGAGGATTTTGGAGGCTTTCTTTTTGTTTGGAGGAGATTTGAGCATCTTTCTGGGAGAAAAAGGGCTTTAAACTGCTGTGCACATGAATAGAGGCCAGTGGCTCTAAGGGGGTCCTCAAGATGGGGCAGATGGGCATGGAATGCGGGATTTCAGGGAAAAGTAACAGGAGGACAGGCACGGCTGAAGAGGACGAAGTAACATGGCACAGTGGAGTCTTTGGTGGGGAAGGTGCCTTGTACTCATCTCGGGAAAGCCAAAGGTGACATGCAGCAGGGCTGGGGTAGGTTGGGGGCTTGAACCAGGTCCACAGTTGGGGACAATTCTGGCAGAGCATTCCTGCAAACAGAGCCTGCATCATATGGCAAACTTGATGCTGGAAGCTAGTCACCCTGTATTTTCCATCCCATTATGTGCAGGTGAGAAACAAAGTGGAGAACATCAGGAAGAAGAAAACACGTGGGCACAGCGTGTTAAAGAACAAAAGCAGAAGGAAGAACGAAGACGGAATGAATTGATAGAGGCTCTGGAAAGGGAACGGAGAGAACTGGAAAAGTTGGATCAGGAAAGGGTAAGTGACACGCTCTGAGCTGCTTTTCTCATGTCTCTGTTGGATGTGTTTGGAAGGCACCTTGGGCTCTGGGAGGTGAGCCAGTAATGTCTTGAAGCCAGAGAAGTGGTGGGTGACCGAAAAGGCATCCCTGTCCTCAAGTAGTCATACTGCAGTGGGAAGGGCTGCAGAGTGCACACTCTTTACAGGTGACACGCTGAGTGTCACATACCCTTTGCCAGAGTGTCACACACTCTGTGAGTATCATGGTAGAGGACAATTTGGGAAAGTGCTTTTGTATACACTTGTGCTCCTTAAAACAAGCCCACAGAGGGAGGGAGGGAGACCATGCTTTGGTATGGAACACCCCTTTGTAAATGTGGCTAATGAACAACCTCCTGAGGTCAGCCAGCTGTGACTAGAAGAGCCAGGGGTGGAAGTGGCCCCCAGTCAACTGTTAATTCCAGGGACACACACTGCCTTCCTCCTCCCTCTGCCCTGTGGTTCTCATTTTGCTTTCTACAACCTGGCTGTGGTCCTAGACTGATGGGACTACTCTGGCCACTGAACATGCTGATCAAGTTTCGTTTCATTTTCCATATGAATGTTCCTGAGGCCAACGAATGTCCTCCTTTGAGATGCCAAGTTGGTCTTCCTTTGATGGGAGCATGACTTCAGTTGAAATCTATAGTTCTTCAGCATGCAGGCTGTACCTAAAGGGTCAGGATTCTATTACTGTGTAATTTCTTAAAGACTGAAGAGCTTTTTTGTGTATTTCCTATTTTGGCACCCATCTCTTTAATAGAGGATGATTGAAGAATCATTGAGGATTGAGATGAAAGAAGAAAGTATTGAAGAAATGAAAGAAAAATCAGCTGTTGGTGAAAATCCTTTAGAAAAGTACATGAAACTCATCCAGCAAAAGACAGAGCAACAGGCTGCAGATAAGGTAGGTGCCTGTGCTGTGGTTAGGCCTGTGCTTTGGGAGTCAGAGGGTTGTGCAGGGCTTCCATGAGTCCTCTCCTGAAGACAGAAAGGTTTGAAAGCATAGAAAATCCATAGTTTAAAAGGAGCCATGAATCTTTTTAACTATATCATGCTCTTTCAACAAAATCTCACACATTTTGCCCAGGCAGAAGATTGAAGAGTTTTTGATTTGTCAGTTTATATAGGTTTGGGTGTTTCTTACTAAAAACAAGAAAGGAATCTGTCACTGAATAACAAGTACATTGTAAGACAAAAGTGAATTATTGGTGTTAAACTGTAGACTATATTTTGATGTGCTTGTAAAATTTCACACTGAGGTTGTATTTGAGACTCATGTTACATATATATTTCAAAAATAGTTCTTAGATAAATGAGCATTTCATAAAATTCATGTCTAACTTCCAACCCCCTCCCTTGCCCACTGTCAGAGCTCCAAAAAGACACTTCGCGAAAGCTCTCAAGGGGATACACTGCCACCTAGCGACAAGGATGAAAGGTATGCTTTCCCTAACCTGTTCCTTAGGCAACCATTGTGGCTCCTTTTGTCAGCCCAGGGAAATGGTCAAATACTTGAGGTTGCCTTTGACAAACTGGTCAGTCAGTCCAAAGTATTGACTTTAAAAAACAATCTGTTGTGATTTTAACTTGTGGGAAATTGACCCTGATGCAAATGTAAGTGAGGGCAGAAGACTCCCCACGGGAGAAATGAAAACATTATGATGATCTCAAACTTGACATGAATTTTTGTCTGATTTAGTTGTGCAGGTTTTTCTCATGAAGAACCAGATGACACTTGGTAATTACGCTAGCTGTCCAGCTTCTTACAACCATGAAGTAACCAAAGTCTAGTTGTTTCCAACATTTCTCTGTAATTGAACAAAATTCTCAATAAAAACTGTGCAGTCCAGTGTGCTTTTTATATCATTTTATTTGGGTACTGTAGCATATGAACCAAGCATAATCTAGTCAAGTGAAACCCATTCTTCAGCTATAGAATTTCCCATTCATCACATTCCAGTGAACTGTTTTCCTGCCCATTTTTTTTTTTTTCATCTTAGGTTTGGCTTATTTGAAAATTTCTCTTACTGGTCAAACTCCAGGCCTACATTTTGAAAGTGTAAGATGTGTGTTCCTCCCCTTCCCTGGAGTCAGGCTACTACTGGTAAAACAAAGGGCCTATTTCCCAGCACCTTCTTGTTTCCTGGACGGAATTTTCCCCTCTAGACCAGAGAAGGAGTACTTTTGGCATCAGCTGTGGTTTAAATGTATGTGTCTCTCCAAAATTCCTGTGTTGGAACTTAAACCCTGAGGTGACTCAGTCCTCAAGATGCCATTTTGGAAGCCAAGACCCAACTCTCCCTGAACCTGGCAGTACCCTGATCTTGGACTTCCCAGTCTCCCAAAACAGTAAGAAACGCATTTCTTTATAAATTACCCAGTCTGTTTTCTTACAGCAGCAGGAATAGATCGAGACAGCATCTTTACTGGGGAATCTTCAGTTTTCCTTTTTAGTGAGCAGATTTAAAATGTCATTTTTAAACAAGTGGGCTCCTCCCTTCTGACTTCATTCTCATCTCCTAAAATTTAAGTTTTGTAAGGCATAACTGGGAAAAAAATTGTCTTCTTTCCAAAGGTTCCTAAATTTGCTGGCAGGATTACAGTTAAGAGACTGCTTATGATTTATCGAACATTATTTACAGTTTGTTCTTAAGACTATATAATTACACAGAATGCAACTAAACAGAAGATAGTAAGCAGTGTGACAAATAGGCTAATCCAGCTCCTGCTTCTCCGCTGTCTCTAAATGAAGGGTGACGATCCAGACTCGGCACCTCATTTAGAAATGTCACTGTCAATGGTGACAAAGGCTGGTCCTTACTAAGAAAGCTCAGATGTAGCAAATCCAAATGCATAATGACACTAACAGATAAGTAGTTTTAAAACACTGGAAAGTGAAATCCTATATAACAAATTTAGCTCTGCTCATCACTGTCATATGCCCAAATAAATCTTTCATTAGACTTTTATATTTTAGGTTCAAATATGAGCCAGTGTTATATACTGCCCCTTATTAAGGCTCCCCATTGTTTCTGCCTTGCCAAAGATTAACTCTTGTGTTAACTGTGTAGGTATGTGGCCTTTATTTATTGGAGGAGCTAGTCAGAAAAATTGAGTGTTTTTCAAACATTATAATATTTTCTCAAATTGCTCTTGCTGAACAGAGATTCCTGTCAGAAATAAAACATCTAGTTCTTATAGATTAGATTTCTACACAAATGTGAAATATTGATTATGCATATTTAAGAATGACACCATACTGAGGACAGAGACAGATAGGATTTATGTATGGTAAAAAGGCAAACGAATGAAGCTATAATTTTATTTCATTACCGTTAATACATCCACAACTATTTATTTCCACCTAAATAGATCTTTAAAATAAGCATACACAAGTATTGACTATTATCTACAAATATTTATTGTAACACTTGAATAGAACTACAGGAAGCCCTTGGCACTGATAGAAAATATTGATTCACTGTTAGGTTACAAAAATTTATACATAGCAAAATTTAATGCTCTTTACATAAAAAATATTAGACTACGTCAACAAAACTTTCAAAAGTTCCTGGTAATAGCTACCAGAATTAGAAAAGTAAAATTAGGCTTTAGACACTGCCTCTTCTAGAACACTGGACTCTAACAGCACCTCCACTGCTGGAAAGAATATTTAAGTTCGTCATGCAACAGGAAAACAAAACACTATGCTACTTTAGAACACTTGTTCTACACAGAAGAGAGCTTCTCCAAATTAAGAAATCCAAGTAGGCATTTTTTTAGGCATAACTAAAAATAAAGAATCCAAATGAAATATTATACTTGATGTTCAATTTTAATAGTATCTTGATAAATGTATGCTTCCTTTCATTTGAATACATTTCTGCACATGTATATGTTTTAAAATCCAGGAAACAGCCAAACCACAAGTTAACTCTTAACGTGAATATACATAGTTAACCCTATAGTATGCAGCCCCTTTGAAAAGCAGTGATGCACCCAACAGTTATATGGATCATTTCAAAAAGAAAAACACAAAGTTTACCATCACTAATACCCAGTACCTATAGTCACTTAATGTTCTGGAACACAATGATTTAGAAGGCAAATTTCTTTTGAAAATGGCTTAAACTCAAGCAGTTTTCTTGCTGAACATCAGACATTATTATTCCAGGAAACTTAAGTTTTAGATAAGAAAAAAATACGGAATAAATACCAGCCCTAATTTATTTATGTATTCAAGTTTATAAAAGTAGGAGGTTAGAGGTCTGTGGTCAATTTGCAGTTAGGTTTTTAGATAGTTGGTATGAAACTGTAAACTCACTATTCAGACCACTTAAAAATGCTTTAGAATGGTGGTCATTTTAATAAGGTAACACTTTTTACTTAAAAATAGCTATGGAAAAAAATTCTGTGGAGGATTTTGGGGTCTGTTATAATACAAATTCTTAGAAATTTAAAGCAATACTCATTAAGGCAGAGCTGACATTTACTTCCAGAGAAGAATGATAATAACTGGATCAGTATTTTGTTAAAATGAAATCTATTATAAAATTGATTCTGGAAAGCTTAGTGAGTCAGAGCCCAGCTTCTTCAGTGGTAAGTTCAACAGAGTTGTTGTAGCTCATTTTAGCATTATTGAAAAATAGATTTCTTATTGGTTGAAGAAATTAATGGATCTTGACTGAGGGGGTGCAAATGTTTTTAAAGTCACTTGTAAGAATCCAGGTTTGATAAATGTCAGCTGTCAGAGATGGAACATACCAATTCCATTTTATTTCCTATATAGATAATGTTTGAAGACAGATGATGGCATATGTGAATTTATGGTTGCACCCTAGATGTTGGCTTGTCAATGGTCCCTACCAAGGAGTGTGACACATTCCCATCACCTACCTTGGTAGATTCGCTCTAAAAATAAGTATGTCCATGCCACAAATTTCAAAAGAATGGACAATCTTTGTCAAAGTGTTGCCTTTTAAAATGGCTAATGTGAAACCTGCAATATTTGTCCTAAAGAAAAAAGATTTACCCACTGGAAGATTTTCCTAGAGATACATCCCAGCAGCTTGAGACAGACAGTGAAGTGTTGATACATCTACATTAGTTTATTTGGTGGGATACACATCTGTACTGCAGAGCAGCTGTCTGATGATTTGTCAGAGCTGTAAATTCGTCGGCTGAAACACTCTGGCAAACATTTATGTGTAAGAATTGAGTTGTTCTTTTGACCGAGACTGGATGTCTTGCAGTTCCTGTTCTTCCTTTGCTTTGATATCGTGGTAAGCCTGCATTTTGCTTGCATCCTTTAAGTAAGCCCAGTTAGAAGACAGTATCATGAGGAAGTGGATCTGGAAAAGAAGGGTGAGCATGATGGCTAGTGAGCATGTGAGAAGGCAAAGCGAGCTGCTAGTCAGATTAGACGCACTCGGCAGGGACAGGACGGTATTAATAATACTCATGACTACTCATTCTGCTTGCGGAGGTGGCAGACGCTGAGAGCATGCTGTAACAGTATGCTTTGTATTAAAAGGCCAGAGAAAAGTTAGTACACAAGTAGAGCAAATTGGGGGGAAAATGGCCAAAGTTATTGTTAAGAAAAAGCAAAAATGAGATACAAAAGGGTGTTTTTTACCATTTTGAGGGTAATTGTAAAGACTAACACGGAAGTTGCAAAACGTGTTCTAAGTGAAGGCAGCGCAAAGATCTTTTCAGCCTGTGGATAAAAATCAATTTCCCCCAAAGGCCTAAAAGTGTGAACAGTGTTTATTTCCAGTAAATAATTTAAAAACTACATATTTAACATGGAAAAAATTAAAATGTCAAAACCAAAGTTAAGAACTATGGGGAAAGCATGCAGTCTCTATGTTAACAAAATTTTAGTAATGAAACTACGTTTTTCATTTTATTACTGCCATTATTTCACAAAATATAAAAATTCTTCTCTAGAACTTCTTTCCAGTTTATTTCCTCACATTTCCTGCAAATAAATCTACATCTCAGTTTCCTTCTATTTCATACTTCCTTCTCAACATATTTGAAACCTTCAGATCAGCACCCAATTTCTCTTACTGTTAAAATCTTTCATGCAGCTTGAAACCTAGCTACAAAAACACAGTTAACCACTCGCCAAAAGACAACAATTTAAGGTTTCCAATTTGGTAGGCTCTAAAGAAATGATTGTTAGGCCAAAAAATTATATGAAAATAAATCCTTTTTGCAGAGAACTCAAATGGGCGATGCCCCTTTTCTTCAAATTTTCATTGGATATAAGGGGACAACTGTTACTGAACCGTGCTGTCATAAAAAAAGAACCTTCAAGTTAAAATATATTTGCAAAATATTTTCTATTAAGAATGTGACAGAACAAAATCCAAATTAAAACATTTCTCTTTCATCATTGAATCTGGTAACCAAGCAAGCAAAAATAACAAAATGCAGGGGTGCCAAAGCATTAATTTTTTCATGTAGACATTCTGCTCAAAGACTCAAGAAAGTTATTGTCAAAGGATGCTCACCAACGTCAGTAAGCGAATCCTTTTCAAAATGGAGAAATGGGCAGATCTCATTATTTTGTAATTCATGTACAGTAAGTCATTTTATTCTACCATGCAAAAGGAGTTAACTGAAGCTATTTACAAATTACTGTCACAAAACTGCAGAAACCTAGACTCTGCTTTAGTCTGGAGTGTCAGTGATATTCATGCTACAGAGTAGAGCTCGCTAACGCTCCTTATTGGCCTTATGCAATTTAGAACTTAGTGCAGCAATCTTCCCGACTCTTAAACTTCAAAACCGCATAGTTATATGTAGTAGCCATCATGTAGATCAGCTGGTGGAAGAGAACAAAACAGGACAGTAAGATACAGGCAGTGAGGGTTGATGTCATGACACTTCTAAGTTTGGGCAGGGACAGGTGCCAGCTCACAGTCTATGGTGATTCTTTTTCCCCACCTGCAGTCTCAACAGATAATTTTCACACGTAGCACACACAAACTTTTCCTCATTGCACATAGACAATCTAAGTTCTTGGCTCTGCCCTCGGTAAGCTTGTTAAAAAGCCTTGGGTGTGTGTCAAGGATAATAAGACAGAGCCAGTCAGCAGCATGGGAAGATTGAAGCTCAAGGCCTTATTTCCCTTCATCTTTTCCCAGGTGCCTGATCAGCAACAATGAGTCCCCTTCCAGCCTGTTGCTCAGCCAAGAGAATGGGTCACCACTGGGAGTACATAGGCTGCTTTTCTTCAGAGGCTGTCATGGGAGGGAACGACCTAATGGTTCAAAGAACCAGGAGCGGCTCATTTCCAGGCAGCTGAGATATCCCTTTTACTCTACCGATCTTAATTGCTTTCCTTCAGATTACAAACCAAGCCCCCCTCCCCGTTTACACACATGCTCACATACAAATACATGCACATGCATGCACGAGCACACACACACACACACGGGTGTCTTTATACAGTTGATCTTATGTGCAGATTCCATTTGCCTACTTGCTAAAATACGCAACCACCAGAGCAGTGCTCAGGGAAGTTTCTCAGTTACAAATTGACCTAGGGCAAGGTGGGGGAAAGGGGGTTATACAAGCTTCTAGTCACCTAATGGCATGACTTAGGCATATTCACCCCAAGGCTGAACAAAGTGGCATTTAGCCTTCTTGGTTCAGTGCTCAGGCTATAAACAAGGGTTCTGGAGGGATATTTAGTGCCACCAGGTTGTCAATTTCTGTTGATTTTGTGATGGCTTAGGAGAGGGCAATGATATGTGTGTTAGAGAGTTATCACTCAGACCTGAGTGACAGTGCTGTTGGCTATGAATTAAATCATAATGAGCCAGAAGTATGTGCTAAATGAGGTGTCTACACTAAAACACAGGTTATGTAGTGCCAGGCTGGTGAAAATGGTGTGACCAGAGGCTCACAGGAACCCTGCCCTATATTTTCCCCAGAGGAAGTTGCTCAGTAGTCACTGTCTTGGGCTTGAAGTGACCTTATAGAATATAACTGCTGCACATAATGACATCAACTATGTATGTCTAATATATGTATGCATACATTTTCCATTTGGCAGTTAAGATTTTTTTTTTTTTTTGCAAAGAAACAGGCAATGCCTTGCATGAGCATCTGCCCATGAATGAAATCATGAAACTTAAGTGCTAAATGCAACAAGGCAATATGCTAGGCCCAGTTGACAGGTGTTGGAACCCTTTCTTCTTCCTACAGAGTCCAAATGCTATTGCCTACGATTGGTGCCAAAGGCAGCCACTAGTACTTCCTGCAAACTAGACATGCGGTAAGTTTACACAGGAGACAGTTCACCAAGACTGAGTGGCAGGACCGTTTGCTTCTGTAGGCTGGTAAAAGCTGGAAGGGAAATCTGTCATTTAGAGGCTGGGGGATGAGGAGAGCTAGACTAGGGTGGTCCCAGGGCAGTTACTCACCAGGGCAATGACGGTGGCACCAGCTCCAGCACAGGCCACAATGAACAGGTGGTAGGACATGTAGAACTAGGAAAGAACAGGGCACCAGCATAAGCATTTGCAGGGGAAGGAAATGGCCTACATGTGTTCTGGAATGTAGTCACAGCCGCCTTTGCAGCTGCGCGCTGCAAGCTTGGGCTGCATGTTGGATCACCGGTGGGTGGGGAGGCTTCAGAAATGTTCTGATGCCAACAGTATGCCCCAGACCCGTGAAATTGGAACACAAGGCCCAGGCTTGGCCATCGTGTACTGTACTGAGCCTGGATGACTGCGATGTGCAGCATGGCTCGCACCAGTCTGTGTTATAGTTGCACAGCGTGGCAAGCCACGGCGGAAGGCTGAGCATTCCTATAGTTCACTGCTTTTGGAAAGCACTGTTGGTGTTTTCTTAGTTATGCAAGTTCCCACCCATGCATTAGTAATTTTACTTTATAAACAGAAGCCCATAACTGAAGAGTATTCTAGAGTTGAGACAAGGTGTCACAACGTACTGCTAATGAATGAGAAGTAGAAATAAGGGTAGGCCATTCTTGAAATAATTAACTGTGACCTCTTATGAAAAATTTGTATATAGGAGTTGGGGATTTAGCTCAGCGGCAGAAGCACCTGCCTTGCAAGCAGGTGGTCGTGAGTTCGATCTCTGGTACCGATTAAAAAAAAATTTGTATATACACAAATCCAGGGAGATCTTTGCTGCAAAAATTACATTTTTCTGTGATACATGTTCTACTTGGAAAAGCTTTCTGAGGCAGAAATAGAAGGCTCAGTTCTCCAATTTGCAGATCTGAGCTCACTTAAATTACTGCCCAAAGGAAGAGCTTACCAGTCCCTAAGGATCCTCACTGATATGACCCTTTTTGTAGGTCAAAAATGATTGAATAGTGATGGTGACATACACTTCACAAGAGTGAACATAAACATATGGAAATGTTACGGTGAACCCTGGGGATTCGTGAGAGAGCTTTCCTTCAGAGCATTCTGGCCATCTCTGGTGCTCTTCCCAGCCAGGAGGACGCTCTTTCTCAGTCTAAGGTATGGGGGCAGCACATGTGAGCCCTGTGAGCTGTGACCGGGTTACCTCGGTAGTGTTGCAGATGTTCTCCAGGGCGGAGCCACAGATTTTTCCTGGGAAAGCATTCCAAGGGATGATACCTGCCAAGTGAATCCCAAAGTTAGTGAAAACCACAGTGCCTCACTGGGGAGATGCTGGGGATGGACAGAACCCTGTGAATTAAGCACACTAAGCACAGCGCTCTACCACTGAGCTTTACCCACAGCCTATTTAATGTACTCTAATTGATCAATTTATTTTGGCAATACTGAGGACTGAATTGAGGGCCTTTGCACCAAGCTACATCCCCTTTTATTTATTTATTTATTTTTTATTTTGAAACAAGGTCTTACCAAGTCACTAACTTGCCTGACCTGGGCTGAAATTTGGGATCCTTCTGCCTCAGCCTCCCAGAGTGGTAGGATTACAGGCATATACCACCATATCAAGCTCATGTTCTTAACCAACCTCACCAGTCTTTTGTTTTAAACAAGCAGTCCACTTTCCCCTGTGTGGCCCAGGCTGGCCTTAGACTCACTGTGATCCTCTTGCTTCAGCCACCCAAGTGCTGGGGTTACAAGTATATGCCACCACACCCAGCTATAGACCACACCACTCTGACTGTCAATTATAGTATAACTATAGGCTGTGTTACCCATTAACAATCGAGATATCTGCCATCTGCAGAACTGGCATTTCTGGCAAAAACAAACTCAACTATTCCATGAGAGATTTAAACAGCTTGGTATTTCCCTCTACAAACTGTGGTTTTTCCAGCTGAGTTGATACTTGCAAAATGACTTGCAATACTAGCTTTTGCCTACAGTGAATTAATTGGTGCAGGGTGCCTCCCCGTAGTAGCCCAGGGCCACTGTGCTCAGGAATGTTTCCACGGGAGCGCCAGGGTCTACAGCCAGGCTACTCACATTCTTTGACAGCGGCCCATGACAAGCTAAGTTCCAAAAATGACACCACATACCAGACACAGTGGCAGTTTGACAGAGCAATTTATGTGTGTTGAAATCTGATAAATCCTGGATTTATATTTTGTATATCTGTGTTGGAAACACTTTGGGCTTGAAAATCAAATTGGAAATATAGGAAAAAAGGAAAGACACTAATGTCCTTCACCCCAGCGGGTAGAAGCACAGTGTGTGATGTGTCTTGTCGCTGTAACTCTGAATGGCTTCTGCAAAGAACTTTTACCGAGATGCTGATTTTTCCCTTGTAATGTACAATTGTGTACTTATCTATTCAGTGCAGCTCAATTCACACTTCTCCAGTAGGCAAGGAAGATATACATCAAAAACAAAAAAAACCCCATAACTTTATTACCTCCATGCCTGACCCAGGCCAAGAGTAAATAGTCATGGGAAGAATGGGAAATTGTCAGTGACACCACTCAGCTCACGAATAACTGGTTGGGCAAATTCAGATTTAAAGAGAGAATTATTATTAAAATTTGTGGCAAAGAGTTATTTTTAAGGACTGGGGCAGTGATATACTTTTAGATAGTCTTTAACACATGCTTTGGAAACCAACTTCAGGCTCTGTTTTTGAATGCATCATGAAGAACAGAGTAGATGGGCCCGGGTTTTTGTGAGGAGATTAATCCACCAGGCAGTTTTTGGCAAGCTTCCTATTATGTTGTAAGGTAAGATGTTGAGAATAAGTCAGATGAGAAAAACAAGCAGCAACACTAAAACGGTCACCCCTCTTCAGCAAAGCTCAAGAAGGACCGTTATTTCTTTTTTGATTCTAATGAAAAGCCCTTTTCCTCCCTAGCTGTTTTTGGCCAAGAACAGATTTCCTACCATCCAGGCTGGAAGCAATAATCAGACTCCTTTCTTAGGATGCTGCCTTCTCTTACGCAGTAGGGAAGTTGAGTCCCAAATTAATTGATGGTAAGAGCCAATGGCTCCTTGTGAGGCTTGTCACAAGGAACCAACCTTAGTTCCCTATTGTGATGATCCCATTCATTAGAGACAGCATTTGAACTGGTTTCCAACAACTGAAGGCAGCTTTCACAGATTACATCCTGAGACCTTTCAAGTACATACGAATTTTATGTGTTGTGTTTTTCAGCAGGGATGAAGTTTAAACAGTTGGTCATTTAAAAGCTTGATTTAAAGAGTCAGATGTGCAAAAAATTACTTGGATTGTATAATGTGTGTAATCTTGTTTTATATGAAAAGTCAGTGATAAAGCCAAGAAACTAAAGAAAAAATACATAATCTTGTTAGAGTGGATGTCCGGAAGTCTTTGATTGAATCGCATTATAAAGTGGTTCTATATTAATAAAAGCTGCTTTAAGTGCACACCTAACTTGAAAATACAGTAGAGCAAAAATTTATATGAGACCCACCAGCAAGTAAAAGCCCAAGTGATGCTTCCACCCAAAAAACTGAGCATATTGAGAGAAAGAGCATAAACCACTTAGCGGGATGGGTGAGACAAGTCCGAATGACTAAAAAGATGTCCCCGTAATAACCAAGGTCCAGGCATGTACGAACAAATGTACAAAACCAGCGGGCAGGGGCAGGGGAGAAAGTACCGTATTGCCGCACGTCCACACAGATCTGCTCCACACCCGTGGTGCCGTTGGTCTGCGGTGACTTGATGACCTCACAGGTGGACCATATGTTGTAGAACATGAACACAGGCACTGCCGAGAAACCAAACACACCCAGCCAGGCCACACCAAGCACATAGGTGAGGAAGACGAACTAGGCCAAACACAAGAGGAAGGAGAGAGAATCAACACTGAGCCAGGCAGGTACATCTTCCAGAAGAAGGACAGGCTTGTCCTGAGCCTGTGGGATACAGGATGCATTCTGGGGACCCCGCCCCCCCACCCCCACTGTGGCAGTGAGAAGGAAATGCCAGAACAAAGTAGGAGGCTGGAGACTAGGGAAAGTCCGAGCTGGCTGTGCTCCTCATGAAGCATTCTAGAATGGTAGTGCCAGAAGCAAACTCAGGGGGGCTTTCAGGTCCCTCTTGATAACCATCCAGGACATGACACCCCAAGAGGTGACTTTACATACCCCAGGTCACAGGGCTAATTAGTGGCAGAGCCTCCCAGGAGGTGCTCAGTATAAACATCAGTTCCAAAAACTGTGTATTCTACTTAATGGGACAGGCTCTGGGTGCTTTTCATAGGCTCCTGAACCAGAGCACCCCATTAATATCTCAAAACCTACCTTTATCCACATGGGTATAGAACGACAGCAATTGCAACGGGAAGCCTTCTCTCAAAAGCAATCATGCTAGTTTCCTGATCTATGAAATTTCTCAAGCATTAGATTGCCTGAACCTTTATCAAAAGTTCAAACAGTCCACAACGCAAGCTAAGAGCCCCGTGAGCCTGAAATGGCACTCATTTTCCTCTAATTTGCTTTTGTCTCTGAGGTTCACAGTGCCTGGCAAGCAAGCAGTGGCTTAGGGACAGGTTCCTGGTGGTTGCCCGCATGTTGCCATGAGTGGTCGTGGGGAAGAATGTAGCCCTACCGCTTGAATTTCTTCATGACTGGCTAATTTTGGAACTTTGAAAAAACTGCCTCAAACGTGGTATTTCTGTCCTCAGAATGTGTACCTACAGGGCATGGGCAGGTCTGGAGTCCTCCTACCTGACTGTTCGTTGTTCAGACTAACGGTGGAGACATGAGGACTGCCTCAGTCTCTCTGCTGGTAGCCAGAGACACCTGGACAGTGGGAGGTAGGCGGGGCTGCCTCCTTTTGGTCACCCAGGGAAACTGCAGAAGCAAGGCCTTTTTCCTTTTCTTTCAAGGCTGTTTATGGGGTTGGAAGCATTTGCATTTCTACAAATATTCAAAGCAGATTTCAGTGGTCACTACCACCCCATTTCCTCTCCAATGCTTATGATCTGGCTGCTCCAGAGTAGGGTGGCTTTTTATTTCTCCAGCAAAACAAGCAAACAAAAGACCTTTCGAGTCTTTCTAATAACACAAGGCCTTGAAAGGGGGCTGCTGAGTCTTGGCCTTGATGAGCCTTCCCTTCCGGGTGGTCAGTGCCCCAGAAGGAAGGCCAGTGCCCAGCAAAAAGAGCCTCACTGGGGGCTGTTCCTGTCCCAGCAGCCACCAGTATTCAAAGCCGCCTCCCTCCCTCGGCCACCTTCTGGGTGCAATGCCCCATCCCCAAGGACGGGAGAGCAAGGCTTTTTACCACCAGCCCCGCCCCTCCATCCACTGTCCTGTGAACCTAACCTTAAAATGCTGGGGGGCAAGAAGAACCCAATTTGGGACTAGGAAGGTCAAAGTAACAAGGGACTAAATGGTTCACAACTGAGGGGCAGGTTTTGTTCTTGTAGGATCGCATTTGTCTGAAATGCCAGTAAACGACACTTATAGTGGGGACTATTACTTGTCCTGAAAGGAGCATTCATGTTCACAAATTTAAGAAATGTACAGGGAGGAGGCAAAGAGCCACCCTGAAGAGGCCTGGCAGTGAGCCTGGGTCTGACCCATCCATTCTGAAGTCCCACAAGTGCTGTCATTCTAGACAGACTTTAGGGTGGCAGCTGCAGCTCTGGGGATCTGTCCCTTTGGGTGCCATTTCTTCCTGAAAGGGCATTCTTATGTGGAACACAGAGACTGGAGTTGGCCCAGACCTGCTGGTGCGAAGAAGCAACAGGGGCCAGGCAAGACTGGGCCTGTGGTCCCCAATAGGTGTAGGGGCCACAGCCCACGGCCATCAGTGAGACTGTGACATTCCTAGCCTTGTCTTCTGGGTGCTGGGGGCTGAGGATCTGGCTAGACCCTGTTGGAGGCCATGGTACAGAAGATCAGGAGCTTGTAGCCAGGCAGCGTGAGATGGTGGAGGCAGCAGGCAGAAGCCCAGGGAGCTGCATGGAGTTCAGGATGGCATGGTGAAAGCCTGGGCATTTCCACACACCCTGGGAGGACATCTCGGCTCTAGGTGCTCTTGCCACAGGCTTTGCATGCCTGTGAGGAGGGACGACACACAGGCCCCGAGATTACACCCAATGATCTAGAGCCCTTAGGAGCATCTCTTTGGTCGCCACTCCTTCCTCACTCTCTGAGCCCTTACTGCCTCTCTGGCTGATCTTCCTCAGTTTCCCTCAATGCTCCTCCTTGGCCTATCCAGTGGATGGTGCTGAGCTCCAGGACACTCATTCCTCAAGCCTTTTCTTGTTCACAACCACTGTTCTTCCATGGACCACTTTCAGTCACCTCGGCCTCCATGTGACACAGTTTTGTTAAGCCCTGATGTGGCCCATGGCACCTTTAGGACACACAGCCCCCTCGGCACACTGCCCAAGCCAGGGACGTGGCACTTGTTCCACCCTCTCATGCTCAGATCCCTGGCTGTGCCTGGAGTCCACTTCCGCTTGTCTTTAAATCTGTCCCCCAGCCTCCACCCTCCCCCTGACCTTTGTGTGTACCTCTGCAGTTGCCTGCTTGTGCCTTGCCCTGTCCTGCACACCACTTGGAGTCTCGAGGTCTGGCTCTTGCTGTGCACTGTCAAGTCGCTCCCCAACCTGTCCCTCAATTTCACTCTTAGCCTGGCTTTTGAGGCCTTGCCTGAACTGACCCCTGCTCCTGCTCCCAAGCAGGACTTTTTCCTTCCTCCTTCGCCAGACCCTTCCCTTCAGCCTGCTCACTCAAGTGGCCCTGGAGTCACCTTCTTTTCCAAGCCTTGCCCTGTTTGTGCCAGGTCCTCTTCCCTAGATGTCACAGGAAGCTGATTTCATTGCTCTGCCCTGGAGCAAACCCCTCCTGATGCCATACAGCACAACAGTGCCCTCCCCCTCTATGGCCCTGCTGCCCTTTAGCCAAGGACACAGAAATGCAGCAGAAGCTGAAGGCCCGGTGGAGCAGGAGCTGGGCAGCTCCCGTCAGTGCAGTTTAGCCAGGCCCTGAGAAGCCCTCCTAGGACTAGTGCCACACCTGCCCACGGCAGCTTCATGCGGACCTTGAGTAGCTTTCCGTGTCATGTCATAGGGACCATACACCTCATGCCTCACCCTCATGACTATGAGGGTCACAGAGACAGCGCAGGGTTCCACCGCAGCTGGCAGGACTCCTGCGGGGCTTGCCTAGAGCTTCAATTGGGCTGCGTCTGTCTTGTCCTCACTGACAGTGACACTCACTGGGGCACCCCAGGGAGTCTGGGCCCTGCCGTGATATCTTCCTCATATTCCTCAGGAGAAGGCCACAGCGAGCCTGGTACTTCTTCCTTGGTGTGAGCCTCCCTTGACTCCCAGAATGTTTTGTTTATGCCTTACCATCCTTTCAAAAGCCACACCAACGTGGCCAGCCACTTGTGCAGTATTCTAATATGAAAATGCCAGTATTAATTCCCATTCAAACACAAACACCATCTTTAAATGAGCCCTAGGTTCTGTGTGGCCCGCATCCCTCCGCATACGTGCTTCTTGTCTCCTAGGCTCATTCTCACAGTTGGCTTTCCTTACGTGATGCAGCATCCTGTTCTCTTCTTTTTTTTTTTTCTTTTCTGTACTGGGGACTGAACACAGGCCTTCCCCACTGAGCTCTATCCCTAGCCCTTTTTCCACATTTTATTTTGAAATGGTGTCTTACTGAGTTATTCAATTTGCTCAGGCTGGGTTTGGATTTGTAATCCTCCTGCCTCAGCTTCCCCAGTGCTGGGATTGCAGGCACGTGCCATCTGGCTACTAGCTGTTTGTAAAATGTGTCATCCTCTGGGGAACAGATGCATATGGACAGGCAGGGGTGTGTGCCGATGTGCATCACAATCCGGACTGTGCCATTTTCACAGGAGGTGAGATACTCACTTGGCTTTTCCCAATCATTTAAACACATAAAATTTACCCTCAGGTCTTAAAAACAGACAGTAAGCTGAATGTGACCCACAGGTCACTGTTTTGCTGTCCTTGTCTCACACTGGAAGCTCCTAGAGGGAGAGCCCAGTTTAATCCCTGCATCTGTGAGGACAAGCAACGCGACTTGTGCTTGGTACAGTACATGCTGGTAAATGCGTACAGGGTTGTGACCATTCCCCACAGGACATGCATGTCTTCATGGCCACTAACACTCAAAGAGGAATGAAGGGAAACAGTGGGAAAGGAAAGTCATATCCTTCTCTAGTGGGAACTTTACAGTTGAAGACCCTTATTTATTAGCTGTGTGTTGCTAAGGAAAATGTCTGATGTGATATTCCCAGCCATAAGTTTTAATTTATCAGCAATACCACGATGGAAGAGTCCATGTTGCTAACTGCACACAGGTAAGACCGGTATTTGTGTCAAGAGACTATGGCTCTGTGGAGAGCAGTGTGCACATGCACAGTCCGAGGGTGGGGGCCCCACTCACCATCCCGCTGATGCATCGACCACAGGCAGTGGTTTTGAACTCTCCGTGCAGCTCCTTCACCGCGCTCGTGGTGTAAAAGCCTTCTGCCAGCAGAATGATGCCGTATAGGAAGAAAAAGGACGCAATTCCATAGATGACATACTGCATCAGCTGTATCCTGTGCACACAAGAAGAGATCTTGGAATGTGAGTTCACCTCACGGTCCTGTGCAGTGACGGGCAGAATCTTGCTCTGTAGTGAACTCAGGTATTGAAGAGTTAAGTTACTTAGTGAGGATGCTCAGCGACAGAGCCACCATCCGAACTATGGGTCAGTGGACAGCATGTTTCTGCCATATACAAAGGCTTCCAGGCCAGGCCTGGTGGTTAATGTCACTCTGACCAACTAGGCACTCACTCGGGGCCTCTCTAAGAAGTGGCATGGGCAGATGGCTTTTGCACTGAGATCCCTATACCTAAGCAAGTGTATCAAGTGGGTTTAAGTTATAGAAAGTTAACTCTCAAGTACGTTTGTCCTATGACAGTGGGTGCAGACCCAAGTGACAGAAAGGGACTTTTGAGTCCCCACTGGAACCACCTGGGGTGGTTTAGAAAATGCTGGCGGCTGGATCTCATGCCCAGAGATTATGACTTCATTGGTCTGGGGTAAGGCCTGGGCATTTTTAAAACTTCTCAGAAATTTGAGCTCTGTTTGGAATGAGATCACTATGAGATGAAATCAGTACACCTTTTCCAGGTTCTGCCTTGGTACACAATCCTTCATCACCCAAAGTTAGCACATGAACCCCCCTTCCTGGCTTGATCCCTCCCTTAGAACCTCCCTGGCCCCTCTTCCTTTCCTTGAATGTCATTCAGCAATGGATTAGAAAACCATTCCCTAAGGTCTCTTCCAACGTGATTTCATGATTATTGCATAAAAATTCAGTCTTGCCTTCTTCACTGTGATGGAGAAACTCCTTACTATCCAAAAACACATAAACACTCTGAAGGTTGGGGATTAAAGGAAAGAAAATGAAAATGCTAAAGGAATGGAGAAAAAGGGAAGATATTCAAAGGAAGTAACTATATTGCAGAGCTTGCCTCATTAGGAGGCTGTGCTTGGGAGCTATGGAGAATTGTCTCAGAATGGGGAGGCAGAGACCAGGGGCTAACCCCCAGAATTTTCCCCTTTCTGCATTAGACAATGCTCTGGGGTATGTTCTTCTGCCAGAAGAATTTCTATTAAATACTGTTCCCAAAGACACAGAGTTGGGGGTTAGCCCTCAGCAGGGGCACCAGAAAACTGGAAGGATCAGCACATTAACCTGTCACCTTGTCACATGCCTCCAGGTTTGCTCCTACTGTGTGAAGCACCCTGTCTGTCACCTGGAGCCATAATGCCACCACGTGCTTGGCCATTTCTGTTTCCTCCTCTCATGGGCTTTTTTCTATCTGCACAAAGTGTTTTAATTAAAAGTGTCAGTTGTCTGCCAAGAGAGTACACGGTAGTCTTTAGGGAAGCATTGCTGAGTGGCTGCATATCATATCTTTTTTCTTTTTTTTGCACTAGACATTGAACCTAGGGCCTTTACACTAAGCTACGTCCCCAGCCCTTTACAAATATTTTTGTTTACTTTGAGACAGGGTCTTGCTAAGTTACCGGGGCCGGGTTTGAACTTTTGATCTTCCTGTCTCAGCCTTTCAGTGTGCTGGGGTTCCATGCGCGTGCCACCCTACCCCGCTTCACACACACTCTTAAAGGGCGCAGGTACTTACACTTCACTCAGCAAGGCGTGGTCACTGGTGTTGGTGGAGAAGTGTTGCTCAAGAATTGCCACGGTGCCCGCCAGAGCCACATGCCCACAGCCGCAGAACAAGGCGACTCCAGAGAAGCACAGGATGGTGGCCACCAGGGAGGCGTAGGGGACTCCTCCCAGACACTTGATGCAGCATTCAAAGCAGCCTGGACCCAAAGGAGAGAAAAGGCAGCCGTGATGGGCAGGGATGCCTGTGGCCTCCTGAACACCCAATGAGCACGCAGGCTCTGCTCTGTCTTCTCTCTTGGGCTCTGTGGCTGATACCTCCATGGCCCCACTCGCAGGGGTCGTTCCCATGGCCATGCGTCCTATGGGAACATGAGGACTCTGGGTCTCTCAGAGGGAATTTGCTCAGAGTCTGGAAGGGTGGTGAATGACAAACAGTTATGGAGGCCGTCACAATTCTAGAGCTTCCTAACAGACAGGGCTGAGGGGGCCCTGTCTAAGTGACAATGCCCATGACAGTCCACTAACAAAGCCAAGGTAATAGCAAGGAAAGTGCAGCTCTGGGAAGGTAAGCAACACCCAGGTTTCCTCTACCTCTAGCCTTCTGGGGGTCACAAGAACATCCATTGCTGTAGCAGCTGTGGCTTTCCCCAAGCCCCTGACCTCTCAGGACAGTGGAAGAATCTGGTGCAATAGTTATCCTGGCACTAGGTTTGGAAAACTATTAATGTGGTCATTTTGGAAAGGTAATAGACACTTGGGTCCCTAGTTCAGTGAAGTACAAAGTCACAGAGATCCACTCAGACAGGCCCATTTGTTTTATTCTCTGTAGCCAAAATTACCTCCACTTCAGAATGAAATGCTTCCCCCAGCTCAGGGAGCAAAGCAATTCATTCAAAGTCCTCCTCCTCCTCCCCCATCCCACCCCACCCTGGCTTCCATCTGTCCCCTTCCCAACACACATGGCCAGAGTCAGAGCCCAGGACTGGTGGGTGATATTTAAGTACTTGAAAGGGGAAAAGGAACAAAAGAAATAGAAAAAGAAAAAAGAAAGACGAAATGAGCATCCATGAAGTGAAATGAAGGAGACAGAACCATAATTCAGTCTTGAGAAGATGAAACTGTTACTCATTTTTTAAAGTAAACATTTCTACTTGAGAGTTCCACAAAGGCCTCTCTGATGGGCATAGCTAGGTGACATTTTCACTTGGGAGACATTTGCGCCTCAACGTAACAGTTCTGGCCTCAGGGTACTGTCAGTACCTTCCTAACCTCCCATCCCTGTTCACATTCTCCAGACCCTTAAGTAAATGGCTTGTCAGGGAAATTGAACTTTAAATGCATTAGAATGTTTAACAGCAATCAACAGCAATTCATTACAGCAAGGCCAGCGCGGTGCATTAAGCCAGTTTGGTTTCCTTGCCCCAGACAATGGTCTTCAGAGTATTCAGGGGATGAAAACCTAACACATCAGAGACAAACTTCTCCATGCGCATGAGTAGCACTGGCTTAAACTGACCACGGAACGTGCCTGCTGCCCCCTTTACCAGATCCCCCTTACTTAGTTCATTGCAAAACAAAGTATAAGGGCTTCATAAGAAGCCTGTACTTCCTTTTCTCAATTTTTGTTTTTATTAGTATATGTCTGCAGTACAGAATGATCACCTTCATTGTGGGGAGCAGGTCCATGTACATATCGCATCTTAAGTCTTAGCCTGAGCTTCCCTGTATTTCAAAAGTGGAACAGCCGTTTCCAGGAAGACCAACGGCTCTCAGGCCAGTTTTTGAAATCTCATCAAATGGGAGCCAGTGTACAATGCAGTTCAAGTTCACCAGCAAGTCAGTACCCTGAAGAGATGTAGACACTTGACACTGGTGACCAGAGATTCAGGAGCTCAATCTTGTTTTGTCACCTTTTTTTTTTGGAGACTGGGACGAAAGGACCATAATGACAGGACTGTAACGATGGCCACTTTCTCTCCAGACTCCAAACCACGAGGTCCAAATTCTCTCTAGCCTCCTGCACCAAGAGCAACCAACATCTTTGGTCTTGACGTGTCCCATATGCCCAGAGCAGGCAGCCCAGTGTGCGTGGTGTCATTCACAACTTCCCCCACATACAGCCTCTGTAATGGTGCTAAGAACAGCACTAGCCTGCTCTCTCGGCTAGTGTAGCTCTGTCTGGTCCTTGTGGGACAGAGATATGTGACCTTGGGACTGTGCTGGTGCAAAAAGGCAGATGTGGCTAGTTACAATCAACTTGTTTATACCTGAAATGAAAAGCTTGGGTCCTCAGTTGCACTAGGCACATTTCACATGTGCCATTGTGATATACATAGTGGCCACTCCAGTGGACAATGTAGATAATTATTTGGCACCACAGAACACTGCTTTGGAAGGCTGTGTTTTTTCACATGGTGCTGGGGATTGGCTAGGGCCTTCACACTTCAGTATACCACCAGACCTTTCAATTTTTTTCAGACAGAGCCTTGCTAAGTTGCCCAGGCTGGGCTCTAGCTCGTGATCCTCCTGCCTCAGCCTCTGTGTGTGCTGCTGTGCCCAGTAGAAAACATATTTTGTATTGCTATAGAGTCAATTCTTTTGCAATATAAATTGGGTTCTGAGCTTTGGCTTTCATTAATTCAGTAATTTTGAAGACCTACTAGGTGAGTGGCAAGTACTGGACTTCACACTGGGGATCCTCACCTGGTATCAGACTTGTACTTGGTCAAGGTCAGTCTAATACTGTCATGGACAAGAAACACACATTACAGTAGGGCAGGGTGAGATCCAGATGGCCAGAGAGCCCAGGAAGTGTGGAAAAGGGAATAGAATTCAGACTGGAGAGCGGGCAGGGACTCCTTTCTATAATGCAGGATACAGAAGGCTTAACACTGATCTATAACCTGGTAAAATGCCCATTAACTTCGGGATGCCTTTAACAAACCCACATCCATTCTTATCATCTGAAGCTAGGGTTAGGTGTTATAGCGTAGCGGCGCGCACATCCTTTAACAATAGACCACATCCTCCCCAAACCACGGGTGCTGCTTCAAAAACATGTTTCATCCAAAGAGTCAGAGGCTTCTGCCTCTTTCAAAGCAGACTCCACAGCTGCTCTCAGGCTCAAAAAGACAGGCAGGCTTAGAAGAATGATGCAGTCCAGTCCCAAATTCAACACTAGATCAAGGCTGAAGTTTCCCTCCAATTTATGCCTCTTAAGGACTCCACGCACTCCATGCTGGGGAGCTGGTTTCCTAAAAGCAGAGAAACAGGGATTCAAGAAGCTGCGTGATCACATCAGTGAGTCAGTCTCTCGGCAGACGTCAGTGGCTCAATGTTTCCAGCAGATGATTTAACTTGTGGCAGGAGGAATTGTAGTTCCTAATTCTACAAATTCTTTATAGAAGAAGTTTGCAAAGCGGGTGGTAGTACATGCCTGTTATCTCGGCACTCTGGGAGGCTGAGGCAGGAAGATCACAAGTTTGAGCCCAGCTTGGGTAACTTAACAAAATCCTATTTCAAAATATAAAATTAAAAAGTCTGGGGATGTAGCTTAGTGTGAAGGCCCTGGGTTCAATCCCTAGTATGAGGGGGTAAATGAAAAGTTTTCGAATCTATATCTAAAAGCACAGGTTGGTTTTAGAGTATGGTTTATGGAGCTGCATTATCATCATCTAGGGACACACCAAAATGCAAATTCTCAGGCCTTGTCTGCCCCAGGATATCAGAACCTCTGAGTGTCTGTATTTCAACAAGTCTTGGGAAATTCTCATATACACTCAACTTTGGAAATAACTGTCCTAAAGAATTATACAAGCTTCTTTACTTGTTTAATTCTATCTGCTGGATTTTATAAACAGCCAAATTCTACTACCATGAAAATCTGATTCCAAGAAATGACTCACCACTTTAGGCCAAGATACAGGAGCAGACACTGAAGCCAATTTCTGATAGAAACACGTACAGAACATATAAACTCTGTTTGTCTGTCTCTCTCTATATATACTGGGGGTTGAAAACCTAGAGTCTTCACACTGAGCTACATTCCCAGTCCTTTTTAAAATGTTTCAAGACAAGGGCTCATTAAGTTGCCCAGGCTGGGCTCAAACTTTGGGTTCTCCTGCCTCAGCCTCCCAGAGTGCACCAGCACACCTGGCTATGTAGGACTCTTAGAGCTCATTTCACTGACACTCCAGTAAGGCAGAGTTATGGCAGAGGAAAGGACAACAGTGATGGTGGTGGTGGTAGTAGCTAGTCTTTCCTTGTTCCTCAAGGACTGAGCACTAGTCCAAATGTCTTCAACACCCAGAGTTTCACACTGACAGGTGTGATCTACACTCTGTTGGAGTTGACAGTCTATGGGAGCAAGGGTGCACGCGAACTGGACTGCTTTAACGTAAAAGTGTGGACGACTGGCTTCACTTTCTGAGGATACCATGGAAGGATCGGAGCTCAGATCTCAAGGCTACATCTGAATTCACTGGGTAAAGAAGAGATAGTATGGGAAGGCAGGGTGAACCGGGAATCAGGAGGAACATGACCCAGAGCTCCCCATGAGACAGAGCAGGGTTCATTCACAGGCCACCTGAATGGTGACAGGAGCCAGAACATCCAGGGACAGAAGGCAGAGTGTGGATCGGAGTGAGGAAGGCAGCCTGGCCCTGTAGGAACTAGAAAGATGGTGCAGACCTGTGGGCTGCCTAGCGGGTTCTGGATTTCACTCTCAGGGTCCCAGGGAACAGCGGAGAGTTAGCAAAAATCACTCTTGCTGGCATGCATGTCTGCAGCTCTGGAGAGCAAAGCTTGGATGCCCACAGCTTCTACTGGGCAGCAATGGAACTGGCAGGGGCAGAGAAGAGAGGAGTAGACCTCGTCAACAGTCCAAAGTGCAAAGAAAGCTTTGCAAAGTATAGATCAGGACCAGCAGCATAGCGTCAGCAGGGGGCGTGAGACAATGCAGACCTCTCATTCCCACTGTCACAGCCCTTCCCGGATGATGTGTGCAGCAGGGAAAGCTGAGAGCCGGTTTCTAGCCAGCAGCCCCATCTGCCCATGCTCCGGTGCAGTGCCCTGAGTCTGCTTTGACATCTAATGGTTTTAGAGTTTTCTCCCTAAGGAAATGGGGACTAGGCCCAAGGGGTTGGGTATACCACTCCAGCCCTTGCAAATCAAATGGCAAGTTCCAGGAGCTGCAAGG